ACTTGAATTGATATTGCAACTGGCGTATACAAATTTTTTGATCATGTACTGCTAAAACAATCTTTTAAATAAAATATTCATATTCATATTCATATTAATACTTTTAATATTAAATTGGAATATTAATTAAATTACTTCATTAAAATATGCAAATAAACTTTGTAGTTTTTTTTTTAATATCATAATAGAACTATGATGTGAATTCGGTAACAGAAGGTTGTCCAAAGTCTCTGAGCAAGAATGTTTAGTACGGTGCATATATTGGGTGGTAATGACATTTTTCTTATTCTTCAATTGATTTTTTAAGTTCTAAATATATCTCCGTAAATTAATAAAGTCCAACCCACAAACGTTTTCTTTGTTAAGAGCTTGTAAGTCACTCTCGTCAGGCAGGCCCGCATCTCGCAAAAAACTGATAAATTTGCGTTTTTATCCTGTTAGTAATCACGAGCCTATATTCGATTTGCACAGGATTTTTTTTTCTTTACAAAAGAAATTTGAAATTTGCTACAGTGCTATAAGGCTTAATCGTACTAATGAAAAACAATACTTTCAGTATCCATGAGTATTTTTCAAAAATATTAAACTTTCATTGTGTCATTCATCATAATGAATTAGTTGTATTTTGCTGACGTTCGTCCATTTGTTTTAATATTCCACGCGAATATCCATGATAAGAATGACAAAAAAAAAGTCTTCACGATAAACAAAAAATTTTCGTGGAATATATCTTAATTCTACGTATTTGATAATAATAAAACCTTAATACACGAAAAACATTAAATTATATATGTAACTACATGTGTGTATTAAATAGGAATAATTACTTGTAAAGTTAAAAAACGCATTAATATTATATTTATTGTCATTATTGAAAAGAAAGATACAGTTTAAGTGGAATTTTTCAAAGAACTTTATAAACAATTGGACAGAAGGGAGACGTTCGTTATCTTTTTTTTTGAACTAAAAAAAAGGATATTTTTTTATTTATAAACTTGTATATATTTATCATATAATTATTCATTTTTCATGAAGATAGTTTGCTTATTGGACATGCCGATTCGATCTCTAAAGAACGATTAGAGTTATTGAGCTCATTCCTGCGAATGCCTTTTTTGAGTTTTACTATATAATCAAATATCATAACATAATATTCATCCTTAAATTTATTTGTAAAAAAATGATTTATTAACAAAAAACAAGAATATGTTTATTTATATATTTTCGTACTCATAAAAATTATTTCATAAAGAACAACATGAAAAAAATAACAAAGAAAAAACAAAATAAAATAGAACAATTAAAATATTATTTTTTTTTTAAAAAAAAAAAAGATCCAGAGCACGAAGGTATTGATATTTTGGATGTTTTTGTTCGCAATTTATTTACCGCATCCGCAGTTTCCGGAGCAATCCGTGCAAGTGCATGTGCTATATAAATTTAAAAATAAATATTTTTTTTATAAAGACGCAAATAAAAAAAAAATTTAATAATATTTACGTGGATCCGCAGGTTTTGCAAGGGTCGGTGCTAGTCATTTTGTTATTTTTTTTTTGGATAGAAGTATTTGAAAAGGTTTAATTTTAATTTTTTTTTTTAACGTTTCAATTGTATGTAAAAAAAATCGAATGCTAAATAGGTGAAAAGTGGGTATTTTTATATTTTTTTTCGATTGATCGGCTTTTTCGAATTTTAAGTCAAATCTGAGAAAATAAGCGCTAAAATCTTTGAGTAACTGGTGAAAATAACGCATCAAGTCGTTATCAAGTTAGCACATGGGATGGTCGCATAAAGATTGTCTATTATTGTAAGCCAAGAGGTTTATCAATCACTTAAACATTTACATGAACTACATGAAACGGTCAAGTGATTTTATCAATATTGGCATGTATTTACTTTGAGAGTAATGTATAAAGAAAGATAAAACATGAAAAATCCGGAACGTATAATTTAGGCGCTCAAAAAGATTTGTATCAGGAAAAAAATTATATCTCTGGTGATCTAGTGTTATTAACGCATGAGAATAGTAACGATCCTACCGTATTATTAATCGCGCAGTCGCGCATTAATCTAGCAGCGTTTTTAAAAAATAGAAAGCTAGAGCTACTTAAATATATTAAATTTTAGTGTAAATTAATTTGTTAGTTTTCTAATAAATTAAATCTCGGATAAATTACAAAATTAAATAATAAATTAAGGTGAATTGCTCAAATTATCATTATACAACATACTGTATATATAGTGTGTTACAAAAGAAACCGGAAAATTACAAAAAAGTGTCAAAATAGTTTCCAATTTGAATAATGTTTTTCATGGTCATAAACATATTACTACTTTTTAAAAATTTTAGCCTTATATATTTACTTAAATAAAAAAGCAAGAATCAGCAATATTGAATAATTTATAGTAAAATAATGAGAAAAAAATCTTTCAAATTACAAAAATGCATTAAAATGTAATATAATTTTGAACCCTAAAGCTACATTTTGATATCTTTAAAAGTCATAGTTGTTTTCTAACTTCCTAGAAAAACTTAAAAAAATTAACTACAAATGCTTATTTCTGATTTAAAAACTTAATATAAAAATTTATTAAATAAAAGTATAGATTAAATTCACTTGAAATTCTCAAATATTATCAAGAAGCAAACTAAAAATTTTTTTTGCAGTCTAAAATAAGTTATGGTGCAAAATGAATTTTAATTCTGAAAATTGTAATTTTGGCACAGGCATATATTATAATGTAGTATTGTAAACTTATTATTGAAAATAAATCTTCTATTATTTTATATTAATAAAAAGAGTTGAAAATTTTCATATGATTTGGAATTGATTATAATATATATTATTTTTAGAATACACTATCCGCTGCAAAAAAATTATTGTTCCTGCCTAAAAAACAATAGATACTGAAAATTTTGATACATTTGTGTGTAGTAACTAATAATGTAATATTTCAAGATAGATATGTGACAAATCATGACTAAAATTGTGCAATTAATTGTTTTTATAGTTATGGGTAATAAATGGGATTTTATTCATAAAAAAATTCATTTTCAAGTTAATCAGGATAAATAACCTATCTCAAACCCTAAAAATTATATTATTTATATATAATACTAACTGTTAGTGACAAAAGCTATAGTGAAATTCAGTTTGTTACATTGCAAATTTTATTATGTTAACGAATGTCAATCTGCGATAATGGTTTATACTAACTATTTTAAGTTAATTGAGCAAATCCAACTTGACGATTGCCTAGATCAAAAATGGTGTATACGTTCTTTAAGAATGCACTTCCAATATGCCATTCTGTGTCCGATCCTGAAGGATTTTGAAAAAAAGAATACCTTTAAACATTTTGATTAAAAATACATTAAACAAATCGTATAATTACCAGTATCGGCGTAAATAACAGATCCAACGCAATCATCTTTATCTATTTCAAAAAAGAGTAATTATGTGGTATGGTATCCCTGGAACTCCGGATGATTTTAAAAATCCAAAATATTTCAACAAGTCGAATCTCTTTTCTAAAGTTTCTCCTTCATGATTGCTTCACAACCGTTTTCTGCAGGTGTCGAAAAATATACATACTTTGCTTTTAGTATCAAAAGTGATCCAACAAAAGAAATGGTGATGAAAGAATACCTTAGAGTTGAAGAGTGAAATAATCCTCTTGAAAAGTATCTTGAGGCAGTAGAAGTTTCCACAGTTGCGTATTTCTTTCTACAAAATTTAATTGAATTGCAGAACAAAAGAATATTACTATCAAAGTAAATTTTCTTGATGACTTGACGTAAAACTTATACGTTGTAGTACTACTATTGACGTTCGTACTCGATATTACACTATTGAACCAAAACTTCAAAATGCAGAATGTAAACGATTCAATGCAAATAGTGATGTAATTATAGAACTTCGGCCTACTCTTGAAACATTTGCCCACTTCACATATGATTATACCTATTATTAACTGATCCAGCAATACACTGTATTGATTCTTTAAGATTTAGAAGAACAAATCTTGGTGAAATGGGAATCAATCCGTTGTTCTCAGTAAATCATAGATGTAATGATATTTGTAAAAAGCTAAAATTACGCCCTATTAATATTGAATACCAGTAATTAGTATAAAGTATTAACCGAACATAATTTGTAAAGTTCACCAGTTTTGATCGTTAATTTTAGCCAAAAATTATAATATTGGCCAGAGTTTTAAAATAATAAAAAATTTTGATAATTTTGGTTAAAAAATTTTTAAACCAAAAAAAAAAAAATAACTTTTATTATTAAATAAACTTTCACGTTTAAGTTATCAAGGTTGTTGTTCAAATAATTTTTTGTGAAAGTGAACCTTGTTTTTTACTTGTAAATTTACATATAATGGCATTGTTTAAAATCTGAATTTTAAAAAAACAAATTTCGAAATTTTCCAAAATTCTAAAATTTCAAACTTCAAAAATTTCGTCACTTTTGGTTCAAATGGAAATCATGTACAATTCGAAATGGTCATAAACAATTTATTACACGCCTGAAAAGTAAAAGTTTATAGGATTATTTTAGTAATTGTTATTAGAAATGACTAAAAATATAATTAGAAAGTATTGCTATTCATAATAAAGCAATTATCTTTCAAACGCTTAATAAAATGTCCAACACATCTAGATAGCGAACGCTGGGATACGAATTTTCTTTATCGCAGTCGAATGTTCAGGTCGATTAGATATACTGGTAAGTTTCAAACAGCAGATTTTGTAATAAGGTTCTATTATTCTTATTTTTTTCTAATTCCTCTTATGGTATAACCATTTATTAATTTGAGATTGGTAGTATTTTTTTTATATTATTTAAAAATTCATCATCCACACGACATGGTAACAATATTTTCATGCTAACACACGATTGTTTTAATTATATAATTCGAAAATATACAAATGTATTATATATACTAAAAATAAATGAAATATATAAAATATAAAGTGCTATTATTCATAGTTATTATAAATAAATCTCTTTTATAAGATGATCAATATCAATATATAACTCAAGATATTCTAAAACTTGAATTCCATATAATTCAAATTCCTTTACTTTATCCTTCAGAGAAAACAAATCTTCACTCTCTCCACGAAACATATCTGAAATTGCTAAATACTTAACTCTTTTCTTTTTCATAATATATTCTTCTATATATATATAAGGGAAAATATCTTCACTATCATCTTTTTTTATATTTCTAATTAATAATTTTTTAATAAAAGTATTTTGAGAATTTATCAAGAATACTTCTAAATCATTTCCATTGATTGCAAGATTCAAATTCAAATATTCTAATTTAAAAGGAAGAATTTGTCCTAAATTTTGTAATATAATTGAACTAAAATTATCAACATCATGATAGGTAGTAATTAAAAGATAATTAAGATTGTTTTTAATATTTTCAATTAAATTGAATACTAAATTTATATTCTGATCAGGTAATTTATCAGGTAATTGTAAAAATTTAATTTTACTACAATATTTTATAATTAATTCAAATAATTGCTGCAGCAATTGTTTTGATTGAATATTTACTTCAATTCCAAAATCTTCCAAATAATTACCAGATTTTTTTAATAATAATTCTAATGAATCAATTTGAAAATCATCATCATCCAACAATAAAGATTTCAATTTAAATGGTTTAGTTATATTAATAATTTGTTGAACAAATTTAGAATCTAGAGATTCACAATATATAAAATGAATTGATTCTAAGCAATTCAATTGATTGAATACTTCATTTAAAACAATTATATTTTTAAAATCAATATAATAAAATATAATTGTATTCAATGTATTTGAACAATTAGAATTTTTTAAAGATAATAAAAAATGGTATAAGGGGAAATTATTATAACCAATTAAAATCTTATTAAGATTTTTTTGAGAATTAATGAATTTTGATAAACTTTTTTCTATTGTTGGATGATTATCATAAGGTGGAAATGGAAATATATAATAAAATGATGAAATTAAATTACAACTAGAACAAAGAAATGTTAAAAATTTTGTAATATTATCATCTATTTTACAAGAATCAAAATCAAGTGTGAAATTTTTGACATTACGAATGAAATTTGAATTTTGTAAAATTAATTCGAAAACATCACAATATTCATATTCCGGATAATCTAAAATTTCCAAACTATGCAAATTTACTTCATTTTCAATAAATAATGAAAATAGTGCCTGCCAAGTACCTTTAATACTTTCTTTATTTTGAACCCAACTTCTAATAGAACCTTCTTTATTATGAACCCAACTTCTAATAGAAAAACCAATTTCTTTTAGATTTAAACGTTTAATAAAACTAGGATAATCAAATAATGTATGTGAAGGAAAATTATGTAAATAAATATCCATAAAATTATAATTTTTAGGAAGTTTAGAAAAGTTAATTGAAAATGGATCTTCCCATAATAATGAAATTGCTAAACGACACCATAATCTATTTACCAATATACACGAATATAGTGTTTTATAATCATGATGAAGATATTGTAAAATTTTATTTAATAATTCGGGCAAATCTCCCGAAAATATCTTTGAACATGCCATTATGTTAGGCGAAAAAGAAAGAAGTGGAGAGAAGGAGATTTTCCGAAATTCATCAAAATATGGTAAATTTATTTCGGACCGGTGACACACAAATGTTGTACAACACTTACAACGCTGATTGGTTCCTATTATTTCCTATTTGCGCAGCAACACTACTTCTCATTCCTCTTACAAGAATCTAAGTCTTCCACTTTTCACATTGATAAACAAATACAAAAGATATTTATAGTAATCATACGTCAAATACAAATGCTAAAAAATAACGAAAAAGATATAGACAATTGTTAGACTGAACAACCTCAACAAGTTTACGAAAGGATTACAGAAATTCCTTTACAATAAAATCCATAACATTATTATAATGAACTCAAAAATAAGTTACCAAATCTCGAAGACTATTCATAATTTCTGGATCATGTGATTCGTAGCATATTTAGATCATTTTTACTTTAACTATTAAATTATGGATAATTGTATTGCCGAAGGCGCAGTAATGTTGTGCCGGTTGTGATTAGCCGTAAAATTTTTCTTAATAATTCACGTTACTCCGCCAAATCATGTAAATCTATTTTAATACGTCATCGTACATCACGTGAAAATGAAGTTCCATTTATATATTAAAAAAATTTTTTTCGGTTTTTAATCATATTCGTACGAACTTCATTTATCACATCATCAGTTGTTAAAGGAGAATTAAATATGATATGTGAAGAATGTAATAAAATATGTCTTGCAAAAAGTTTCCAACAAAATTTCAAAAATTGGACCAGTGGCAATAGTGGTATAGATAAATTTATCCAAAATACTCAATTATCAGATCCTCATGATAATATTGTAGAAGAAGCACTAGAATGGATACCCTATAATAGATTTTATGATATTGAATATATTGCAAAAGGTGGATTTGGTAAAGTGTATAGAGCAAATTGGATTGACGGACCTATAAAAGAATGGGATTTAGAAAATGAAAATTGGAAAAGAGGACGTCAAAATAAATTTGTAGCTCTAAAAATTTTAGATAATTCAAAAAATGTTACATTAGAATTTATGAATGAGGTATTATTAATTTATTATTTTTACAAAAATTTGATTGATAATTTTTTTAATATTGTTTTATTAATTTTATTATATATTTATTAAATTGTAGATTATATCACATCACAAATTATATGAAAATGATTATGTTGGTGTTGGAGTTATTAGATTTTATGGAATAACTCAAGATCTAGAAACAAAAAATTATATTATGGTTTTAGATTATGTAAAAGATGGAAGCTTACGAAATTATTTAGATAATTTTTATAATAAATTAAGTTGGTATGATAAGATTCACTCTTTATATAAAATTGTATTCGGACTTTGTCATATTCATAATAATGAGATAATTCATCGAGATTTACATGTTGGTAATATATTATTTAATCATAATATACGATTTAATCATAATTATATTTATATAACTGATATGGGATTATGTAAACCTGCAGATTACAAAGAAAATCCAAAAAACAAAGTATATGGTGTTTTACCTTATATAGCCCCTGAAGTTTTGAGAGGACAAAATTATACTAAAGCCTCTGATATTTATAGTTTTGGTATAATTATGTATGAAGTAATTTCTGGATTACCTCCATATCATGATTTAAGCCATGATAAAAATTTAGCAATAAAAATTTGTCAAGGATTTAGACCAAGATTTAATATTAAAGTACCCCAACTAATTTTAAACTTAATTATAAGATGTTTAGATGCAAATCCATTAAATCGACCAACATCAGATGAAATAAGCAAAATTTTAAAACAATGGGGAGTTGATTTACTTGAATCACGTAAATCACGTAAGTCACATAAATTGTATCAAACAGAATTACAAAAACAAATTAATGAAACAGATGAATTATCAACTAGTAACATGTTTTCAACTAGTTTAGCATTATCTTATGAAACACATTCAGAAGCTATTTATACAAGCAGATTACTCGATTTTAATAATCTTCCTGAACCAAAAAATTTTGATAATTACTATGAACAATATGATAATATAACATCTATGGAATATTCAGGTATTATTTTAACAGTTCAATTACCTCAAGAAAATTTAATAGAAACTAATGATTTTATTTCATTCAATAGAGTCACAACAAATTGATATTTCTCAATTGAAAATAAACGAATAAACGAATAACTGAACGCGACGCGTCCTTTTAACTTTTACATGTTATTTAGAATATGAAAAAAAATATCAATAATAATAATGCAATTGTGGTTTATTTAAAAAATATCAGCACGATAAAAAAAGCATGATCCTGTTTGTCTGTAGGATAGCGATGTTAATTCCTATTGGTCACAGCAGTATTCTTAATGACCGTCAGTTATTGGATGAGTCTTCGACTGATATCTCATCCAATAGCTATTTATTATCAGTCCAAATGTTTTAGTAATGTTTACTTTAATTTGTTAATTACATTATAATAAATTTAATAATGAGTTTTGCTAACTTGCCCCGGGTTAAATAACCTGGGTTAAATCACCCCCTTAAAATTTATATTTTACATCAATCATTTTTTTTTTTAAAAAAAAAAAATTATTTGTGTTATTATTCATTTTACTTTATATAAATTTATTCATTTGAATATAGAGTATAAATGTATAATGACCAAGTTTTCTTACATTCTCGATAATGTCTCTTGTTTTTGATTGTGACCATAATTTACAAAATTTGGGCAAAATTATATAATTAAATAAAATTTACTAATAGGTTGGTTAAAATCACCCAGGGTTAAAATTAGTCTTATACTTTGATAATATTACACATAAAATTCCTAATATTAAAAAATTTAAGCTAAATCATTTTTTGACTCAATTTACTCAATTTTAACTCTTTACAAACATCATTACATCTATGATTTCCCAAGAATAACTGTTTGATTCCATTTTTGCCAAAATTTGTTCTTCCAAATCTTAAAGGATCAATACAATGTATTGCTGGATCAGTCAATAAGAATTCATTATTAAGTTCAATTCCTTGAAGATCACAAACCACTAAATATTCTTTAGTATATTCATATGTGAAATGAACAAATGCTTCAAGAGTAGGTCGAAGTTCTGTAATTACACCGGTATTTGTATTGAATCGTTTATACTCTGCATCTTTAAGTCTTGGTTCGATAGTATAATATCGAGTATGAAGGTCAATAGTACCACTACGTAAAAGTCTCACATCAAGAAAATTTACTTTGGGAAGATTTTTTTTCCTTGCAATGAAATTAAATTCTCGAGAAAGAAAATATGCAACTGTAGAGATTTCTACTGCCTCAAGATACTTTTCAAGAGGATTACCTTTTCCATCATGAAGATATTCTTTTATTACCGCATCTTTTGTTGGAATACTTTTGATATCACGACCAAAATATGCATATTTTTCAACGCCTGCAGAAAATGGTTGGGAAGCAATCTTAAAGTAGAAACTTTTAGAAGTGAGATTTGATTTGTTAAAATATTTTGGATTTTTTAGTCCATCAAGAGATTTAGGAATATGATACCACATAGTTACTCCTATTTGGAATGGAAGAGTACTCCAATCAGGCTCATTTGGATTCATATCAAGTTTTTTTCGTTGAAAAGAATATATTTCTTTGGAACTGTTTCCGCTTCCAATAGTACTAGTTAATGAAACGGCAAAAGTAATAGATGTCGAAGCGGCTTTAATAAATTTTTCAAGTAGTTTAATTGGATCTCCTCCTACAAGATCAAATACAGGAAATTCACCAATTATATCACGGAATATTTCAAGCATTTTATCAGTTTCACTCGTAATTTTTCCAAAAAAGTAAAGTATATTTTTTGATTGCATATTTTCTAGTACGTTTTCTGCAGTTAATCCATTTGGATCACCATCCGGGTACTTATCATCTTCTAAGGATGTGAAACGACGACCATGTGGTGGATAATCACCAATATGAAGAAGAACCCGAGTGTCACTTTTCCAATCCATTTGAGTTATTGCTGCATTAAGACCTCCAAGAACATCCTCCGGAAGATCATCATTTCCAATGGGTAATACATTTTGCATATACTGTGTAAATTGGTCATATTGGTCGTTAAAATCAAAAATCTGCAGACGATTTAATCCATTGTAGTGATCTCGATAGCCACAAAAACCAACTCGAGGTTTAATGCTTGGATTTACATGTTTAACGTAGTTTAACACTTGTAAAATACAATCTTTGGCAGCAGCAATATGAGGTTGCATAGATCCGGTGCAGTCTAAAACAAAACAAAGATCGACTTCCATTGAACGTTTGATGTTGTTGAGCGTTTTAGATATAGCCTTTTCTCGTAAAATTTTAACTTTATTCTTTAATTCTTTTTGAGTATTACTAACCAATGTTGTATCGGAAGATAGAGTATTTGTCTCATCTACATAGCGTTTTAAACGTTCTTCAGTGAAGTTTAATTTGTCTAAATCAGATACAAGCGAGGAAGGGATAGTGGAGGTGGATGACGTACTAGTGCTTGCATTATTTGAGTTTTTTTTTAAACAGAACAACTTAGACATTTTTTAATATTTAAAAAATTATTTGAAGAAAGAAAAAAAAATTTAAGTAATGATGACTTCAATAACGTTTGAAAACGGAAAATTTTTAGAATTTATACATATGATAAGATCGACGGGTTGGCGCTCTTCCGTATTAACACAAATAAAGATTACAAAGATTAAATGATGTTACTAAATTAATAAATATAATGATTAATATTTGAAAAAAAATTCCAAATTATTAATGATTTTTATCTTGAAAATGAAATCTTTGTATTAAAATAGAATGTTAATAGGTTAAAAATAAAATTCAAATGAAAGTAGTGTTACGAAAGGAATATCCTTTTTATTTTCGAATATAGATGATGTCTTAAAAGCAAGTAATATTTCTTTTTTAAGAAAAAAAGCAATAAGAAATTTGATCAACAAAATAATGATGTGCATAATATTTGACTTTGAATGAATTTCCAAATAAATGGAAGGTAAATGATTTTCCCAAATTAGTACAAACAATAAAAATAAACTCGAAATTTTTTGATTGAAATATCCGTTTTTGCTTTCTTTATCATGGTATGACGTTGAGGGTACAAAAAAAAATTTTTTTTTTTATAAATAACTCGATAAGGTTTGTTCTATAATTAGAAAACTAGACATTAATAAACATATCACCTTCAATATCACCTTTCGTATATAATGATGGGCAATCAGACGTATCGTGATAAGGCGATTCACCAAAAAAGCAACAGACCAGAACAGGTGTGAAGGTCCCTAACAAGCTATTAAGTGAATAATAATGGTCGAGAACGAGTCTTTGAATTTTTGACTCAGGAGTAAACCCACTTGTAAATTATATCTAAATAGTGACTATAGTTCTGGCTAACTAGATCATGTGATTATCACATATCACATGATTGTGATTTCGGATGAACGGCTATTACATATAACTTTTCCACTTCCAATCAAGGTTCCGCATAAATCTGGTCCAACAATCTGAATTATGAACATGTCCCTTTTTCAAAAAGCAAATCCTGGACCGGTATTCTTTGGAATAGTCAAGGAAATAGTAATTTATTCTCCATGTAGTGAAACCTCTACTTTTTTTGTCGTTTTAAAAGAATCTTTATGATATGGATATGTTAACAGATCGTTAAAATTATGTTTCGTCTCTGTAATACGTTAAAAATGTAACGAAAAAAGTAATTACGGAGTTTTATATTTTTATCAGCTGAAGAATCAATTTCTAATTCATACAAAAATAAATAGTGAAATTATCTAATATTAACAAAATGATTCATTTTTTAATTTTTTTAGATAATGTATTAAATAATGTAACGAATAAAATGAATATGTAATGAAGAATCTACCTAACTTACAATTGTAAATTCAACAAATGACGATGATTACGATCAATTATTTAAATAAAGATTAAAAATTATTGTACATGAAAACATTGAGAATTGCAGTAGAATTGTTAATAAACGATGGGCACAGGCAGTTCAGACAAGTTTCAAGGATGCTAAAAATTTAATAACTGACGTTAATAAATACGAAAGACAAATTACAAAACCGCGTACTTAGAAAGACCACAATAAGCATACAATATTTTTTAGAAAGTGATTTGCTTATAGATAAAATAGAAAATTGATTGACTAATGAAATGTTGTTTTTTTAAAGGCGATTTTCAAAATAAAATGAAATGCGCAAAATGGTTAAATGTTTTTGAATATTAATTTATTGTTTATGTAACCGCGATATGTGGTAATCACATGATTTACGTAGAAGTGTTCTTGTAGTAGTTGTTCAGGCCTAAATTACAAATGACTGATGCAAGTCGTTCACGTGAAATAAATGCTTCGCTCAGTGCGTTTAAAAATTTGTCTTATTATCTACTACTTAATTGTAATGATAATTTTACGAATTATTGTATGAAAAGAATCCATCGTATAATCCCTATACCGTTATTTCTGTAAAAACTCCGTAAAAATGAACACGGAAAATGTAAATAATTCGATAAGTTCCGGGTATAAGGTTATTAATTCCGGAAATAAGAGCCTTTTACGGAAAAAAAGACGGAATATAAAAAACGGATCGACTTTTTATACAAGGAATGATTTTTTCTAAAAAAAATAAATTATTTTGATTTGTAATTTAATTTAATCGGGATTTTTTTGTACTAACGAATATTACCTTCGGATAAATATCAGTAATTTCAAACATAATAATAAGTCACTATGATTAAACGACGATAAATTTTTTCGATTCGTCAATAAATTAAGGTAAGCTTCCAGAATGAATAAGAAATAACGTTAAATCAGTCGTTTTCGAAAATGAATTTCTTATGCCCATTATAGAAATAATAAGAAAAATATCCCATTTGTTAAGTCACTTATACTACAGTAGTAGATCTTCATACCAACCGTTGTAGTTCGCAACCGTTAATCGACATGGAGACATCATAAATGCGTTTTCCAGAAAATTATTAAATAATTATTGCAAAATATCTATCCAGGATATAAATCTTAGCAGATATTACCAGGAATCATTAACTCACTAGCATTTCTTTATGGAATTGGGAAATCCTATAGTCCCACTATAAAAAATTTTTTAGAAAATTGACATATCGAAGTTTTTCTTTGGAATGAAAACTATTTTTCCCAGAAAACTTTTATAGGGTCCTATATAGTTGTTTATCCAATTATACTGTAAAACCCAAAATCCTAAAAGAACACGCCTTCACCGCTTTACAAAATAATTCTATTATCACATTTCTTGAATTTATTAAATATAATATTAAATAAACAATATATATTTCCTTCGCTATGATCGCTCGCTTTGTATTATAATTATAAAGTATTATATCATATCATAAAATGAATCATTTCCTTCAATTTAATTTTATCGTAGTTTAATTATATTCGTATTTTCGACAATAACAAGGAATTACAATAAATTTAATACCTATACAGTAAAACAAATTAAAGAATAATTCGAATAAGTTTAGGATTAGTAAAAGTTCAAAAAAAATAAGTAATATCTCAAAATTCAAAAAAAATTTTAATGATTATTTTAATCAGTTATTACATTCAGATAATTTATTTAAATCAACATTACATGAATCGTAAATTCATAATACAGTCACATTTTGATGTTAAATCCAATATATTATAAATTATTAAACATTACGCAATTTTAATTTTTTACAAATATCATTGCATCTATGATTTGCCAAGAACAATTCGCTAATTCCTTTTTCACCAAAATTTGTTCCTCCAAATCTTAAAGGATCGATACAATGTATTGCTGGATCAGTTAATAAGAATTCGTCAATAAGTTCAATTCCTTGAAGATCACAAACCACTAAATATCCTTCAGTGTATTCATATGTGAAGTGGGCAAATGCTTCAAGAGTATCACGAAGTTTTGTAATTACACCAGTATTTACATTGAATCGTTTATACTCCGCATTAAGTCTTGGTTCTATAGCATAATATCGAGTACGAACGTCAATACTACTACAACGTAAAAGTTTCACATTGAGAAAATTAACTTTGGAAATATTTTTTCGTTCTGCAATCAAATTAAATTTCATAGAAAGAAAATGTGCAACTGTAGAAACTTCTACTGCCTCGAGATATTTTTCAAGAGGATTATTTCGCTCTCCAACTTTAAGGTATTCTTTCATTACCATTTCTTTTGCTGGCTTACTTTTGACATCACGAGCAAAGTAAGCATATTTTTCAACACCCGCAGAAAATGGTCGTGAAGCAATCTTGAAGGAGAAACTTTTAGAAAAGAGATTCGATTTGTTGAAGTATTTTGAATTTTTGAGATTATCCAGAGTTTCGGGAATACAATACCACAATAGTGTTCCTTTTTGTAATGGAAGAATATCCCAATTGGGCTCATTTGGGTCCATATCGAGCTTTCTTTGTTGTAAAGTATATATAGAATCTCTGGAGTTGCTTCCAATAATACTAGTTAATGAAACGGCAATAGTAATAGATGATGATGTGGCCTTAATAAGTTTGTCGACTAATACAATTGGATCTCCTCCTACAAGATCAAATACTGGAAATTCGCCAATTATACTACGGAATATTTCAAGCATTTTGTCGGTATAATCTGTAATCTTTCCAAAAAAGTAAAGTATATTTTTTGATTGCATTTTTTCTAGTACGCTTTCTGCAGTTAAACCATTTGGATCACCATCTGGATATTTATCATCTTCTAAGCTTGTGAAACGACGACCATGTGGTGGATAATCACCAATATGAAGAAGAACTCTAGTGCTATTTTGCCAATTCAATTGGGTTATTGCTGCATTAAGACCTCCAAGAACATCCTCCGGAAGATCATCATTGGAAATGGGTAATACATTTTGCATATACTGTGTAAATTGGTCATATTGGTCGTTAAAATCAAAAATTTGCAAACGATTTAATCCATTGTAGTGATCTCGATAGCCACAAAAACCAACCCGAAGTTTAATGCTTGGATTCGTATGTTTAACGTAATTTGACACTTGTAAAATACAATCTTTAGCAGCAGCAATATGAGGCCCCATAGATCCAGAGCAATCTAAAACAAAACAAAGATCAACTTCCATCGAACGTTTGATGTTACTAAGTGTTTTGGATATAGCCTTTTCACGTAAAGATTTAGCTTTAGTCCTTAATTCATTTTCCCTTCTACTGACTAGAGTATCTGCCTCATCGGCATAGCGTTTCAGACGTTCTTCAGTGAGGTTTAATTTACCTAAATCACGTATAAGAGAGGAAGAAATAGAAGAGGCGGATGACGTATTAGAACTTTGAGTGTTTTCACTTGAATTTTTTTTCAAGTTGGACATTTTTAATCATTTAATCTTAATTTTAATAAAAAAGAATAATTTGAAAGATAAAAAAAATAATTTTGACAGAAGTTAAAAAAAAAATATATTGTGTGAAGTTTAAAAAAAAAATTATTTTGAATGAAACAAAAAAGGTCTATTTAAAAAAAATTATTTTGAATGAAGCTATAAAAAAGTCTATTTATTTATAATGCAGATTGGCGTTTTGATATGAAAATAAAACGAAATTTCGAATAAATATAGATCTACAAACCAAGAGTTACCTGTTAAAAACAAGTTAAGCAGGTTAATAAACTGGTTAAAATACAAATTCTTTATCCGTTATTTGTTGGTATAACGCTTAATATAATCATGTGCAGATAGGCAAAGATAATAAGGTTTTGAATTACCTTCCGAATTAATATAGATAATGAGGATCGGACATAAAAGAAACAATCTATATCATTGTACGAAAGCATCGTGACATGTTTTCAAGTGATGTTGCATACAAATGTAGACATTGGAGCTTAACCGGTTCCGGCTAGAGTTAGTTGAAGTAAAATCTTGCTAAAAATAATAACTAGTTAAAGTTGGTTTCACAAATAACTTGTTTCGGCGGTGAATGAACATATCACATTTCAATTATAGTATAAGTGTATCACTTTTTATCTTCTAAAAAAAAAAAATAAAATTATTAACCAATTATAGCAGATGATTGGTAAAGATTTGGCCACGTATATTTATCAACGCAAAGCACAATAACGATATTATTGTGTGACCCATTGATTATAGCTTAACGTTAATTATAGCTTATTTTTAATTTTTTAAAAATAACAAAATTATTGGCAATTATATTTAATATACGAAGCACGATAATTATTATTGTTCAGTCGATTAAAAATATGCGGGATTTTAATGACCGATATTTATATGAAACATCCAATATTGAAACCAGTGTTAGTAGTGTCAGTAGCTATCGGTCTTCGACCGATATCTCTATTCCCTTATCCAAAACTATTTTTTATGTGCAATTATATCGATAGTCTTCTTCGGATATAGCATATATTAACATCAAATTACTTATACGATAATAAATTCGTTATTCATTAAATAATAAACAATTTTAACATGAATTTGCGATTTATCATTATTTTTTAAAATAAAAAAAAAAATAATTTAATCTGATTACTACAAATTTAAATTCCGAGTAAATATTTTTTCTTGATTTACGCGATAATAAAAATAATTTCAATATAACACTACCAGAAATTTTCTTTCTATAATCAGATTTTATTTCTTATTCTCTTATTTTTTTTTCAGACAGAACCACTTTGACATTTTCTTGAATGTCAATAAAAATAATAAAAATTATTTTAAAAAACTATAAACAAAAAATTCTCAGAATTAATATTAGAAAATAATTTTTTTAATATTTCCAAATTAGTTAAAATGAATTTCCGAATTTATTTAGATAAGTTTCCAGACAAAGAAGATTGATTGGCGCATGTATATTGTTTATATATAAATACATATACATATAATGACATGCTATTTCATTACTACGACTGTTTTCTTTAACTAAAATCATATGATAAGTACCAACTAATACAAATGGTTAGGCAAACCCCTTAATTGGTTAAATGATCGGGTCATTTGTCGTATCGACGTATCGACGTATCGTGCTATTCATAACAATTTATTAGTCACCCTATACCATTTCTCTTTGTAGCATTGTTAATTATACCATTTATTTTATATGTACTGTATTATGCTATATATACTGGGTATATTAATAATATCAAATGATTTCACTTTATAAGAAACCTAATCGGAACTTGTAATCAAGTAGGTCCGAAACTTCAATAATATAGAATTCGGAAATGAGTAACATAATAATTGGCATCATGATCTTATGGTAAATACGGCAATAGATGATGTAACATGCCGAATATGAGCAAAATTGATTAATTTATCATGATCACGTAAGGCTATCAGGGATATAACCGAGGCACTGATTGCGTGGACAATGACAGCCAATCATTCAACCATATTGAATACTCCGTGCCTAATAACTTTATAATATTACAAGGTAAATAGAAACTGTACTGTACGAAAATATTTCAGCCAATCATAACTCATTGTATACTTTCAATTTTTTTTTATTTATCGTACAATAAAATCTGATTGGTAAGTTCTCACTTCATACAGTACAGTTTAGCTAACCATACAGTACAGTTTATATGTATACTCAATTCCATTTCACCGAAAGGACATTTGCCGAAAAATATTGGTTATTTATTGTTTTTATACTAAATATCATGCATACAAGTGTTAACAAACTATTGTTCAAAATACAACTTAACGGTTGGCTAAATTGTGCGCAGTAAAATTTGTTATACGGCCAATTTGTCAATCGGAGCGATAATCAATAAAAAAAAAAATAATTACTTAAGTCTTAGAAAATAGATTTCTTAAATTCTTGAACATTAGCCTATAATTATCAATGTATGAATTTTAGAATTGTCTATTCATCCTATTCAATTATTTTCGTCACCCCGAAAATAAGCACCCCTGGCCAGAATTATGGCGATTTTGGCCAGAATTATGAGGATCTTGGCCGGCATCAAGTGCAAAAAGTGGTGCTTATATACCGCAAAATACGGTATATTAAAAATTTGATAATCGATATGATTAATACCATTTAATGCGAGTTCCAATTCAACATGTTTCTCTATTGTTAACTGATTTTGACTATTATTTTTTTTTATTATCTTATTATCAATCTTATTAATCTTATTATGTGACAAATTATTAGGTATCTACTATCGTACAAATACAAATATATAATTTATCTATATAGAAGAGAGTGTGGTTTGCAATATTAAATATCCACATCTCTAGTCATTATTTCATTAGTTGTTGAGTCTTTGACTTCCTCCAGTTCGCTAAATCTATTATTCCACACAGATTAATTGTTCTACAAAACTATTTTCCGAGATTAGTTTCGTTTCTAAAACATAATTCATAAATCAGCTTCGCAGAGAAAAAATGATCGGTAGAGGTTACCTTGTCATTGTCCAAATTTGAACAAAAATTTTTCCTAGGGGTTGATCATATATATAAACAATGTCATAATTTTCATACCGTTTTGTTATCATGAAAATGAAATTAACAAATAATAAAAATCCTTAGAATTATTAAAAAAAGTATTAGGACAATGACAGATATTACCTAATATCAGTTTATTATAAGAGCTTACCCCCCCTCCCCCAGGTAAGATATATTATATATGTAATTTCCTTATATTGTATATATGTAACCTAAGATTTTCAATTACCCCCCCTCCCCCTAGAATATTAGGTAATATCTGTCACTGCCCTTATAAATCGGCACAATTTTATTTAGTTTATTAATTTTGTCATTTTTATACTGAATTTTAAATTTTTTCGAAAAAAATCATTTTTTCAAATTCTCATTATAATGAATCAAAATCATTATTAAAATATCAACTTCATGACTAATAGGCGTATTTAATAAAATTTTTTTTTTTTTTTTTTCTTTAGACTCTTGCGTTAAACTGCAATTTTTTTTTATCAATCAATCATGATATTACATTTTGTTTAACTAATTGTGACGTCACTTAAACTATAGCAAACTTTTTTTTTTATCAAGGAATTAATTAATGTATTATTTATGGAGTATTTCTGTATAAATTATTTATTAGACGGAATTCTGCGAATTCGATGAAATAATAATGATGTAATATTATGAAAAAAAATTAGAATTTTCTGTCAATTCAAATATACAAATATACACCGTCAAAATTCAATTTTCCAAATATACTTCGTCAAATACAAATTTCAAATAATGTCTTCAAATAATATGTCCTCTCTTTATTATTAAGGCTTAATGAATACATTATAGGAACGTCTATTAAACAATTTATGTAAAAATTCTATATTTGACGTTTTTTGTTTGTTGCGTAATATACCTCATTTTAAAACCTAAAAAAAATAAAATTTTACAATTCATATTACGCGAAACATTTAAAAATTTATATTAATAAACTTGAGTAAATCCTTCATCAAAAAATAAGAGCTCTCTATTTACAATTTCTAGATATTAGTCAAAATACGACAATATCATAAATCATATGTATTATAAGCCACAATTAGTCATCATTAAGCTAATTCATATTACTAGTATTAGATAAATTAATTGATGACTCGAAAATTTTTTTTATGAGTTAATTGATCAAATGTCTATTTATTATTAGTCAAAAGTATACTATATATACCCTTAAAATTTCTCAAGGAAAAATGAAAATCAAACTTCAAATTTTCAAACAAAATCAAATTTTTTTTCAAAATCTAAATAATTTAAAAATGTACTTCTTTTAATAATCCTATTGACAAATGCTATTCTATACATTCTTTTTATTTTCTTAATTTTATTTAATTGATTATTATAATTATTTTTGTATTGATATACAAAATTTCTCAATAATATACTTGTTTTATTCTTTATTTTAATAAAATTCATATTTTTCTCTTTAATTTGTTTTTTGTCTATCTACTTTCCCTTCTTTAAGCATCATGGAAGACAGTTATTCATACAACATTAATATGCTTGAACAGAGTGATTTTGAAAATGTGGAACAAATGCAGTATGAAAGCTTTGAAGAAGAAGAAGTTTATCAGGCTGATTCTGAATTGGAACCTGATATAAATCAAGAGGATCATTGGATAGCCATATCTTCATTTTTTCATGACAAAGGCCTTGTATAACAACAACTTGATTCATTTGATGAGTTTGTACAAAATATCATGCAAGAAATTGTTGATGAAAATAAGAATCTTGTGTTGCAAACAATTGTGGGAAACCAGGGAAGGGAAGGCGATAAGGCAAAATGATATTATATCTGATTTGGACAAATAAACTTATTAAAACTTACTATGCCTAGTGATGTTTCTGCAAGAAGCATGCCTTAGGAATTTAACATATGCTGCTCCTCTTTATGTCAACATAAAAGAAGAGACAATGATAACAGATCCTAGAATGCCAGAAAACAGAGAAAAAGCAATATTAAATGAAATTTTTGATGAAGATGATTTAAAATATGACCCTGAAGAAACATCATATGATGTAGAAAAGATTCCGGTTATGTTAAAATTAACATTTTATGTGTTACAAGGTTTAGATGACAAGAGTCTTTATGCTTTGAATGAATGTCCTTATGATCAGAGTGGTTACTTTATTATAAATGGTTCTGAAAAAGTGTTGATTGCACAAGAAAGAATGATGTTTATGTTTTTGAAAAATCACTGCCTTCACCTTAATATATATATATATTCATTCACAGCTGAAATTAAAAGTGCTATAGAAAAGGGATCCAAATTAATCAGTTCATTAATGATTAAGCTTTTAGCTAAAACAGCTGAGAAATAAAGGTGCTACTGGACAATCTACAAGCAACTATACCTTATATCAAAAAAAAATGTACCATATTTGTTATGATTATAGTTACAAATATTAGAAGCACTAAAATAAAAACCATATATAAAAGAAGCATTTGCAGTCCAAAGTATGAAGGTAGTGGCTGATTGGATAGGCTATAGAGGTACTGCAACAGGAATAATGAGAGACAAACATATAAAATATGCAAAAGATATTCTTCAAAAAGAATTGTTATTATACATTTCAACTGAGTATGGTTGTGAAAAATAAAAGCATTCTTCCTTGGTTATATAATTCATAGATATTAGCTGCTCTTGAAATGAACTAGATGATCAAGATCATTATGGAATTAAGAAACCAGTACTATGTGAAAGATAACACAGGAATAAGAATTATCTTCTCTAATACATTCAGTTATGATATATATCAAAAACAATGAAGCAAAAGAACTTGGTGAACATGAATTCTAACCAACCAATATTAGATCCTTACTACTCTAAATTGCTTGATGAAAGCAAACACTAGAAATTTTAAATCAATTCCTATCTAAGGAGCCATCAAGAAGCAGGCAGAATTGGCTGAACCTGCACACAAACTGATATTATGGCAAGTTAATATTCCTGAAAATGAAAAACATGTCCAAGACATAGATAAAGGAAGGATTGTCAAACTTCATGGTCATCTATTCTGCTTAGACCAAATCATGATTATGCTTTTAAGGAATCCACTTTTAATTTTATTGTTTTGTATATTATCCAAAAAGCTTACAAAGGATGTATCAGCATACCTAAAAAAGTGTATTGATGGTAATCATGAATTCAATTTGAATTTAGCAATTAAAGCACAAACAATTACAAATGGTCTAAAATATTTTCTTGCAAGGAAATTGGAAGACCAAAAAAGGCTATGCAGTCACAAGCTGGTCTCTCCCTTGATGAAATTCTTGCTAGTACAGGATTGCTAAACCAGATGTTAACATAGACAGATTCACAGAATTTGGAAGATAGTAAGACATCCATCACTGATTATGTAAAGGATTATTGCAGTGGAATAATTGATTGACAAAAGAAAATTATGAAAATATTTATAAACACTTTCATGGTCAATTTTTTATCTTAAGTGTTAAGAAGTTAAGGATAATAGAAAAATTATACAATCAATAGAAGATTCTAGCTCACACTACCAAAATGTTAGAGCTAAGATAACTTTAGAAAATAAAGGCATTTTTGAATGGGATGTACCCAAGAACTATTGCATTTTTTCTCAATAATAAATGAATTAGCAAAACCAGATGATACTAAGATAGCAAAAGAAATCTATATATGCTTCCTAGTACTAAATAAAGATATTTTAACTAAGAATCATTTTAATCAATTGATGTTTCTATTAAGCCATTCTGAGAAGAGGTATATCAGACAGTGCTTGAGTAAGTGCATCAGAAAATTTTAATTATGAAAATCCTGCAGGAAGTTTATTACTGGGTAAATTATCTTCAAATATTATTTTTTATTCATTAGAATATCAAAAAAGATTCTTTAGTTACTTTAAAGCTTTATAATATTGCTTTTGAAAAATATAAGTATTATCAAATTATATAATTGAAAATCATTTGAGGTGGATTCTTTTTATTCATTTAAACTTAAAAAATGCAATAGTTCTTGGGTCGTCGGAGTAAGTGCATCAGAAAATTTTAATTATGAAAATCCTGCAGGAAGTCTATTACTGGGTAAATTATCTTCAAATATTTTTTTTTTATTCATTAGAATATCAAAAAAGATTCTTTAGTTTCTTTAAAGCTTTATAATATTACTTTTGAAAAATTTAATATCAAATTATATAATTTAAAATCATTTGAGATGGATTCTTTTTATTCATTTAAACTTAAAAAATTAACTATTAAAAACAAATTTTGTGATAAAGATATTACATCCCAAATTATTAAATATTTGGGATTAAACTTTAAAATCTTAAAAAGTAAATATGTGAATAATGAAATTATAAAAAAATTAGTTCAATATAATTTAGATCTTGATACTTTAAATAGTAATTTATCATTTTTACCTTATTTGAAAATTTTTAAAGTTAAAAATCTAAATTATATTCAGATGCTTATTTAGATGATAAAATTTTCTTTATTAAATTAGCTGAAAGTTTATCTGAAACTACATCTCCTTTTATTAATTTGAAATATATAAATAAGAATAATTTATCTTATTTTTTAAATAATTGTCATAATTATTTAATTTCTTTAAATTTTAAATGGATATACAAAGTCTCTGCTAAAAAAAGAATATGATGTTTTAAAATAATAATGTTTTGGCGGTAGCGTCAAATAGTTGAATATAATATAAACTATGGAAAGAAAAAAAAAATTATAAATATAATTTAAAATATAAATAATCTATATTGCTTCTCTAAAAGTAAAATACATTCGTATCTAACGCAAAAAAAATGCAACGCATTAATTGATATTTGTGAATTGTGATATATATTAAGATGGAAAAACTTTAATTACGATCAATTTTAGAAAAGACAGATAATTTATTGACTACTTTGACTACTTTGGATATTTTTATGAAATGTGGATTGGGTCATCTTAAAAGTTAGTTTAAATTATATAAAGAAAAATAATAATAATTTAAATTAAGAATTAGTGATATAGATAAAGATTGGAATGTTAAAGAATTAAAAATATTACACCAGATTAAAGAGAAAGGAGTTAAATTAACACAATTCATTGATAATTATAAAGAGTATGTCGATATATATAATAACTGACGCGCGTCAGTGTCAAATTTTAAATAGTCTGCTTTTTTTATTAATTAATTTGACTCTAGTTGTATAAGTAAATCTGTGTATCATAATGAGTTACTTATAGAACATCTGATACAAATCGTCATTGAGGCACAACATATATATGAATTTCAGTTTTAAAATTTATAATTAAAGATAAATAAGTTCAATTCCTTGAGGATCACAAACCACCAAATATCTCAGAAAATGCAGGTTGAATGCCGGAATATTCTTGTGAAAAGAAGATTCCAAGTGGGAAAGACATGATACTACACGATGATTCAAAGATAATGATTCAAAAAACGTGTTTATCCATAGTTTTGTTTAATATATCGAATACAAAAGGTTAATAGTATTACTATGTAGAAGTTTCATATATATATTGAGATAATTTACTTTGGGAAATTTTTTTGTATTGCAATCAAATTAAATTCTCTGGAAAGAAAATACGCAACTGTATGGCTCACTTCAAGAGAATTGTTTCATTTTCCAAAATAAAAAAATTCTTTCATTACTATTTCACCTGTTAGATATCGAGAGCAAAATATACACATTTCTCAACATATACAGTTGAGCAACCTTACAAAAAGTGATTCGACTTATTGAAATAGTTTGAGCCCTTGTGTTCGTCCAGAGATTTAGGAATACAATACCATATAACCGCTCCTTTTTGCAATGGAAAAATATTCCAATTAGGCTCATTTAGGTCCACTCGAATTCCAATACCTGGATTGTATATTTGATGTAATGTAAGATACATGAGGCCTCATAGTTCCATTTTCATTGATGTTTAATTTACCTACATTTTCTGGAAATTACACGTTCAAAATATCAAGATATTGTAATTTTCCGGACATTTCCAACGACATTTTTTTTATAGTTATCATTCTAATTTATCTTTTTTATATAACTTGAAATATTTAATTTTGCATAAATAAGCAACGCGAGTTTTGTGTGTGAAATAAACAAGAAAAAAAAAATCTTTTTTTAATTTTTGATATAAAGGTATTGATTTTATTCTTTTATTTTGTTTAGCATAATACTCATAATACTAATTATTTTTTGATTCAAAAAATAAGCCTTTATTGTCTAAAAAAATGTTACGTTGATTTTTTCTTTAATGGAAATTGGGATTCATACGTTATACGCACCATCATAGTTTTGTCTCAAAATTTTTCAAATACATAATAAATTTGCAAAAATTCAATAAAATTTAAATGAAATTTATAAATTTTATACAATGATAAATCATAAAATCATAAATTCTTAACATCATATAATGATTTCATAGATTGTACATTTTCTGATAATTAATTAATATGTCTTAATTTTAGCTTTTTACAAATATCGTTACATCTATGATTTGCCAAGAACAACTGATTAATTCCCTTTTCGCCAAGATTCGTTCTTCCAAATCTTAAAGAATCAATACAATGTATTGCTGGATCAGTTAATAAGAATTTATCATTAACTTCAATCCCTTGAAGATCACAAACCACTAAGTATCCTTTGGTGTATACATATGTGAAATGGGAAAATGCTTCAAGAGCAGGCCGAAGCTCCACAATTACACCAGTATTTGTATTAAATCGTTTATAATCCGTATCTTTAAGTCTTAGTTCAATAGTATAATATCGAGTACAAAGGTCAATAGTTCCACAACGTAAAAATTTTGCATAAAGAAAATTTACTTTAGGAATACTTTTTTGTTCTGCAATCAAATTAAATTTTGTAGCGAGAAAATGTGCAACTGTAGAAACTTCTACCGCCTCAAGATATTTTTCAAAAGGATCATTTCGACCAACATAAAGGTATTCTTTCATCACCATGTTTTTTGCTGGATTACTTTTAATATCGAAAGCAAAATATGCACATTTTTCAACACCCGCAGAAAATGGTTGTGAGGCAATTTTGAAGGAGAAACTTTCAGAAAAGAGATTCGATTTGTCGAAATAGTTTGAGTCTTTAAGTTCATCCAAAGTATCGGGAATATGATACCACATAACTACCCCTTCTTGCAATGGAAGAATATTCCAATCAGGTTCATTTGAATTCATATCGAGTTTTTTTTGTTGCAAAGAATATATATCCTTGGTTTTGCTTCCAATAATACTAGTTAGTGAAACGGCACAAGTGATAGATGATAAGGTGGCCTTAACAAATTTGTCTAGTAATTTAATAGGATCCCCTCCTACAAGATCAAATACCGGAAATTCACCAATTATACTACGGAATATTTTAAGCATTTTTTCGGTATACTTTGTAATTTTACCAAAAAAGTAAAGGATATTGTTTGATTGCATCTTTTCTAGTACATTTTCTGCGGTTAAACCATTTGGATCGCCATCTGGATAGTTATCTTCTAAGGTTGTGAAACGACGACCATGTGGTGGAAAATCACCAATATGAAAAAGAACTCGAGTACTACTTTGCCAATTCATTTGAGTTATTGCTGCATTAAGACCTCCAAGAACGTCCTCTGGGCCATCACTATATTTTGAATATACACCAGGTGATACTTTACGCATATATTTTGTAAATTTAGTATATTTGTTGGTAAAATTAAAAACTTGTAATCGATGATGAGGTTTATTGTTGTGGTCTCGATAGCCACAAAAACCAACTCGAAGTTTAATACTTGGATTTGTACATTTAATGTAATTCGAAACATGTGAGATACAATCTTTAGCAGCAGCAATATGAGGTTTCATAGAACCAGTGCAGTCTAAAACAAAACAAAGATCAACTTCCATTGAAAGTTTGATGTTATTGAGCGTTTTGGATATAGCCTTTTCTCGTAAATATATAGCTTTAGTTTTTAACTCATTTTCTGTATTAATAGTTAACGTTGTATTGGAAGATAGAGTATTTGCCTCACTTTCATAGCGTTTTAAACGTTCTTCAGTAAAGTTCAATTTATCTAAATCAGATACAAGCGAGGAGGGGATAACGGGAGTGGATATCGTATTGGAAAATTTATCATTTACATTATTTGTTGATTTTATTTCGGAAGGTAAAGTATTTTTCTCATCGGAACAGTTTTTCAGATGTTTTTCAGTGATATTCGGTTCATTTACGTCATTTGGATAACTTTTGGTGGTTGTAATTTTTTTATTTTTCAGGCAAATCCACTTTGACATATTTAAAATATTTTTTTTTTTTAAAAAAAAAAAAATTCTCATTTATAAGAAATGCGCTTTGAAAATCTTTTCCGAATTAATATAATTTATATAAGTTTAAATTAATAAAGATTTAGATGGAATTCCAAAACTGATCGAGATAATAAGGATTGTCAAACAAATAATTCATTTATGCGACCCCTGATTATTATTACATCATCATTTACGAATATTCATTTGTTACATTTGTTACATGCATGGTAGATATAAATGAATCAAGAATAAGAATAAATGACAAATGATTAAACAAATCCTTTAAATAGTCAAATGACCAGGTATTAAGTAAAATGCTTTTCAAATAACGTACTTTAAAAGTAACTGAAATATTCTCATTTAACCATGTCACTTTAATAATTTATTTGTTTTTTTCAATACTAGATTAGATCCGTTCAATGTTATCGTTATCGTTAGTTGTTAAAAATCTAAAATTATTTTAATTCCGATAACAGTAAAATTCTTTCTTATAAAGTTTTAAGAAACTTAATTTATATCACATTTTTATAAGGAAATTATGGGATGGCATTTTTTCTGAATATATTGGACGCGGAGTGTTGAAAAATCATTAAAACTGTAGAAGAAACGAGATAACAATAATTAATATGTTACAGATAAGTTTACCAAAAGTGAATTGACGAAAAAAAATACTGTATGTGATATAATTACTGTTTGACCAACAAAATTCCAAGTTTCATAGTATTAAATCAACAATAAATAATTAAATTAAACTTATTTTCACGCACTTTCCCCCAGAACTTTACCTTTTTTTAATATATGGTACAGAGTCCGTAAAAAAAAGAATCCGTCAAAAAAGAAAAAGAATCCAATCCGTCAAAAAAAAAAGAATCCGTAAAAAAAAAAAGAATCCGTCAAAAAAAAAAAAAATATTGTTATTAAATAAACAAAAAAGAAAATTGTAAATATTTCCCATAATAACAGATAAGCTCTTGTCACGTTATATGCCAATATACTAATAACTTTATGTTATTCCGAACAAATTACGCAACTATTAGCTTCCGTAAATATATAGGTATTAACCCTTTTTTTCCTTTTCCTTCTCTCTCGCCTTTTCTCTTCTTTTATCATATATATGTTATTCATTGCTAAGATACTGTACCTGATATCTACACTTTTTTCCAATATAATAAAGTAACTTCCTTTCAGAGTAACAAACCTAAGTTAAAATTTCTACAATAAAGAGGAACATACTGTAATTTCATTTTGATACAAATCATTAACTAATATTGATTCATTTCTAAAAGTGATATTTTACATTTTACATTGATTCTTTATTCTCATTATTGTAATTTGTGAAAAAGAATGTTTGATTACATTTATTAGTTTTGCCAACAGTACGATCTGATTGAATTAGGTTTCCAAATTATTATTGAATCATTATTTAATTTCAAATTTATTTAATATGAGGAAAATCTCTCTCTGTAAACAATACATGTTTATTCCCTAACTTACAAGCCTTAATATATCTCAAGTTTCATGAAAAAGAAGATATTAATGATAACCACAGTTTGCGAGAGTTACCAGTCAAGTAACCAGACTTTGCGTACGTCCTTTCCTTCTTAAGTTAAAAGCGGAGAACAATAATTTTTTGATCATGTGTTGTTTATTTAGTGATTAGTTGAATTTTTGAGGGTATACTATTTTCGGACTCCTATTTCTTATATTTGCATTTCACTGATCTGACACGTGCCCGGTGACCCCGGTCATCTGTTGCATTTTTGTAATATCCCATAAATTTTAAGCTACCACTATCGAATATCATAATGATATTCGAATTAATTTGCAAAATCTTGTTTTTCATCAATTTTTTTTATTATAAAAACTGAGTGAAATATTAAAATAATGGGGTTTTAACTTTATTCTTGAAGAACAATAATTCAAGAATAAAAAAAAAATTTGAATTATCTAAATCATATGACATTCAACACCATATTCGAATCTTGTGACATTAAAATTCTAGAATATTAACTTCACTTTCAATTGGTTTATATTCGAATATCCTAATTTAGATTTTGTGCTAAAGTAATGCAATCTGTGAACGTCATATTGGAGCTAATGTTGCAGGCGAAACTGTTTTGTGGCTGGTGAAAAGTAGGTTAAATTGATAATTTTCACGTTATTTCTTATTCCTATAAAAAAAAATTCCGGAAAAAACTAAAACTTCTCATTTTTCTAGTTTTTATTCCAACACATGATCATTTTTTGAAAAAAATTTTTATAGGGTTAAAAATTATTAATTCCCCAATATCACGGATATTAAAATACATCATATTTAACCCGCATATGTTATGGCTAAACATCGATGATCCGCAGAATATGCTATGCGCAGTAATACGTCACCGATAATATAATTACGATCAAAGAAATTATTTTATTATTAGTCACGATGTGTCATATTCAGAAACGTCCCACGGTTTTCATGATTCACACTAAAAGTTGCAAATACTTTATAAAAGTTTTATAGTAATTTAATTAGTCTGATCATGCCTGAACCTGTATGACTCGATAATTATATTATATCATACAAGATGAATAAGATTACTCAAAAAAAGGATATATAAAATTATATATCCTAAGCAAAAAATATTTTTTCTTTTGTCTTTTTTTAATACGTCTATATAAGCCGTGCGATAATAATCAATAATTGGCTATTCAGTCTATTCCTATGATATATTACGTAATAGTGAGTAAAATCAGTGACACTATGATAGTACTATGATATGGTTACGTAATATCGTTTCCCATCTATATAAACACCAAGACCTCCCTAAAAAATTTATTCTCATGAATTATTTTTAAAAAGAACACGTAAAAAACTTACGTTCTCATGAATTACTTCAAACAAAATATTATTTGGGATTGTGTCGAGGCAGTTGATCATTATAAACTAATGAGACCCAAGCGTTCCATAGGTGGTAAAGAGAACGGAGAAGAATCGTTCACACGTATTTTAGATCGAATAAAGAGAGATATTCTGTTTCTACGAAACAATAATTCTCTGGATTCCTCTCAAGCGACTTATGCAGACTATATCATAACAAACTGGAAGGTATGTGAAGAGCATTAAATCGTAAAAGTATATTCTTCTTCCAATTTTCTTTGATGCATGTTAAGGTCTGTCGGTTCTGGAGGAGGAACCAACTATCCTTCCTTAAACAGTCGAAGAAAATTTGTTAATTATAGATTACACTTTTATTTGCTAGTTATAGATGGACAAGCTGGACTGCTAGTCTACAGCAATGTTCATGAGTCCGGCGTAACTGCTAGTTCAACGCCTTTTGTTAAGTTCTGATAAATGGAAAAGCTGGACTGCTAGTCTACAGCAATTTTCATGAGTCCGACGTAACTGCTAGTTCAACGCCTTTTGTCAAGTTCGATGGACAAGCTGGACTGCTAGTCTACAGCAATGTTCATGAATCCGGCGTAACTGCTAGTTCAACGTCTTTTGTTAAGTTCTGATCATACTGGGTGTAGAACTGCTAGTTTTAACACCTCTTGCATTTTCAATATCTTTTTTTTAGCAATGGACTAGAAAAGCTAAGACGTCGTCCAAATCAAGTAACGTAAAAAAAAAAACGGGAAACAAAAAAATTAAAGTCCACAAATACACTAATTAAATTTCTTAAAGAATATGGTTTAAATTTCGACAAAAATGACTTTATCATTCTCAAAGAGTCCAAAATAACAGCCAAGGATCTCGTGGTTTTTAATGAGAACGATTATACAAGATGTGGCTTGAGAATGGCACCGGTAATCAGACTAATGAAATTTATAGAGGATAACAAAGACAAAAGTGAGTAATCATGACAGTCTATCTGAAGAATGTTGTAAAAAATACCCTACTAACAAATTTTCTAAGTCTTGGAACGCTTTTTTTGAAGAACGACATTTTCACATTTCAAAGTGAGGAAGAACGATACTCAGGAACCGAGAAACGTCACTACCCGAATATGTTACTGTTAAATATGCGATAATTTGTAAGTCATTTTTAATAATTGTTTACTTGAGTTAAACGTTAGATCTGATCAAGTTTCTTACTAATCATTATTTTTTAAAAAGATTTTCCGCTTTATCTGTTATTGTATTACGTCATCATCAAGCGTAGAAGTATATATTCCTTCGTTAACACACAATAACACTTCGGACTAATATTGCCAACTGAAATAAAAATGAGAGTAAAACGAGCTGCATATTTTGGCCCTTTAAGATAGAAGACCGAAGGTAAAAAAGACATCGTATAGGAAAAGCAATATATATTTAACTTAATTTATTATAACACGATTGATCTTTTTGGCTTCCTGTAGTATGTCAACACTGTCGACGATAGACTTACAAGAATGTAAACATCATTTTTTTATATTTCTTTTTCTTTATGGGTACAACTTTATAATCCCTGATCAAATTCACGGTATTTTGATGCATATTAAAGTCACGAGACAGCAAATCATTTTTTGGAATTGAAGAAAAGAACCAGACATTATACTCTAAGAGGATTTAAGGCAAGTATTTCTGTCGTATGGTTCTACTTGCTTTATGGGCGTGCGTTGTATTTGAGTGTTATAACATAGGGATTTATGTGCTCGTAGTACGTACCATATGCTATTGGCTAGTAGTCATCTGCTTTGTGCACAAAGTCGTAGCTACTATGATGCCACGTAGACGGTTCCACAAGCTGACTCATATGGGAGGGCAGGCCGTGGTGCCCATGGAAGTGACACATATTTCTATGTTATGTGCATACTTGATTATGATATATGCTAACATAATGTAAATTCAATTAGATTTATCTAAGAATTACTGGTTACTATACTTCGAATTTGGACTTTTTGTGGTACATTTTATTTGAAGAATATCATCAGCATAACCATTTCATCAATTTAACAGAAAATTAACCAACTTGGATAAAATTTAATTTTTTAATTGTCGTATACTTTTCAGTTATTGTTTTAGAACCATGATTAATTTGAAGGAAACAATGTTGATAGTGTTTATAAATTAAGTACATATGATCTCATAAAGTTGCCATTAGATAACTTGATATAAAAAAAAAAAATTTTTAAATTAAAAAAACTAATTCATTTATGTATTCTAATTTGTTATAATAAAATAAAAAAAATTGTATCTTATGATATCATATATTATACTGTATACGTTTTAACCTTATACTGGTTTTTAATCGAACCTGTTAACACTACGATTTACATTAATACCTCGTTCAAAATCTCTAAGAAATTCGTTCAAAATTGGCAAGAATCTTTATTTGGAAAGAGGAAAGCGATCTGCATTATTCAAAAAACTTCTAAGGATTATTCATTTAGTCAAATGCCTACTTATAAATAGATTTTTGAGTTAAAGAATACGTTTACGTGGTTCTCGTATAATTATTGGTGATTTTGAATAGAGGGTCCAATTAAATTAATTTACTTTCAGTCCTGATCTATTACTATTGCTGTTTCATTAACTAGTTACTATTGGGAGTAGTTTCAAAAAGATATCCCGCCCCACAACAAAAAAAACCTTCCGATTTAAATCAAGCCTAAGTTGGAAATAAAAAATAGACAAAAACTATACGTTCACAAAGTTCACAAAATAATAAATTTAAATCTATTCAAACTGAGGGATGTAGAGTGTTTGGAGATTTTCTGTCATATTCTCTCTACAATGAGCATGAACAATTCTAAATTTGTAATTTTTAAACCAGGTTCTTTGTAAAGAACATGTCATTTGGAGTATAATTTTATAAATTAGATTAACATCATGATCAAAATTAGCAAGAGTATCATGAAAATTTTTAAATTTAAAATTAGTAGCGTAATTAATAAACTTAGACATGGCGATATAAATCAATGCAAAAATATAATACCCGCCTATTAAATATGTAATTTTCATTCCATATAATATATATTCATAAAATAATCATGAAAATTTCTATTATTTGCAAACTTTTGTTGATAAATTTTCATACAATAATAGGATAATAATAATTTAATAATATACAGTAGTAATAGCAGATAATTTTTTTTTAGATTTTTAATTCTGAGTTTGTGATAAGTTTTTCTTTTGGAACAATGTGAAATAATTGAAATGTGATATTTCATTTACGTACTATTTATAGAACTCAAATTTTTTATTTATTTTATTTATAGAACGAAACGCCAGTTGTAATACAACGTTAAATAACCAAGAAATTTGTTCATTTTATTTTAGAAAATGAAAAGGATGCTTAATCGTTCATCATCTCATCAATCTTTATATTTATTAATTTGGAATGATTTTCAGATATGAAAATCCTCATAAGAATTTCCTAATCGGAAATTTCGTCTAAATAGTTTAAATAATAAACCCATCAACCCAGTTTGGTAAAGTGCGTATTAAATGCCGTAATATAAATTCCCAAAATTCTTTGGCTGCAGACCAAAGCTTTTAGCAATTTTTCTTTAAAATAATTTTTAACGTTAAAAAACATGTCCAAGTGGTTCTGTTATTCAAAAAATAATGCAAACACCCAAAGTTCTAATTCGACATCCACTTCCTCTGTTTCCTCCTCTCTTGCATATGATTTAGATAATTTAAATATCACTCAAGAACGTCTAAAGCGTTATGCTGATGAGGCAAATACTTTATCTTCTGAAACTTCTGATACAACGTTAACTGCCAATACGGAAGATGATTTAAAGACTAAAACTATCTTTTTACGAGAAAAGGCTATATCCAAAACACTCAATAAAATCAAACTTTCAATGAAAGTTGATCTTTGCTTCGTTTTAGACTGCACTGGATCTATGGAGTCCCATATTGCTGCTGCTAAAGATTGTATCTCACATGTATTAAACTATATTATACGTACAAATTCAAATATTAAGCTTCGGGTTGGTTTTTGTGGCTATCGAGATCATAATGATAAAGGTGATCGTCTGCAATTTTTAGATTTTACCGACAAATATGAGCAATTTACAACATATATGCATAAAGTAAAATCTGTTAGTTCATCAAATAATGATAGACCAGAGGATGTTCTTGGAGGTCTTGATGCAGCAATAACTCAAATGGATTGGCAAAATAGCACTCGTGTTCTTTTTCATATTGGTGATTGTCCACCACATGGTCGTCGTTTCACAACCTTAAGAGATAACTATCCAGATGGTGATCCAAATGGCTTAACAGCAGAAAATGTACTAGAAAAGATGCAATCAAAAAATATATTTTACTTTTTTGGAAAAATTACAGATAAAACTGATAAAATGCTTGAAATATTCCGTGGTATAATTGGTGAATTCCCTATGTTTGATCTTGTAGGAGGAGATCCAATTAAACTAATTGAAAAATTGATTAAAGCAACTTCATCATCTATTACTTATGCTGTTTCAAGTACCATTGGAAGCAACTCCAAAGAAATATATTCTTTGAAACAAAAAAAACTTGATATGAATCCAAATGTACCCGATTGGAACACTCTTTCTTTACAAAAAGGAGTAGTTATGTGGTATTTTATTCCTAAAACTCTTGACGAACTTAAAAATCCAACATACTTTAACAAACCGAAACTCTTTTCTGAAAGTTTCTCCTTCAAGATTGCCCAACAACCATTTTCCGGAGGTGTTGAAAAATGTGCATATTTTGCTCTTGATATCAAGCGTAATAAAATACCTTTCATTCCTTGCATAGCTAAACAACAAATGAAAGAAATGGTAATAAAAGAATACATTCATATTGGGAAGAATGATCCGTTTGAAAAGTATCTTGAGGCGGTAGAAGTCTCTACAGTTGCATATTTTCTCTCTGAAGAATTTAATCGACATGCAAAAAGAAAAAATATTCCCAAAGTAAATTTTCTCAATGTAAAACTTTTACGTTGTGGTACTATTGACCTTCGTACTCGGTATTATATTATTGAACCAAGACTTAAAGATGCAGAGTATAAACGATTCAATGCAAATACTGGTGTAATTACAGAACTTCGGCCTACTCTTGAAGCATTTGTTCACTTCACATATGAATACACTGAAGGATATTTAGTGGTTTGTGACCTTCAAGGAATTGAACTTAATAATGAATTCATATTAACTGATCCAGCAATACATTGTATTGATTCTTTAAGATTTGGAGGAACAAATTTTGGTAAAGATGGAATTAGCGAATTGTTCTTGGCAAATCATAGATGTAACGATATTTGTAAAAAGTTAAAATTAAGTCATATTGATAACAGTGCATTCAACTTAGTCCCAACAAGTGACAACAACTAAATTTAATGAAATTCAAATCACTACTACTCAAATCTAATCATACAATGATAAAACAGAACAAGCCTAACAGATCTACGTTGTTAAATTTTCTATAAAATGTTTTTTAATGCAATTCAAAGTTAGAATATTTTACTATTAAATTAAATTAAATATTATGCCACTTCACAATTATGTGTAAATCTGACCAAAATTACTTTTATCTGATCATTAGCTATGAATTTGGATAAAATTATATACAAATTTGGCCAGAATTAAGAATAATAATTTAAACTATATAAATCTAGCCAATAAAACTGCAAGTTTAACGTATCACGTGATATAAATTGACATTTTAAATTTGAACGTGAATTACATAAATTTTCTAAATATTTCCGATGATAAAACTGTTTACAATATAAACTATTTGCAATAATAATTGTAAAATTGTAGACTTTAAAGATATCTTTTCCGAATTTTTCAATTTTGAAAGATTTCAACGTATTAAAAACTTTAAAAGGATGTGGGCGAGAGAAAACAGATCAACTATAACTCAAACGTAGTGTTACGCGATTTACTACACTTATGAAATTTTAAAATCCGCACAGGCGATACGGTAATACAAGTTATTATTGTTATAATAAAAAAAATATATTTATAGTTAAATGTGAAATTCTTACCCTGCAGTTTTCAGGTTTTTTGTGAGTGACCTGCCTTTTCGACTATCTTTTTTATCAACACGAATTTTGTTTCTGATTTTTTTTAGATTGTCGCTTCGTCCACCTTTTTATGTCAAATTGGTCAAAATAATTGCGGGAGACTGAGTTTCTTCGAATTAATTTATATTTTGTTATCTTTGGAAAAAAATTAGCATATTCACTGATTCACAGTTTTTTTCCTTTCTTAGGTAATACTTAAGCAACCGATTTTTTACCTCATTATTATCATTTACATGATACTTCTTATATAATTAGATATTAAAATGTAATAAGTATGAAACTGATATATGGACGTTTCAATTTTTTTAATTTTATTGAAATTTCATCGTTCTCTATTGTAATAAAACAAATTGGATAAAATTAATTTCACAAAGAATATTTATAAATTTATTTTCACCATTATACCTTTTTATTGATGTACCGAGACATTGACTAGAACTTAAATAAATAAATATGTGTTATATATAATATAATTAACCATTACTTGGGAATTTTTTAAAATAATATAATTTTTATTAATTAATATTTACTAGTAATTACGTATTAATCAAATTGATTATATGATTATAGATGACTATAAAATATTTTAAAATTGCATGAACGATCCGGTTAAACCAACATGTGATATTAATCAAAATCGTAACACTACATTTGAGTCTTAGTTTCAAAATATCAAATATATAAGCCCCATTTTGAAATTTTTTTTTCTTTTGTCATCTACTTTACTTGATGATGTCTAGGTTTTACATCTGGTATAATGAAGATGGTTGAACTTTCCGGACCATAAGTGATTGTCGACGACCTTGGTTTATTGGAAACGTGCTAAACTCATAGCATATTCCTTTGCATCCCTATGTATTTGCCGATTGGTGTTTGAAGTCATAGCTCTAGTTAGCTTATTCCATATTATAGGTGTTTCTCTTCTTTAATCTGTTTCTTTTCTTTTTCCCATGTGTTTAAAGATTAAGAAAACAGATAAGCTTTTTTTAAAATTTTATCCTGATGGAGAGCATATCTGTGCTTTGACTAGTTCGACTCTAGTCTAAGATCTCGTTAAATTAATTTTGAAGTACATCGGTTAAATTAATTCGAATAGGAATTATTAAAATCATTTTATTGTATTCATATGTGAAGTGGACAAATGCTTCAAGAGTAGTCCGAAGTTCTGTAATTACACTAGTATTTGCATTATCTGTTAATTTCCAACATGGGAATTGCCCTTTTGTTTGGCAGACGGAAAGTTCTTCAACTTCAACTTAAGACTCTTGGTTGATTGAAGTTCATGGACGCCCTTCATATACAGTGTTTTCTTTTCACGACTTATCTGGTGGAATTTACCCTAACCCTAACCTTTCCAATACATATTTCCCGCCAATAATGTATGCCCTTCTACAAAGATATAGTGTTCATCTATGAGCCTCCGTCCCAGATCTTTGATGATATTTTCGGAAGCAATGTAGAAATTGGTGTGCCGGTGCCTTCTGAGAAATGTTTTGGAAATAATCACCAGCTTTAGATCACATTCTATTTCAATCTTATCAAGACTGTTCACAATTTTATATTGAATTCACCACATTCAATATTTAACTCGATAAATTTCATGTAGCATACTAGTTCCCGCAATCATGAAGGTACTGATAGCAAAGGTGTTTGAGTATCTCAAAACTACTTAAATCGGCTCCAAATAAATAGGTTAAAGCTACCTATTAAGATTCCCGCTAAGATTTCTGCTGCCAAAACCGCTTCATCGACTATTACTAAAAATGGCTTATAAACCTTTTAAAATCTATAAGTTCTATAATTAAAAGTTTGTTTAAATTTAAATGAACGAAGAATCAGAAGAAGAAGGTATAATATTATAAGAAGAAGAAATGTTATTTTGTAATAAAGGTAAATATGATCATGTTCTATAATTAAAAGTTTGTTTAAATTTGAAATTAATGAAGAATCAGAAGAAGGTATAATATTATAAGAAGAAATGTTATTTTGTAATAAAGGTAAATGTGATCATGCTATACTTTAGAAAATACTTTGCGAGATTCTACAAGAGGAACTTGAATCTGCTAGGAAAGTAACGGAGGTTTCAGAGGACCACGGAAAAGACCATGGGGGAACGATCCCATGGACATTGATGTCACACGACTGGAAAATGCCAGTTCCTAAAACAATTTTATTGTTAGCAAAGCTTCGTGCATATTTTCCACTTAGACAACAAATACTCTTATAATAACATCACGTTACAATTGACGCAAAAAAAATTTCCAATATTCAAGAAAACCTTTAAAATACCTTCAACGATTTCACAGAAAATTGGAACATACCATCTGACATCTGAAAGTTAATGACCTAGAGAACGTATTTGCAGTCCACAATAAAGGGTAAAGGAAATTATTGTAGATGTGATGACAAACTCTTCATCTTCAGGAAAGGATTAAACTGTGTAGTATTTATCGTCCTGATCTAGGAGTGTATTTTGTCTAACAGGAATCTGTGGCAAAGATGATCCAGAGCGATGGTATGTCGTACGTGATAGTGTACTTGAAGACTGTTCTCAAAGATGCTTCATGGTGTGCAAAACACGACGGCGATGTATTATGACGTGACTATACAAAAACGGAAAATCCTGTTAATAATTGACTCGGGAGCAGCTGGTAGTATTGTTACCCGTCAGTCATTGAACGATCGCACGAAAATAACATCAAAGAAAGTCTTTCCACTGTTTCTCTGCCATCTCTGTTATCTTTCTCTAAGTCACTCGAGGAACTTTTTTCGAAGCATTTTTCTGAAAATCCCTTAAAACTCAATCCCACAATCAAATTTTTAATCACATAACTAATCCTCAAAAAAACAAGTGCTCGAAGCAGTTCTCTGGTATCCTCAAGATTCAGTAAAGAATACATTACATAGTGTTTTTAAATTTTGCGAACAAAAAGAAATGCCTCATTTGGGTGATGTCAAGCATTAACGTTACAATATCATTGATCAATTTGGAGAAATATAAAGAACCGATGATCGATTTGGAAATCAAAGTATTTCCAACTTAATGATATAAACCTTTTCGTCAATACCAGCATTTTCAATAGCTGAAACTGTTGCTCAATTAAATATGGTAATCAAAATGAAAAGCGAGTGGATAGTAAAGGGTTCAAATATAAGAGTAAAGAATGGATAGCTGCAATGTTAATTGTGGATTCTCCGAATTGGAAAGACCTTATCTGTTCATCTTATTGCAAGTAATCAAGAGTCAAGAATGGAAAGTGGTTCTTAATTCCTGTGGCATAGTCGATTCATGGCTGTTGGATCTTAAATTGTCATCATTTGCTTCGGGACAAAAGCCTTTACCAAAGTCCAAATAGATACTCAGATGCAGCTTCGATTTTCCTAATTTGAGTAAAAAAAAATTTCGGAATATCGGTATTCCGTCCAATATAATTTGAAGAAATTTTTGTTTTATTAGATAGTTGCTCTTTGAGGTGATTGAATAGTTCCATTCCAAATCTAATTTTCCCCATGAATAATTTTACAAAGTCTGAGAACTATATGAAGACCCATACCTATTCCGGGAGCTTTACCACTGATGAAGAAGTCTTGGATTTAGATATTCAACACATTTACACACGTTTCCTGTAATCTTTGCAATTGCATCATCGCATATCATTACGCTGATGCATCATCACCCTCCTTTTCCCAAAGTTTCATTCTTATTTTGAAAAGGAACAATTAATTTCTTTAACTTTGCTAGAATTCTCCTATTATTTTTCTGAAACTCCTCCCACTGCTCTAACAGAACCGGAAACATCGATTGCACCAGTAATCATTGAGTCAGCCCTCATGGGAATGTTAGTTATAGAAGAGAGCAACGCCTGTATTACTCAAAACAAGAATCTTATCATCCTCAGATGGAGCATAAACAAGAGAAGATATTCTATCGGAGCCAGAAGAACACTCGACGCGTAAAACATCTTTTTAAAGATGACATATTGAAACACTTTCAACAAATTCGATTAGAACGCTAGATTTGATGTATTTCGCGCAATCTTTTGGTTTGTAAAGAACAGGAAAAAGCACAAGCATTAGCGAATATGATTCCGTATAAACAAAAAAATGAAAAATTTCTTTTTTTTTTGAGAGACAGATTTACCGTGTCACAGATAATACTGAATCTAAAACAATGGAGACACTTACAAGATTGTAGCAATGTGGATGTTCTACGAACTATGACCTAAATATTAGCTTGGTTATATCTACTAAGCAGTTCCATTTCATTGTCGTGAAATTTTTGTTTAATGACATTATCGAGAGAAATATCCAAGCAACATTTCTATTACAAGCATGATCCTTTAGTTGATCAACTCTGTAACTATTAAAAGTTAATTTACTAAGTTCGATGAGTCTATTGACATTATCATTGATATTGTCGTTTTAAATTTCAAAATTTCAACGTCAAAAGTGTCGAATAGGAGTGAACAGTTGAACGAAACACATTTGAACGGAACATTCATTTCGAAGATTTCTCTAAAATAACAAAAATGAAGTCTCGAAAAATTTAACTGTGAATTACTGTTACACAATACTGTTCATCAATCAACGTGACTATATTTGTACAACAAATTTTCTTTGAACACTTTTTCGTTTGTGGCGTTTGTGGCTATGCAATTGCAAGGGAGCGTTCAAAAATGTCGATGACTTTAGGGATGACTTTATTAAAATCACGAAAGGTGGACAACATAAACTTTCAACCATTTACTAATTAATTTATTTCCATCACTGTATATCTTCAGTACGGATATCAATGATCGAAAGTTGGATCATGGAATTAATACGCACTGGATATAAAGTCGTGACTCTTTCATATGATTTGAGAATTTTTTTTTCAAAATAAGTCATGCCAATCAAACTCGTCTTTCTGCAGATATAAATATAAGAAACGGGAGGCTATTTATCTTTGCATCCGGAGGATCATTACTCCTCATGTATTTTCTTTACTTATTTTGCTTTAAATCTTGAAATAGACTCGATATTTATTTCAAAGGAACGCACTCCCATCAGTCCCATGTGACATTAATCCTGTCTTATGTTATACGAGCATCATTCTTGTATTTATTAATCACATAAAAGTGCCACGATATCCGGATACTTCGAATTCAATCACAATATTGGTAGCAGTTGAGTATTATTCCTTGGTCTTGCAGACCAGGAGGATTGTTAAAAAATTGATAAATTGATCAAATTTTTTTTAGTATTATTGGTTATCACATGGTTGAACTTTTAATGCTATTCAACCGTCTATAAATGCTGTTCAATCATGTAATTCCGGCCAGTACTGTTTAAGTGATTCTTATAAAAGCTGGGAATTTTAGAAACTGAAAACCTTTTTGTACGACGTCACAAGTTCAAGCAAAAAAAAATGGTTTTTTCACAATTCGTTGTTCAAATTTGAGAAAAAGAACGTTTGGAAAACCCTAATGGCAATTATTGATGATATCTGAACTTTATAAATTATCTTTTAAGTAGGTTTACCTAAATTCAAGAAAGATTTCATAAAAAAAACCTTTTTAATGTTCATTTATTATTTTACATTATCATTATTATCGTTTCACTTTTTATATTTTTAAAAAAAATTTCAATAATTAGTAAAAAAAAAATATCGAAAACTATTCGTAAACCACTCCAAATAATTTACCTAGATCTGCTATAGGTCTAATCATTCAAAACCAATTCGGGCAAACTAGAGGATTTGGTTGGATTCACTAGCCAGAATAAGATAACTTCTAAAAAAGGTCCCATTTTTCCCTCATTTACAGGAAAAAAGCCCATATTTTCTTTTTTTTTCCAAAAACTGTAACATAATTTTAAATTGTTGACGTCTTGACGGTCGGTTTTAATTATTTACATTATTACATCCTTTGTAAAAGAGTATCACATAAAGTGAAGTATTGCAGTTAAACCTGAAAATATTCTTTCCTTTTTGAAACTTGCCATTGGTACGTAATATAATTTTCGAAAAAAAAAGAGAAATAAAAAATTCGTCATACAGTTATTTCATAACATCTTCAAAAGGTCAATATTCCACACTCAGCAACTAAATTTTGATTCGATGAAAGCTGACAAAGGCCGTGAAAAGAGTGAATAATTAATTATTTGATTTAATTTGAATTATGTCAACGCAATACTGTATTTTCAAAAATATTAGAAAATAATCGCAAAAATTAATATTGACCAAAAATTTTAATCATAAAAATAATTGATTGTTTCAATCATTTATTTATGTAAATTATTGTTATTTACATATGAAAATTAGATATTAATGAAAAATTTCCATACAAAAAAATGAATATATAATAATGAGAAAATCAAATATACAAAAAAAAAGAGAGAATGACTACAACCAGGTTTGTTCCTTCCCCAATAATATTATAATGACGTCCAATTAATAAAAAAAAGTGAACTTAATAAGAGTATAATATGATGATAAGATATATTCTATAAAAAAATTAAAGTAAATTATATTGGATTTGGATATTAAAATAAACATAGTTATATGCGTGAAAATTATCTGTTGATAGAGTGAAAACAAAAACTTTGAATGCTCATGAATATTAAATGTATGCGTTATGATATATATAAAATTATATTACATAAATTAGATAAAAAGTTAATAAGTAATAATATAAAGTCATTAAAATATATTACAATTAGTTTTTTTTTTTTTTTTTTAAAAAAAAAAAAAAAAATACTTGCTGTCACTGTTAGACGCGCTCCAAAATTGTTAATCTATAACAATTCTGACCAATCGGATAGTAATTGATTGGAAGTTTTGACAACGGTAACTTCCAAATTTCTCTTCGTCTTCGTCTTCACGTTTTTTATAATATTCTTAACGTTAGCAGCAATAACTTCGTGAATAATAAGTCTAATTCTTTTGATATTCTTGTTATTTTTCAAGAAATTATTCACCAAATCTACATATTCATTATCCATTCCAACATCTTCATAAATAAGATCAAAATATTCTAAATTACATCCTATGGACTTCAAAACTTTTTTCAATGAATTATTATCATCACATAATCCACCAATATCCAGTGTAAGGTGAGTAATACGTTTTTGAAGAACACTCAATATAGATCTAAGATCATTAGGGATGTTAACATCATGATGCCTTGCCACTTTCAGGGAAAAACATTGTAAATTACAATTCTTGTTCTTAAGTAATTTCTTCAAACAAGAGGCAAAAGTAGAGAAACTAACGTTATTTGAAGGACGAATTGATAAATGAGTCAAATTGGAAATGAATTGAGATGAGATTATATTAATAATTTCAGGAGTAGTCTTTTCAATATAAAGTTTTTTTAATGAAATAGGGGATATTATTTTAAGTAAAGGAATTATTGAATTGGCATGATGATTTCTATGTATAATTAAATTTTCCACTGAAATATCATATGATGGTGAATGAGATAAATTTGAATTATTATACGAAGTATTAAATATTGACCTATAAGAACTATTTCCCCTGCTACTGTTACTACTACTATTTCCGATACCACTACCAGTAGAATAACAATTATTACTACAATCATCATTAAATAAATAATCATCATTATTTGAAATTGATTGATGACGTTGCTCAAAACCTTTAAATTCCAATACTTTAAGATTTTCACAATTTGATAAAAATTCTAATAAATGACTACTAAAATGACTTAAATCAGAAAATTCCAAATATTCCAAAGTATCTCTGTGTTTACTTAAAGAAAAGAAAATATCAAAAGAATTATTATTTAACCAAAATTCATTGGATTTAAATGTTGTTAAATAACGTAAACTTGATAAAAATTTACAAATTTGATGAATTGGGGGATTAGAATTTTTATGTAAAACAAGTTCAACTTGATTAATATTAATTGAAGTTATACTTAAAGTACGGAATAAATCAGAAATGATTGGATTAATATCATTAATAAAAGTAAAAGTTCTTTGAGGAATATAAATGAAATTAAATTTTTTTAACCGTTGTAATTTTAATTCAGTATTTTTGAAAGAGGATAAATCAATGGATTTTAAAGCGTCCTCAGTAACATAATGATAGTTCAATGAATGAAGAGCATTGCTCTTGTTAAATATCCACTGTGCCAAATAAGTAGTCGGATTAAATGATGGTGATTTATAATGCATTAATTTGATATTTCTCAATAAATTTTTAAAAAAGTATTCTATCGAAGAATAAATTAATGAAGTATCAAAACTTTTCAAATAAGTTGGATAATCGAATAAAGGACGAATCATTCGCGGAATGTTCATTCCTTCTTCCGAATATATCCTTAATTCTGAAGGTGGTAAACATGATACGTAAGTTTTTATTATTAACGCAGCATTTCTTTCCAAAGTGTTAAAAGTTGAAGTAGTATTTCCACCTTGTTCAACGAAAGAAGAAGATTGTTGTATTAAATCGAATGGACGTTTCCATAATAATGGTATCACTAGACGACAACATAATCTATTTAATAATAGACAATTATATAAAGTTGATTTATCATCTTGTAAGTGAACCAATATTTCAGCGAAACAATCTGGGGTTAACGAAGGTGAAAGTTTTATATGAGAATGTTGAAGTGAATTTTTTTTATCAGAAGAGGAAAAAAACCTCTTGTTTGAAATAATATTTCTTCGATGCATGTTATAATAATGACGAAAAGATTTTGAAGGAGAAAAAGGAGGAAAATGTTTTTGTAAACGACAACGACGACGATTTTTTAATGATGATTTATTATATATATATATTGTATAAGATTTCATATGATATATATATGTAAAATAAATGTTTATCGTTTGTGGTCAAATTTTTTTTTTTTTGTGTAAATCAACAAATAAATAAAAATTATTTATACGTGATAGTTATATATATATAATTTTTTTTTTTTAATGAAACAAAAAATGAAAAAAAAAAAATCAAAAAAACTTGTCCCTTCTAGCTCCTATTTATTTAGGATTTATAAAGAAAAAGTAATATATATATAAGTACATGAATCAAACTATTTAACCGATAATGTACCTTAAATAAAAAAAAACTTTAATTTCGTATCATTATTACTTTAAATAGTCTAAGAATGTACTACTTAATTTTATTCGTTAAAAGCACTACTAATTATTTCAATGCAACACCGATCATAATTGAAGCTCCGAGGAACCTATATATCCCAATTAGGTTTTATAACCAATAAATGTCAGCCGATCATGCACGTGTAAAATTTTAATTCTGCGGTATTCTAATTTCTACTCCGCTAATCAATGAGTCATCTCAACGTTTTTCTATGCTCTTTTTAAGGAACTTCAAACACATAACCTTTTCTTATATACTAATTTTGGCGTAATAAATATTGAAAACTCATTGAAACTGTTTTGAAAACATTATTACACGAATACGTGTTCTATTTATTACTCCTTACGTATAAGAATTTATAATATAGTAAAACGTAATAATAATAAAACGTAATATAAATTTTTAAATTTATAGTCAATATATTAAAATATGTATATTTATTTATATGTATGAGTATATAATTTAAACCCAACTTTGGGCAATCACCGATTAAATATTGGCATGTTGTGATACGCATATAAAATTGTGATACGTAAATAAAAGAGTCTCGTGTTTAAAAATTCTTTTGATTAGTTACTTTGTTTGTACTCTCCCTTTTTATAATTTTTAAAAAAAAAATTCCCCTTGGGCTGTTATTTCCGCGATAACAATCTTTTTTACATAATCATTTGAGCTTTCAAATATTTACGGTAATGATTTTTTTGTATAAGTAATTTCTTTATCATCCCTGTTTATTTTCTTTCATCGAGTTTATACCCAAGAATGATTATGCTTTGATTATTCCTTTCTCACCTCATATCATATCTTTTCTTAATTTGGAGATTTTTATGAACATATTTTTAGTAATTTACTTTGTTAATCTTTAGAGAAAAAAAAAATTCTTTTTATTTCCAGTTGTAATCTTGTTTTATCGTGGGTTTGTTTTTTTTTCAAAGTGACGCCACCTTTTTAAGAACCTGTAAAAAGTATTTTAGATATAAACGCTTTATTATTAAAACTACATTAACAATATCATTTATAATATAATTTAGTTATCTTCAGCCATAAAATCATTTGAAAATGAAAGTTTTTACCTCGATATAAATGATAATCAAAATTTTGATATCATGTATATGATCTTTTTTTTTATTATTATTATTACAAATAAAGTAAATAACCTCTATATTGTCTAAAACTTGATTTTTTATTATTACGATATTCTATAATTCCGATTTGTTGTCATAATAATTGTGAAACAATAAATTTACTATAGTAGCCAAATGGATATAGTCTATATACCATTGTGAACGACACTAATTAATAATTTGGAAACGATATTTGGAGATAATGGATTTACCGCAGTACTAGTTTTTTTTTCTTTTCCAAAAAAAAAAGAAAATGAGAAAATTTTAATTGTCGAAATCAGATCAAGAAATTAAATTTTGACCATTAAAATGGTTTCTCCCGTATCTATTACCTTGTCAAACTAATTTAAGTAATGAATAAACGGAAAGACCAGCCATAATTAAATATTTTCACACGGCATTTACAATAATAGCCTAAACCATATGTTAGATTTCGGATAGATTTTATGAATCGAGTTCATAGAAACATGCATATATATATTGTATATTAAATATAATATTTCTAATATCGACCGATTTATATCTTAAAACGAAGATTGAGTCATACATCAACCAGATTTACATAAGCGCCAATTTACCTCGGATGGATCGGAATATGTCCAATAATTTTCTCACCATTTTATTTTCTTTTTTTCTTTATTCGATATTTATGTAATCTTCGGTAATGACGTGCATTTTACATGAAATCGCATATATAGTCTGCATCTTTATACTGTACAATGAATTTAATTTATCCTCAAAGGTTTCTCTCATTATATAACTTATTATATAACTTTATTATACGTCAATTTATCTCAATTAAGATTAGAAAGTAACTAGTTTGGGTCATCTATCAAGTAATTATTCAGTAATTCTCACTTGAAAATAAGCATTTTACTTAATTAAGTAATATTTATTTACTTATTTTTTTCGCTAAACGTATTTGATTCGATAATGAATAACCGAAATTTTTTTAACGCATGTACGAATAATAAAAGATATCGTAATCTTTCAGGTGCTTAAACCTAACTTTCGGTGATCCCGTCATATTTGTTTACCATTTTCGGTTATAGAAGGGTGCCTGGGGTCTGCAGTCCATTGATTATACTATAATTTTATTTACCTTATTTGAAAAATTAACTTAAAATGAACTATAAAGACATATTTGCGGCGCAGTGACAATTTACGGTGGCGCAGCAATATTTTTACACAAAAAACACGAAAATATTAATTTGTTTTGTTTGTTAAACGAAGTTCATTATGAAAAATATATACAATACAGTATATATATATTTCCATATATACAATTAGAAAGAGTAATTATTTATTATAAATAAATAATTTATATAATTTACTTATTCAGAATTAACGTTTGGCGTATCCTTTCTAACATTCTTAAATAGAAGTGATCAGAATATTCTTGGATAAAATTTTAAAAGGTTTTTCCAAACTTTGTAAAATGTGCGTGATTAATGAAATGATATGCTCGTGAGAAAATTCTTTTTAAAGATATAAAGTTATAATTTTCTTTGTATTTTTTTCTTTTTTCTTTTTTCTTTTTTTTTTTTGTAGGCTATCTAGGTTATCCGGTTATCTAGGTTATCTTTCTATTTATGAATAGCTAATAAATAATAAATCTAGGTTACAGTATGAAAATATATAGAAAATGCAGGAGTTCTTACGCACGCACGGAGCATTGCGAATGAAGTAACAAATTTGATTTTTAGCCTCATTTATAATTTACGTTAGGTAAAACTTGTTTTAAATTAATTATTGAGTTGATAATTTTGGAATATGGCGGTGCAATTAGTGCAATTTGAACGCCTAGTAAATTATTAGTAATTATGTAACACGTATTACATCTTATTTTTTGTGTTGTGTTACGCGTAGATTGATTCCTAAATTACATTATACTTTAAATTAAAGAAATTTTTTTAAAGGAAAAATATTCAAGCCGGCTAGTGCCGATCATAATGTACCTTAAATGTTTCAAAATTTCATTTACGTTAAATTTATAAAGAATAAATTTATATATCCTTATAAAGAAATGATTTTTTTTTTTTTAGTTCGGTCATATGCAAATTTTTTTAATGCTTTATGAATTATCATGTAATTTTACTTACATAATTACATCATTACCTTGAGAAGAATTTTTTTTTTTTCACATGCGACCTTAATTTAACCAAATATGTTTACAGTAGAAAAAAAAAATTCCAATTTCTAATTTAGGATTGATTTTCCCTTTGTTATCATTTCAATATTTATCTTCAAGGAATTGCCTGATATCGTTACTTTCATTTAATTGGTACACCTGACATGGCCCAATTTACTAGATAAATTGGGCACAATAAAAAAACAATTTCCAAAACAACTAAAAAAACTTCTTCGAATCCAAACAAATCCTATTTTGCGAAGTCGTCACGTGATTTTTTGTAGTATATCCTGATTTTTTTTTTGTATCAGATTAAAAAAAGGGATGGACCTCCTTAATTATTTAAAATTATTATATACCCCTACCAGGATTTTTAATAGCACATTATATAGTATTATATTTATTATTCTGGTAATTTTATAAGTAAAAAGATTACTTGAATCATATTTTTATAATATTTTTATACCAGAATTTTTTTATAAAGAATGTTATACTATTGTTTTTAATATATATTTTAAATTATTTATTATTAATTATTTAAATATAAAGGTTTTTAAATAGTTACTTACATAATTAATATTTTTTATATAAAATTCTATAAAAAATTTACATACTGAAAAAAATACTGAAAAAGTACTATTAAAATATTGAAATAAATACATTGTTAATATTAAAACAATCAATAATATAATTTATAATTTTGCTTTATATGATATTTTTATAATTACTTCCTGAACTAACTTAAATTTGATTTTATGTTTATATAGAATTTATGTATTAATTTTGGCTAAAATTACATATTATAAAGGAGTTTTTAAAAATTTCTTATCCTACATACTTTTATTTTTAAATGATTTACTAATTGGATTTTAATAAAATTTATATTATTGAATTTATTTTAATAAAAAATCAAATCTAATATTAATATTATTAACCAAAATATTGTAATGAAAAATGTATTTTTTTTATTAGTATTATTCAAAATTTAATAGATTTGCATTTTTATTTAATATTATTAGTTAATAACTAATATATGTTATTTTTTTATCTGAAAACTCTATCAGTAAAAAATCCCAAAAACTCTTAAATTTTCCAATCTGACCAAATTTCTGATAGTAAAGATGTATTTCCTAATAAAACCCTTTTAAAAACCTCTTACCAATTCCTAAAACTTCTATTAGTAAAAAATTTTCAGAATCTTTTAAACCCAGATTTCTAATAGCAAAAAAAAATCCCAATTTTTTCCTATTTAAAAAACCCTTTAAATCTCATAAAAAAGTAATAAAAAGTATAGTAAAAATAAATCTCTATAGATTTTTAAAAGTATAATTTTATTAAATATAATATAAAATTTTGTTTACCCTTCTCCTCCTCTTTAATAATTACATAATATATATAAGCTCCTTAATTGCCAATCTGCTACTCAACAATACAAAATTGATTAGTAGATTTGTCACAAGTTCTTATATGAATGACGTCGATCAGCACATTTCAACTCCGATTTTGTTCTACATAAATCATGCTTAATGTAACCATACTTTACCAATCAATAATGCAAAACGTGAATATATCACAAAAAAAAAAATTTTTTTCGTTTGCTATAAAATTTAAAGAGTTTACTTTGGAGGAAGTCACCATTTCAGCTCATATTTTAGGTAACTTTACACCAATTATTCGCAAATTTTGCAAATTTTACAAGGTTTTTTTGTATTATTATATAATATATGGTATATTCTTGCTTAGATTAACAAAATAATGTTTAAAAAAAAATAAAATAAAATAAATTTTTTTTTTTTTTTGGCAATGTTTTAGTTTTACCAGTTTTATAAAACTATACCTAAGTAATGTAACACCTTTTTTTAATGTATTTTTAGGGCATTTATATTACAACAAAACGTTTTCAAACTTGTGCAAACACCATTCAGAAGCAATAGTATTTAATATAAAAATGTCTGACGAGATTAATTATAGATTGCCGATCATTTTGTATCGCTAAATGGCGAATCGGCAATTAAGGGTATTTTTAAAATTTTATTATCCTATATATTCATATTTTTAATATAACCAGTAATTCAATTTTAATAAAATTTATATCTTTAGATTTGTCTCAATAAGAGAATTCTAATGATAGTAAAACCACATTTCTAGCTTAAATATTGATAGAGTTATATCATAAAATGTATTTTTACTTTAGTATTTAAAATTTATTTGTGAGTTGTATTGGTATTATTGGAATCCTGATATTTTTCTGATAGTAAAAATTAACCTTTTTAAAAAATATTTTAGAATCTATATAAAAGTAAAAACTACATAATTTTATATAGCAAAATTAGATCAAATTTAAAAATTAAGTAATTTAAATAAATATATTTAAAATTTCATTTAAATCTTAAGTAAACTGAAAATAATTTTTTTATAAATCAATTAAATAAGAACAAGATTTTTACAGCTAACAAAACTAAAAAAAAATAAGGAAAATATTAATTAGTTTACAATTTGTAAAAGTTTTGCTAGTATAACTAATTAAGAAAAATTTAAAAAACTGATTATATACTGCTAGAATTGAAAAAGTAAAGTAATTAAAAAATCTTTTTACTCTAAAAAAAATAATTAAAAAGAAATATAACTAAAAAAATCTAATTATAATAATATTATATAAGCCAAAAAGCATTTATATAAGCAAATTGCATGATTAATTTTAGTAAATTTCAAAAAAAAGACTTTCAAATTTATTTTATATTTAGTATTTTAAAAAAAAAACTGATATAATCTAAATTTACTTTAAATTAGATTTGGTTTAGTTTTCAAAAATTTGATTTATAAATCAGATTAAATCATAATATAAAAAAATCTAATTTAAAAAAAAAAAAATTTAAAATTAAATAAATAAATAAAGCCAAATAAAAAAATAAACAAATTAGATAAGTTTATTTCTTTTTTTTATTATTTTTTACTTAAAAACAATATAACTAAAAATTCCCTTTGTTTTTTTTAGAAAATCTAGATAAACAGATAAACAAATAATTAGAATTTAAAAAAATAAACTATTAATAAGTTTGTTTATTTTTTATTTAAGGGAATATAAGTATATAACTAATAGTTTTTTTTTAAAAAAAAATTTGAATGAATGGATAAAGTCAAATAACCAGGATTTAAAAGAATATACTATTAGTAAATTTGTTTATTTTTTTATTTTTATTTAAGAATGTAATTTATATTTTCTTCTTTTTTAGGAAATTTGAAATAAATAGATAAAACCCAGTTAGATAATTAGGATTTAAAAAATGAAATTATCAGTAAATTCATTTCTTTTTTTTATTTTTTATTTAACTTCTTTTTTTAGAAATCTGAATAAATAAATAAAATTGAATAACCAGTATTTAAAAAAATAAATTAGATAAATTTGTTTCTTTTTTTTATTATTTTTTATTTAAGAAAACATAACTAATTTTTTCTTTTTTTAGAAAATCTGACAAGTCAATTTAAAGAATAAAATTAGTTTTTTCAAATTTATAAATAATTCAGTATATAAAATTATAAAGAATATTAGAAAATACTGGGATATTAAGTCATAAAAATAAATAATAAGTAGAATGAATAGAATGAAAAGGCATTTTTTAAAAAAATCTGTAAGTTTTTTTTCAAATATAACAGATAACTGAAGTAGATGTAGAATTTATAGCTTTTATAGACTTTAAAGAAGTTAATAAATATGATTTATCATTTCATTTTTTTTTGCTAAGAATTCAAATACTTATTAAACTAATATTTATTTTTTTCTAAATATGAAAGAGACTGGAATATAATCTTTAGATAAAAATACTTTATCTTAACCTTTACTTTTACTATTTACTATTTATATATTGAAATTAATAAATTTAAAGAATTTAACTTTTTCTTTTTTCAGTTATACATTTTCTCAAGTAATAATTTGTAGTAACTCTTCTATTATAAAGTAGTACTAATAAATTATATATATTACAGTAAATAAAAAAGGTTTTTCTTTTAATAAGAAATTTCCTATCTTTATATATATTTTTTTATCAACCAAATATAATCATTTTTAGAAAAGTATTGTAAATAATCTTTAAAACTTTTTAAATGAAATACAAATACAAAAGCATTATATTTTTGATATTTTATAATTTTCAGTTTCTAAATACTTCTATTTTTTTAGAATCTATAATACAATTAAAAAAATTAAATATATTAAAATTAACTATTTTTACAATATAATCTTTTGAAATTTATTGTATTAAATGTTTAAGTAGATTATATTAATTATAGTATATTTATCAATTTATAGTAGTAATTTTAATAATAATAATAAGCTATAAAATAATTTAATTTAAATTTATAGCATTTTTAGTAATTTATAATAATTTCTATGGTACATTACATCAAATATACTATAATAAAATATTGGATTTATTTACTAAAAAAAAATACATTAAGATTATATATATATAAAATATAAAATATATGAAATGTGATTTCTAAATTTTACTAAAATTTGTATCACAAATTCACAATATATATTGCCATATATATATATTGCAATAAATCAGTATATACAATAATTTTTTTTATTATTCTAATATACTCATTAAATGTAGTATAAAAAGATAAAGTCCAATGTAAGTAAAAAAAATACTTAATTTATTAACTATTAATAATATTAAATACAGATAAATGCTAAACTATTAAAATCCTACCTGTAATTTTTATATGACTACTAAGGTTGCTTGCCGAAACCTAGGGGTTTAGGCAAGATGGCGTTTCGCCGAAAAGCGAAATTCTGCCAAAAATATATTAAAGTTATATTAAAAAACTGGCGAAACTTTGGAGAAAGGTGAAACTGCCGAAACTTATTATAAATGCCGAAACTGCCGAAACTCTGCCGAAACTATAATAAATTTATAGTAAAATTTTGACAAAACTAATCGTAGGATTTTGAAGAGGTTTAGACAAGCAACCTTAGTGACTACAGTACAGTACTTTTATTACCAACTCAATTTTATAGTTATAATGTAATATTTTTAAAAGATACCACATTAGCAAAAAATAATATTTTAAAATTCTAACCAATAATTTTAATAAAGCATATTATCAAGAGCTTTTAAACTTATTGGATTAGATTAAAAAATAATAATTTTTACTAGTATTACATAAGTTTGAAGATCAAGTAATTTATTATAATGGGAAAAATTTAAGAATAAGTGATTTTTATGTAATAAAAAATTATTATTAGTTTGATTAAAGACGGAATTTTTAATAGTGTTTATCCAAATAAATTATTCTAGCTTATAAACTTACCTATGCTTTGTTAAAAAAATTTTGGTAGTTTTTATTTATTACAAATATACTATACCTATCTCAGATTTACATATTCAGAAAAAGCTGGATATAAATGTATTTTTTACCCAAAATTTTATTGTGAATTTGTGAATTGAATTTTATTGAAATATATTGGGAAGCAGCAAAAAGATATACATGTGAACACTGTGATTATACATGGAATGGCTTGCAAAAACTGTTTCAAAAGCATTAAATTCTATTCCATTAGTTGAAATGTCTCATTGCTACGTATATATCTGGCCTTACACGTGACCAAAATGCTCTTCAATTACTGCGCATTCTTCAGGTGGTCGATTTCCTCACATAACCAGGTTAGTAAATCATTTTTATTGTGATCTTTGTAATTTAGCAGACTCCCCATTTTTGTTGACATTTCATTGCTTTCATCTAAGGAACGCAATATTCAGTCCTGTGCGAAATTTTGTATGTATTTTTTCCATTCTTTCATAAGATCATTGAGCCATGTAGTGCTTAAACGGCTCTCTAGAATACCACGACGTAATACCTCTTCGCCAATCAGCCTATCATGATCTGTTAGGAATTTATAATATTTTCTAGGATCCTCCTTTCTCTCTATCGCACCACGGTAAAATCGCATATCAGTCTCCAAGATATTGCGGAAGCATTCACTGGCTCATCTTTTTTTTCTCAGCCTCAGTAACGATTGAAAATTTCTCAGGACTCTTCTCTCCATGTTCAATGGCATATTGTTCATTTTATTTGGGTTACCTAGGAATCAGTGTTCGAGTTTTGTTTGATACATTTGCCTGAGTTTTCTTGGAAATAGGTTTGATGGTATATTCACCTCAGCTTTGGGCGAATTGACTGGACCTGAAGAATTAAATAATTTGTTTGGAATCTTACCTCGGGTTTGGTAGGACGCATCCTCAGTTTTTGGTGGAGCATGATTCGCCATTCTCAGGCAAGATTTTTTCTTGGTATGATTTGTCGGGTTTTGAAGTCACATGATTTATAATATGTTGAATTTATCCCGAGATAGCACTTGCGCTATATGTAACATATTTGATCCTGTCTATGCCTACACCTCCTTTACCAAAGAGCTCAAGGATTTTTCGAGCTCTTTCAGTTTTCTTATGCAGATTCACATCAGTAATATTAGGTAGGAAAGATTTCATTTCATTATATATTTTCGAACTTACTGTTTTATCCTAATTCAAGAGAATAATAAAACCAGCATAATATTTGTTTCTGACCTGTTTTAATTGCTTTATCAAATAAGTCTGATAAACATTGTGCGAGCCTGGAACCATATTCTGTATATAAGTCTCTGTAATTTCTACAATATCTACCTCACTGCCATTAAACACAGGTCAGCTCCTGTACCAAACTCTCTACTATTTGATTCTCTGATTCGAATACTTCAGAAGTGGTATCATCAGATGCCGGGGGGTATCGCATCATTCTGATAACACAATGTCATTTTCACATCCTCTGAATGAATTGATTCCTCTGGAATTCTTTCACCAGAGTCATTAGAGGAATTGTTATAGCCAATATTTTCCTGTTTATGATCACTAGATTCACGTTGAAATTTCTCTTCCCGCTTTCTCTGCCTAATCTCATTACTAACCTTTTTCTTATGCACCTCATCCCAAGAAAGCATTGTCTTCCCATCCTCCAATGATTTGGTGTTGGTATTATCAGTTTCACAATCAAGCATATTCTACTCGAGCTGAGCTATTTCTGACATTGCCAGGCAATACCGCTACCAATTGAAGTTAGAAGAACTGTTGTTAGGAGAATTAGTTACCTTAGTAACATTATTATTTTGCATCTGTCTCTGTTCCACTTTCGTGACTCTATCTCTAAGCTCAGCATTCTATTTAATGTTATTTTTCTTTAGCTCCTCGATTCTGGCCTTGAGCTTGGCATTCTTAACATCACGCCTCTTATTCTCTTTCACACCCTGTTTTAGAAGCTCGGCAATCCTGACCTTAAGTTTAGCTCTCTCAGTCTCAATCTCAGCGAACTTCCTTCTAAGTTCAGGGATCTCAGTATTCTTATCCTTAAGCTCATCATTCTTGGCTTTAATCTCAGCATTCTCCTTCCTAAGCTCTGCAAACCTCAGCTAAGAGCTTGGCATTTAATTCTCCCAATGATTCAATGGATTGCATGTTCGATAATAATTTTTTATATAAGATGGAATTATTCAAAAGTTCGTTAGCATAGATAAAAAAACGAGGTAATATCTTCATCAGAATTACTAATTTATTGATGTAAAAAATAAATTACAAGATTCGGTAATACATAAACTTGTTTTACAAATGGCGTTTCTATACACGCCAGTGTTCCGTTAATCTAAGCTATCTATAAACTAACACATCCAAAATTAACTCTAATCCGATTTCATTTGTCCCCAACATCGATATTCTGGATAAAACAAAAATGGTCGTCAGTTATGCATAGAACAATTAGAACATGCAGAGTCAAATAAATTAACAATATTGACTCACCGAAGTTTATGTTCTCCGTCTAATAAGTCCTCAATTTCTGAACAAAAAAAACTGATATTAACTTTGCAAGTCCTGAGTCGCTTCTCGAAAAAATATATTTCATTCATACCTTAATTGCGAAGTGTCCCGTCCGGACTTCAATGTTTTTCGTCAACACTTCTTTCAAACTACGATATGTCGGTTTCTTTTAAACGAGTCCATAACGTTCAGACAGAGAAATAATAAAACGGCTGAGTTAAGAAAAAAGTTATAACGTGAATCTCGTAAAAAAAGCCATACTGATGCAAATGTATCGTTCTTGACCCACCACGCGGTGCTAACTTGACCCGCATAATATATTTTACAATAACAGATATATGATGCACCCAGGAGGGTCAAGTACTTTTGTCACACTGACCACTCGTACGACCTAAAAAATTAATAAGTACCTCGAGAATCGTAGAATCGCAGTTTAAATCTAATGAATTTTTTTACTGATAAATTACATTTCTTACTATGCTTATTAATTTTTTCGGAGTATCTATATTATTTGCTGTATCACGTAATAAAAGTTTATACAAGAGTCTATAGTCACGATGTATTCAGAAAAGTATATATATATACCTTATATATACCCTCAAAGTTCTTTCTCTAAAATATCGTTTTATTATTACAGAAATATAATCGAAATGGCTGAGTCGTACACTTGTTTACGCCTAGATAATCGTTACGTTTTCCAGGTTGAAGTTTACAAAAAAGATAATAAGATATTCTTCGAACTTGGCGATAAAGAAATTCAATTTGAGAAATTAAAAGTTGGACAACTCGTGGAGATTATCTCTCGTAAAGGAAAATTTGAAGATTCTGACAGACTGAATCTTTGGAAAGTTGACGTCAGTAAAAGTAGGATTGGTTCTACTGAAGACGAAATTAGAGAACTTGGAGGCGTATCTATGGAACCTGAATGCAATTTTAAAAAATATTTTGAAGCTGATTATGGACCTACGGAGAATAACATCCACATTATTGCTGTTATCCAAACCACCTACACCGGTAAGTGTCTCTCAACGTTTTACCTCTCGAACAAGAAATTTGCAGTTATCTTAATCTCGTTATTTACTCGATAGGTAAAAGAAACCTGGATGATTCGGACGACAGAAAAAGAAAAAGTGAGAGATCTGTTTTGCAAAAGTTCATTAGATGCTGTCTCAGGAATATCTGAGCCGAATACTTTTTTTTGTGTAGGACACCGCACTTTCGCGCCTTCCAACAGGGTGCATGATGATATTAACTACTTCATTGAACCTAAAGAAGCTGTTGAAAGGTTGGGAAATTTTCTTCGTGATGGCAAGTTCTGTCTCCTATGTGGGCATCGGCAGAGTGGCAAGACAACTACTGCTTATGCAATAGAAGAATGGCTCTTAACCAATTGCGATAAAGATGTTTACGTCATGAACTTAAACAACGGGATTGTGATTAATGATGGACCTGAGAAATTCTGGTGGTCTATATGCTGTCAATTAGAATCCTTAGACAAGAACCGGTTCTCTTTTGATAAGCGTGAGGAGGCATCATCGCTTACATTTGTGGGATTCTTTTCAAACCCAATCATCCCAATGCAAAGGAATGCATTCTTATAGTAGATGAAGCTTCATATATTTGTGGAAATGATGGCGACGAAACTATTATTCAAAGCTTCATTGGAGTATTGCGATCTCTAAAAGATGGACGTCGTAATCAATTCGGCTTGTATTCTATCTTACTCGTCGGCACCGAACTTATAAAGGAGTTCCTGAAAAATCATCAACGAGCTGGTTCTGCATCAATTATTTCGCCTTTTTCAGCTGAGACATGCTTGACATCAACCAGGTTTACTCGAGCAGAGATCCAGGAGCTTCTTCATCAGTAGTGACAACAGAAACTTTGAATTAGATGAAAATGAAATTTCTGAGGAAATTTACTTACTCACCCATGGGCACAAGGGTCTCGTTGGTTCATGTTGCTCTTATATTGAGTGCAAAATGGTGGTGGGCAGGCGCGAATTTTCACGTGATGACTGGAATCTGGAGAGTTATGATCTAATTAGTTGTATAAGGAGAAAAGCAACATATGGATCCATCGTTAGAGCTCTCCCTAATTTATCGGAGACTCAGAGAAACATCCTTGGGCATGTCCTTCTCTATAGAACTCATGTAAAATCTAAGGTGAGTATCAGTTGCTGTATATTTATTGTAATATTATTCACCTTTTTTTTGCTCTGGGTAAAGGATGATCCTGATGTGAGATTCCTCCTTGCAGAGGGAATGGTTATTGTTGAACAAAATCTGGGCCAAGAAGAAGTTTTACTTGCATGTGCTGCACCTATTCTTCGTAATATCTTAACTTATGGAATATCTACGCCTGAGATCTCACTATCCGTGAGAGTACCAGACTCAAAAACAATTGACCCCAAATGGTTGTTGGAACGTACTATTGAGGTAGATATTATTTTAAGTTATTTATCATTAGCAATGAACAATGCGCATGCTTATGCTAAGTGCTTTGTTTTGCAAAGAACTTACCCATCCAGCACATTTTCACCAAGAAAGTCCTTAATAAAACCACCGGTGACTCAATCCTATCCGAGCCATTTATACCGTGCCCTTCCTGAGGTAAAAGAATATGATAATAATGATTCAGGTGATCCTCGTCTGCGTTTGGATATTCTTCTTAAGGATTGCTTTCCAAATCCTGCTTATGGGTATGAACTCGTCGTCACAGCAACCAAAAAAGTGTTTGATGATCATGTCAAACGTGCCAAACATTATTCAAAACTTCATAATTGCTCCTCCATGTATTTGGTCCATCTCTGTAATATTGAAAATGATAAATTGAGCGACTACTTTGGACAAGAATGCTCTGATATTACACCCGTTCATGTAATTTATGATAAAAATAATGGGACGGCGAAATTAATATATAAGAATGACAGAACAGACATATTTATCAAGAGTTTTGAATGGCAAGTAATTTGGGATTAAATAGAGATGAATTGCATGGAAAGCGCGTGAATGATCAGAAAATAGTGTATTATTGATAACTAAAGTCATTTTCTTTAATTTGACGGGATTCATAATTTTATTTGAAGCAGCTGTGCCACGATTTTCCTCTTTTAAATAATGGTATTTAATAATTGTCATATCACATGAAAAAAAAATTCTTGTATTATGTAGTAGCTATTTCTATGTAAAAAAAGTAAAAAACCGTTTTCTATTAATCTTAACGGAATCATGATTGCAATCTAAATAAAGCTCAATCAATCAAATATACCTTGTTTCATGGACAAACACTTGTTTGTATGCGCATAAAAATATCTTTTGCTATTTACAGTAGAGACTAAAGAGATTATGAAATTTTTTTTATTTATATCAAAGTTTATCTTTTGTAAGGCTTGCTAAACGTGGTAGTACTTTCCTAAATACAAAGATCATTAATAAATAGGGAGGCATTGTCAATCGATAAAAATTTTAGGACCAGTGATAATATTTCAGCTAAATTAAGCGGGTTGGCCATTTTTATTTGAATGAAGTTTATTTAATACATTCAAAGAAACGTTGTTATATATTGTAAAGTAATACATTGAGAAAAGGCCGGCTAAGTTGTAATGAAAGTAATAAAATGATAGAGAAGCAGAGGAATTTGCCGAACATAAAGATCAAGTATCGAATCATTCATTATGTCACATTATCACATCATAGGTGCAACCGTGAAGATCAAAATCACGTGAGTATTCAAGTCAACAAATAAACATTTCTTGAGCATTCACCTGAATACATATTTATGTAATCATGTAATCTAGGTACTTCCTTTTTATTAATACAATGTAACATGTAAAAATAAATACGATGGTTATGAGACATAGTCTGCACATTACTATCTTACTACTCATTAGCCTATCTATCCTCTGTGAGATCTCAATTCCTCCCCAGCTTTTATTGGCTTCTAACAATCAAATAATATGGCCAAGGACCTTCCCTGCCTTGTTTTTCATATCTTCATATTCATACACAACAAATAAGGGCTTCGAAAACTTAAACAATGATTTCTTTTACTATCTAACGTACATTTCATGAAATACCATTTTCTTGCATCCCATACTTTATTCATACTGGCTGATCATGACATTTTGTCATAGTTTTTCATAACCTAAATAACTTTTATGTATATGAAAGCAATTGTTCATGCAATCATGCCCTTTGCCAAGAAAAAATATACATGCAAAAATAAATACAAAGTTTGAGACTGCGCTCATAATACATAACATCTATGCTATTATTTTTTGATAATTTTTTTGATTCTGGCCCTCTTGCTAATTGGAGAACTATCAACACTAACCCTATCTTTTAATAACCCAACAATAATACCTATTACCCTTTTCACGTTACTACGAAGTAATTTGGGATTTTCTTTGATGGCAGATTTTGTAAGATTAATCTGGTATTAATACCATCTGGAGTATATATGATAAAGTGCTACTCTGTGCCCGTGGTCACGATACCATAAATGTAGTCAAAATAGCATAAGGGGGGAATGGTCAAAATGCATAATGGTGATCACTCAATTGATAAATATATTGGTTCCTTAGACTCCCGACTATTTAAATCCAAAATAAAATCCAGAAAATCTACGTTATCAGTAGATTAAGATGAGTACCAAAGTTTCTGTTCAAAATGTAAAATATATACAAAAGCAAACCCAGAACATTGGTGAAAACTAACAAAATTTAGTTTAGAAAAAGCAAAGAATAACGTGACTAGGACCCCGGACATCTCTAAAACAAGTCATAAGTCACACTTTTAGCAAATTGACCATTTTTTGAGGGCTCAAAAAATCATTTTTTGTAAATATCTCGGCATCTAGTGGTCCGATTTCAATGAACTTTTTTTAAAATTGTAGAGCTAAATGAGGGCTACAAAATAAAAAAAATTCTTCAAAATTGAATCACTAGATGCTGAGATATTTACAAAATACGATTTTTTGAGTTTTAGCGAAAAGTGGTGTTTTTGGCCAAAAGTCAGTTGTGACTTGTTTTAGAGATGTCCGGGGTTCTACATGACTTATAAGCATAGTTTACAACTGAAACTTAATAATACCTTATGCAATAGTTACTATTGTATGTTAATTATGTATATGTGAATAAAAAGTATAAATGAACAGCTAGAAGAAAAAAAAATTATGATACTGCTTATCATGCAAAAAAATCAAAAAACAAGTTTTTTTAGAAGTTGATAAATATATTTAACTTTTGGATAGGGCAAAATCAACTGAAGAGCTTATACGTAGCTAGAGTACATAAATTAGAAGCAGAATTGGCAAATACAATTCGTCTGATATCTAATATTAATTTATTAATATTCTTTCAATAGCTATTATTTAACTAATAAAATTTATTCTTTTATTACATAGATCTTAAAAATTTTCGTGATTTCCTAAATGATAAGGTCCAACATCTTGCTACTATGTTATATAATCACCAACATCACGAACATCAAAAGCCCATTATCGATCCTGATGAATTTATTTAATTAATAGAAACGCGTAATCCTGAATTAATAGGATTTTTTGATTTATTATTTCAATCTACTAATCCAAAAAAAGTGCCTAAACACAAGAGCAACTTAAAAAAAAAGTAATGCTCCTCTGTCATTGTATTACATCACTTCGGAATAAACAAATAACTGTAGCAAAAAGTGCTATTGAGTTGAATCTAGCTAATGCAGAAGCGTCTGTAACTGGAATCAATATGTTATCTAGTATGGGATTAAGTGTAATGTATCAGATAGTTTGCAATAATTTACAAAAAATTGAAACTGAACATAAAAGATCAGTTCACAAATATTTCTCACATAATGTAATAAAAAAAAAATTATAATTACAATTATATTATTACTAACAATTTTTATTAAGTGTCAGCAATTATTTGTTTTAAACATTGATGATTATCATGATTTACATGAATCATGTCAACCAAATGCAATTTCGTTATCAAGAATTGCACATATGGCCACACTTTTGATTAACACATCATCAAATATCGCACCAATTTCATTTTTTTCAATTAACAATTACAGTGTTCACAATCCTAATGGTATTGAGGCTTTTATAATCAAAGAAGTATAAGTGAATCAATATATGATAATATTTAATGTTAGTTATAATGTAAGAAAAAGTACTTGGAGCCAATTACCTGATATTTCAATATTAAGCGAAGCAGAACTTATTGAATCATTAACAATTCATTCATATGATGCTGATATAAATGAAAAACACATCAGAATTTTAATTTCACCAAACTTATTGACTTTATTCCAACAAATCTTAAAAATACAGATGATTATTTGAAAGCCCTTAATAGATTCATAACATATATATATACATAATTATGCATTTATAAATCTATAAATAAAGATTAATCAATTAATATTAAACTTAAGACTTTCAGAGGTTCAATCCTATTTAAACAACTATATCATTTCAATACCTGCTGATTTTTCAGGTCAGCTTTATCAGACGAGCAATTTCAAATAAAATGCGATTAGGAACACAATCTCAAATTTCTGATTATATCTTGCATATAGTCCCAATTCTTGGACCACTTCATGTCTCATTAAATATTTAAGAAACATGTTTTTTACTCTTCCATCCATTTTTCAATCAATTATATAAAGAGGTGTTTGGCAAGAAGCGTAATTTGGCAGCAAAGCCAAAACCATGGAAGATTAATTTACTTCTTTACCTGGCAAACACAGAATGGAATTTGGTTAAAGATCTTATTTTTCTACGATTTACTCAATCAAAAAATGTTGGATATCGAACCTTTATTGATTTGTTAGATAACCTAATACCTTCAACCTTAGATGTATACTCCAATTTATTTCGTGGAAATCATTTTGAGGAATATCTTGAAACAATTTTTCGACTTTGGACAGTAATGCTAAGATCTCAGCGTAAAACTATAATAAACTTATGTTAGCATTTATTTCAGATATTCAATATTGGCGTAATTATCAACATCCTATAATCAATTTACTTAAAACTGAATTACGAATTCTTGATGAATATCCCGTTGAAAACTTCCACAGTCTTGTATGATGTCATACCAGCTCAAAAATTAATACGCCTGACTGGCTCAGACGGGATGCAATTTTCATTGATTATTGCCGGCATGAAAATGATTTTGCACGATCTTTTTCAGCAACTAGGTCATATCCTTATACCAAAAAAAAGCTGAATACGATGACAAAGGAAACTGCAATTTTCTCTTAGACTTTTTTGAGAAGTTATGGATTAACAAAGAAAAATGGAGTGTTAAAATTGAGGGTAAAAAAATTAAAAAGGAAATATATTTTTTTTCACCACTTACTAAAGGTTTTTCCAAAGGAGCTTTACCTTCTGGATATCATACTTCACATCCACCTAACCAAGATATCTTCTGTAATAGGAACCAGTGTACAAATTCTTTATTTGTAAATGAGCTTGTGGACACGCATATCACGACCAGTGTTTTATAAATATGGGGTTAAAATGCATTTATTATCTTGAATATTTTTATTCTGAAATTGAAAAACTTTCTAAATCGTACAATGAACGTTTAGAAATGAATATAAATCTTGAAGAATTTGAAGAACCAACGCAAAAAAATGAAGAGGATGAATTATCAGATGATACTGATGAGTTTCAAAACAATAATACAATTGATGAAGGACTTACAAAAGCAATATTAGGTATATTTGCTAATTTTATAAAGGTAATAAAATAAATATATCTTAAGATATTTTTTTTATTTAGAATTTAGCAAAAAAACCTCAAAAATACAAACGCATCCGGTATTTCAAGATATAACTAATATAATTATCTAACTAAATAAAGTTAAATAAAAGTTTATACAATACAATAATTATAATGTATATCGAAAAAATATTTTTATTTTTGTACTTAATTTTAATTTAATTTTATTGGCTGATTAATGTTGATCAACATGTGAAATCAAACCAATCGTTGGATTTTTAACCATGCCCCCCTGCATACATACCTATGTACAGTATATATACCTAATTTTTAAAATTATATTCTTTGATTTTTAATTCAAATTCCTTATTTATTCTCTCAAGTTCTAATTTGAATTTGAATTCTTGCTCCTTTTCAAACTTTTCTTTTTCCCATTTCAATTTTTCTTCTTCTATCTTCAACTTAGCCTCCCTTTCATTTCTTTCAATTTCAAGTTTTTGTATGTCAATCTCTAATCTTTTTTGTTCTGCCCTTTTTTAATTGAATCTAATGCATCCAAATAAATTTGAGAAATCTTTCGTTTATTACGACTTGTAGATGGCTTAATTTTAACATCACTATTAATATCAGACTATAAATAAATAATTAGTATTATATTTTTAAATTACATTATCTATATTGTAATAACATATAAATTATACCTCACTACTAATACTAGAGGATAAATAATCAGGTCGTACATTTTCTCTATTTCCAAAAATTTCATTCATATCATCAAAATATTCCCAACAGGAACTGCCTTTTCCAGTTTCTTCAAGGGTTTCTCTTCAAACTTTGTAATCAAAGTTTGGATTTTTGACTTTACTTGTGAGGCAGTTCTCTTATTCCAATTTTTAATGCAGCTTTAGCACAAAATTTTTTTTTCTTTTCACAATATAAATCAAAATTTTCTGAAAGGTATGAAAGCAATATTTAATTTCAGGATCTGACCAACGTTGAATTTCATTCGTCAATTCTAATATTTGATCAATTGATGTTGATGAGCGATCAGTATTGGTATCTTCAGACATAGAAGAACGGTAATGATTAGGAAAACTGTTGTTAAAGACATATTTTCGCGATACACTCATTTTCGTAATTTTTGTGGTCAAAGTATATCCAGGATAATTTGTTACAAAGACCTATTGTTCTTTATTTTTATTTTTTTTTAAATAATTGCTCATAATAATGATCAATTCTTATAATACAAATTCGGGATTTTAAAAGTTTACCATTGTTGATCATTACACGAGATCCGGAAATTTTATTGAATTCCTTATCTGTTATCGATAAAAATTTAAAAATAAATTACTGCGCCTAGTGAAATGAACATAACCATTTACTGGGATATCGTTATGACATAATTTAAAATTAATTTTATTGGCTACTAATTGTTGAATACCTCGTGAATGCAATCTGAGTAACGATAAAATCGTATGAATCACTTTTTTTCGCCGATAAATTAATTTTGTAAACTTTTTTTTACTGTGCTTATATCATTATATAAACTTTTTTTTTAATGTGCTTATATCATTATATAAACTTTGTTTATATCATTAAATTAAGAGTTTATAAAGATCATTTATAATTAATCACGATGTATTCAGAAAGGTATATAAAGTATATATATTTAGGTTTCTCACAAACTTTCTCAAAAATTTTCTAAAAAACTTATCGCTTTTACAGAAACGAAATGATATTCTCACTTAATTGTTTGATTTCGGGACAAACTTCTGATGATATTTTCAATGTGCCTATTGGCGATTTTTTCCTCAAAGAAAATATCAAGGTCAAATTTACTGATATGACCGTTGCAAACTTAAAACAACTTCTTTCTCGCACAGATGAAGGTATAGGAGCTAAAATAACCAATATGAATCTTTGGAAAGTCGAACTCAAGGCTTATGAAGCTGATAACCTTTCTGCAAAAGATATTGAAAGTCATGAAAGGAGCGAGAAGATGGTTACTACGTCGAACCTCGATGAATATTTTAACAATAACGAAGACAAAAATCCTAAAAAGGGGTACCTTCATGTCTTCATAGTCCCCACCGCCTCTGGTAAGTGTCTCCCAATGTTTTACCTCTCGAACAAGAAATTTGCAGTTATCTTAATCTCGTTATTTACTCGATAGGTAAAAGAGACCTGGATGATTCGGACGACAGAAAAATAAAAAGTGAGAGATCTGTTTTGCAGAAGTTCATTAGATGCTGTCTCAGGAATATCTGAGCCGAATACTTTTTTTTTGTGTAGGACACCGCACTTTCGCGCCTTCCAACAGGGTGCAAGATGATATTAACTACTTCATTCAACCTAAAGAAGCTGTTGAAAGGTTGGGAAATTTTCTTCGTGATGGCAAGTTCTGTCTCTTATGTGGGCACCGGCAGAGTGGCAAGACAACTACTGCTTATGCAATAGAAGAATGGCTCTTAACCAATTGCGAAAAAGATGTTTACGCCATGAACTTAAACAACGGGATTGTGATTAATGATGGACCTGAGAAATTCTGGTGGTCTATGTGCTGTCAATTAGAATCCTTAGACGAGAACCGGTTCTCTTTGGATAAGCGTAAGGAATCATCGCTTAGCACATTTGTGGGATTCTTTTCAAAACCCAATCATCCCAATGCAAAGGAATGCATTCTTATAGTAGATGAAGCTTCATATATTGGTGGAAATGATGGCGACAAAACTATTATTCAAAGCTTCATTGGAGCATTGCGAACTCTAAAAGATGGACGTCGTAATCAGTTCGGCTTGTATTCTGTCTTACTCGTCGGCACCGAGCTTATTAAGGAGTTCCTGAAAAATCATCAACGAGCTGGTTCTGGATCGATTCTTTCGCCTTTTTCATCTGAGACATGCTTGACATCAACCAGGTTTACTCGAGCAGAGATCCAGGAGCTTCTTCATCAGTATAGTGAGGGCAACAGAAACCTTAAATTAGATGAAAATGGAATTTCTGAGGAAATTTACTTACTCACTCATGGGCACAAGGGTCTCGTTGGTTCATGTTGCTCTTATATTGAGTGCAAAATGATGGTGGGCAGGTGCAAATTAACACGTGATGACTGGAATCTGGAGAGTTATAATCTAATTAATTATATATGGAACAAAGCAACATATGAATCCATCATTAAAGCTCTCCCTAATCTATCGGAGAATCAAAGAAACATCCTTGGGCATGTCCTTCTCTATAGAACTCATGTAGGATCTGAGGTGAGTATCAGTTGCTGTATTTGATTTATTGTAATATTATTCACCTTTTTTTTTGCTCTGGATAAAGAATGATCCTGATGTGAGATTCCTCCTTGCAGAGGGAATGGTTATTGTTGAACAAAATCTGACCCAAGAAGAAGTTTTACTTGCATGTGCTGCACCTATTCTTCGTAATATCTTAATTTACAAAATATCTACGCCTGATATCTCACTATCCGTGAGAGTACCAGACTCAAAAACAATTGACCCCAAATGGTTGTTGGAACGTACTAATGAGGTAGATATTATTTTAAGTTATTTATCATTAGCAATGAACAGTGCGCATGCTTATGCTAAGTGCTTTGTTTTGTAAGAAACTTACCCATCCAACACATTTTCACCAAGAAAGTCCTTAATAAAACCACCGGTGAGCCATCTGAGTATGCGTTCCAAACAGTTTTCATACGCATTTTAAAGCAACTACTTGCTCAATCCTATCCGAACAATTTATACCGTGTCCTTCTTGAGGTAAAAGAATATGATAATAATGATTCAGGTGATCCTCGTCTGCGTTTGGATATTCTTCTTAAGGATGGCTTTCCAAATCCTGCTTATGGGTATAAACTCGTCGTCACAGCAACCAAAAAAGTGTTTGATGATCATGTCAAACGTGCCAAACATTATTCAAAACTTCATAAATGCTCCTCCATGTATTTGGTCCATCTCTGTAATATTGAAAATGATAAATTGAGTGACTACTTTGGACAAGAATGCTCTGATATTACACCCGTTCATGTAATTTATGATAAAAATAATGGGACGGCGAAATTAATATATAAGAATGACAGCACAGACATATTTATCAAGAGTTTTGAATGGCAAGTAATTTGGGGAATAAATAGATGAATTGCATGGAAAGCGCGTGAATGATCAGAAAATAGTGTATTATGATAACTAAAGTCATTTTCTTTAATTTGACGGGATTCAGTCTTGTTTATAATTTTATTTGAAGCAGCTGTGCCACGATTTTCCTCTTTTAAATAATGGTATTTAATAATTGTCATATCACATGAAAAAAAAATTCTTGTAATATGTAGTAGCTATTTCTATGTAAAAAAAGTAAAAAACCGTTTTCTATTAATCTTAACGGAATCATGATTGCAATCTAAATAAAGCTCAATCAATCAAATATACCTTGTTTCATGGACAAACACTTGTTTGTATGCGCATAAAAATATCTTTTGCTATTTACAGTAGAGACTAAAGAGATTATGAAATTTTTTTTATTTATATCAAAGTTTATCTTTTGTAAGGCTTGCTAAACGTGGTTAAATACAAAGATCATTAATAAATAGGGAGGCATTGTCAATCGATAAAAATTTTAGGACCAGTGATAATATTTCAGCTAAATTAAGCGGGTTGGCCATTTTTATTTGAATGAAGTTTATTTAATACATTCAAAGAAACGTTGTTATATATTGTAAAGTAATACATTGAGAAAAGGCCGGCTAAGTTGTAATGAAAGTAATAAAATGATAGAGAAGCAGATGAATTTGCCGAACCCTAACCCGTATAATGGCAGTTCCTTCCCCGCTACTCTGTGTTATTATCAAAATTCTTTACTATCTACTCGTCTATTACCGTATTAAATTTTGGTTTCCCTTCACCATAATAAAAGCTTTTCACAGTGCCATTTCCAATCTTTTCCCCAATAAGTTCACGAATTTCACAAGAACGGGGTCATGAATGGTCTACAACTCTTTATCGAATAAAGAATATGGGGAGATGGTGCTCACAATGTGCTGGTAATTTCCCTTGCGGTCAAGGAAATCGCCCAGAGGTATATGTCTTTCTACAGAACAATGGATGTGTAATAAGGGTTCATAATGGTTTTCAAGTTTTAACTGTATGTATAAAGTACTAAGACATGGCACCCATATTGTTTAAATAAACATGAAAATCTAACATTCTTGGTTCACTTTCTAGCATTCGTCGACCAGACTTCTTGAGCCCTCGAGGACTAGAACAGGGTAAATAACATGAGCAACACGCAAAACGCTTTCATAAAAATCCGAAGAACTGATTTGAAAAGCAGTTGATGCGTGATCAGATCAAAAAAGAACTCTGCGAAGAAAATTGGATTGTTTTAAAATATATTTGGTATTACGAGGATCCAAACACAGTCATTCCAAATTATCTTCGAGAATTAGGTCTCATTGAGTAAGCTCAAAACTTTGAATTCTAAGATTTTGCTTATTTTTTTCGACTATAATTTATTTATCCAATCACCCAATGCATACATCAAACCGTATACAGCTTACACATGTTAAAAATCATGAGCTTGATGTGGGCAACCAACCAAATTATTAATTCTTGTATGTAGCAATATTGATGTTTGCAGACCACACCGGTTTTCGCTTGTCTAAACTATCTAACACCTATCCGGCTCATTTTTCCCAATCATCGATATTTTTGATAAAACAAAAACGGTCGTCAATATACTTGTATGAGGTATGTAGTGTTGGAGAATAAATCAATGGATAATAACATTAACCTTACGCAGATATTTTATGTTGTTTGAAATCCGTGATTCTAGTTCAGAATCTGTACCATTCGTTTGCATGTCCTGGAATCGTTTTCTTGTAAATGCACAACCACAAGTATATTTCATTCGTACCTTAATTGCGAAGTTTCTCGTCGGCTTTCAATAATAACACTTCTTTCAAAACGCGGTAGGTCGGTTTCTTTTTAACGAGTTCGTAACATTTAAATAGTACGGAGTAAGAAAAAGTTGTATACGTGATCACGGGGCGTTACAGTATGAAATTAAGTAAAAAAAAGCCACACTGAACTGATTAGTCAAATACGACCAAAAAATCGAGTAATGGATTATATTAAAATTTTTTCTTCTATTCTTACGCGAAATATTAAATATTCTTGGTCTCGGTCAAGTCCGATCCTGGTCAAAGACCGGACCGGACTGGACCGATCCAACTTTAAATTTATTTTCAAGAGAAAAATATTTACTATAGGTTTATTATATATTAAATTATGGGAAGAAAAAAAAATTATTAGTTGATTTTAATGTTATATGGAGAAAATGAAAAATTGAAAATGCAATTAATTATTGGAAATTCTACCAGCATTATTTTAGTAGTTTTGTTATTTTATTATTTACTTAAATTATTAACTTTTATCTTTTTTAAAAGTTGTAGCCAGGAAAGAAGCAAAAGTTAAAAAGAATTACTACGCTACTCGGAGAAGATAACGAGCACATTGATATTCTAAATGTATAAATTAAATATGATTCAATCAAGCTACTTGAAGATATTAAAATAAGCAAAAGCATCTTAACCGCAATCTCGGAGATGGAAGATGTCGATCCTACCCTCGTTATTCAGACATTTAGTGGAATTTCGACGCTTTCAATAATTTAATAATTTAAGTAAAAGCCGAGATGGGGATCTGTCTCACACGATTGAAAATCTAATTCAATATATAAAAAGTTCAAGGAGATAAGATTTATACGATAAACATTTAATGTTCATGTTCCAAAACGAACCCGATTTCTACGAATAAATTTTATTTGTATGTTAACGCCAGACAGTCTATAACAGATAAAAAAAAGATGTATTACAAGAAACTTTGGTTTCAGTTTACATAGAGTCTAGAACGTGATAACTTTTTTTAAGTTAATTAATAAAATTCTATATGTTAAAAAAAGTTAAATGTAAAGTATATAAATTAATTGAATATACTTTTGTGCAAAAAACAATGAATGTAAACATGTCAAATTGGCCTAATTTGAACTTTTTATTGGAGAGCTATTTTTACTCTATAAGGATAAATTATTCGCCTGTATACATTCATTGCTAATATTTGTAATTATCGCAAGATCCTCCAGAACTGTCCTGTAAACTACATCAAAAGCTAGATATATATATATATATATTAATTTACGTGCTGAATTTTAAATATTTATACTAATATTATCCAATCAAAAGAACGACTTTTAATCTAAACGAAAGGACTAGCTACCATTATCATCCAAGAACTTTTCAGTTGTCAGTTATAGTATAAAACTACTTTCTGATTGGTCACTTTTTGTAACCCACTGTATATATTATCAAAAAATAAATATACTAATCCCCTGTCGGTAAGTGTCGCTCATGATTACTTTCATAATATTTGACATGTGCTCCTCCTGTTCTTTTTGAATTGTTCAGTGCGGTTCTTCGTGTAAGATAGTGTCTTAGATCATCATTACTGGCATTTTTATAAGAAGCTGTCATAGGGAACAATTTGTTATCTCTACAGTTCGGTACAAAAAAAAACAATTTTATATATTTCAGGGTAAGGAGCAGAATCTTTACATGGAATAATTTGTTATCCCTACAGTTCTCAGTGCAAAAAGATATCATTTTTATATACTTACTTGAGTTATTAGTATAGAAAGGACGGTTAAGTTCGTCGCCCATTTTTACTTTTTCTAAAATGATTTTTTTTAAAAAAATGTTGGAGGTAAAACTTTTCCTACGTGAATGAAGATGTTATTGTTAACACGCCAGTTATTTTCTATCAAAATGTCTTGTGAGTTATGTCACACAGCCCTATTTTTCGGCATTGGAGTTTCGAATGTACTGTACTTCCAAGTTCTAAGAATTTTCCCGATATCATACTGCGCACTTCAGGTGATCGATTCACATGATGAAGTTTTCGTCTATGAAGAGCATTCCTTTTTTATGGTCTCCATTACATATAGGACAGATGAACTATTCTGTCACAGTTCATCACTATCGCTTAAAGATATTCCTCGCACGTGCTACACTTAATTTTGATTGGCCAAAAACAACTGAAGAAACTTATTTCAATTTTTTAATTCTTAAAAGAATGAATAGAAACTACTCAGTGTCAAATGTTTTTGACTTTATTAGTATTAAGTTAATTCTGGCTAAAATTTATAATATTGACCCATATTTTATAGATATTGCTTTATTACAATCAAAATTTTGATAGCCTAATATGTACCTTAAAATGGTTGTACGATGTTCACTCAAATTCGATTTTAAGTTAACGGAAACTTACGATACCTTACTTGTTTATTTATCCTATACAGTATACAGTATACAGGTATTAAATTATCACGATAAATTCAAATCAAAATTTCCGATACATTTTTTTTGCTATTTATTACTATTCCTGGCGTGAGGCAGAATTTTATTGCTTGCTGCAGGACTTGCATTATTTGTATCACTCTTACGACTCATTAATGGGCTGTAATAATCAGCTTATAACAATAAATATCCTCAAAAGTTCGATTTCATATGATTAATCAAAAGTGTTATTGTTTGACTTTTATCCCTGTCATTTCTATAATCTATCATAAAAAAAGAACAAAAACAACAAAAGCATCATTCCATGAATTATTTTTTACACGTTAATATTCTTTGATCACATAATATATAATATATTTCAATCTTTATTTTTTAAACATTCAAAAAAGAATTAGATAAATTATACTGTATAATTGTTTAATATTGTTCATCCCCGCTTAAAGGAGAGGTCCTTCAATCAAGGGTTACTTCCTACCGTATATTCTGACTTTGGCTTGTGGGCTGTTCTGGAAAATTATCGTTATCATCCGATATTTCCGATCCCTCTACTGCTACCGCAGCAAAAGCAACTCTTGTTATATGAACGAAAGGTAAAATATGAGAAGCGGGTGTTTTTAGGTACTTCACGGCCTACACATGAAATATAACGAACTTTAGACTGTACTCTTATTACGTGGTAATCGGATCTAGATGATAAAATAAACAATTTCCGAACCTTTCCGTGCACTAAGACAAGATATTTAAGACATGAATAAATTAATTTAATAAAGTAAACGAAATACAATAATTTCATTTATTTAAGTTATTTTATTAAATTATTCTCATGTGTTTTGTAATTAAAAAATCTAATAACACCACTTATTCTGAATTACATCAATGAAGATTTTAATATGGTCAATATACAAATAACCAATTAAAACGCTATCGTCGTATTATTTAAAGTCAAAAACTAATTTTACAAGGTAAAGCGTCTATAATAAAGTCATTTAATTTCACCAAATACTTTATTTATTAAGCGGAAAATATAAAATTTGAAATTAGCTTATTTTAAAAAGTAAAAAAAAAAAAAAAATTTATACAAAAATAAAAATATTAAAAACTGTACAATAAGAGCATGAAGAGTATAATCTATAAAAATATCAACGAAAAATGATGCGCTTGGTTTTTTTTTTTAATATTTCGATGGGTCAACCCTTGTCCACCATGGTTTTTTATATTCTTTAGGACACGGACGAATTTTTATATCCTTCCCATCTAGAAAGAAAAAAAAAAAAATCAAAAAAATTTCAAAAAAAAATAAATAAATGATATTTATATACGACGTAAAAGTTCAAGATAAAGTTTTAAAGATACTTACACCAATCGTTAAATTGAGGACTTTTCGGACTTTTCTTTGAAGAAGGATTTTTTTTAGATTTTCTTACACCGATACGATTATCATAATTATTAAGATTTTTTAAATTGTCTACTTCAACAAAATAGAAATATTCTTTAGTGACAGGTTTGAATTTTTTAGTTTCGAAATCTGCAGGACAGTTAACAACAATAGGAGGGACGTCGATCTCTTCTTCTGTTTGAACTTCTTCAATCGAACAAGAATTGCTGTCATCACTAACAAGTTCTTCTTCACTTCCATAAATAAATTCACTATCATTTTTACAATTATCATTAAAAACATCTACATTGTTTGTAGTTATACATTCATCTCCTTTGAAAAAAAAATAATTAAATAATCAATTTTTTTTTAAGTTTACAATTGCATTTTAAAACAATACCCTGAGAGAATATTTACGTACCTTGTTGATCAATTGCTGCAGTTGCTGCTTGCAAGCAAAATTCATTATGTTCAGAAACTTCATAACCAGCAACTTCATCAATTATTCTATATTTATATACAACTTTTATTTTATCGTTGTCACATTTTGTCTAAAAAAAAAAAAAAAAAAAACAAAAAATAAATTTCGAATTTTTTTTTTTTAAAAGTAATTGAAGAATNACGAAACGACAAAACATTAATGAACTCCATGATTTTCTTGTAAATATTTTTATTAGAGAGTAAATGAGTGAACAAATCATAAATGCTACAGTGGTACCAGCCATATTTTTTACAATTTATAACATTTGTTCAAAGATAATCATGAAGGGGAGAGGGAAACAAAAAAAAAAAAAAAGAATATCGTGGAAAATTTTTTTTTATTTTTTTTTTTTCCGCCTCTTATTTATATAGTTTTAGGAATTAGGTATAATGACCTTTCTTTTAACGAATAAAGACAAATTAAGGCTTTTTCTTGCAGATTGTCATATGAGAATATGTAAACTCATGCAACTAGGTAGTAAAATTTTATGGGTTAACAGGATTTATCCGCAGTGATTATAATAGATATAAATGCGCAAAATCAGGAAAAACTTCATTATAGTCTTAGTTGGTTTCAAAAAAAGCTGAACAAAAACCATCTTTTTTTTGGTTTTTTTTGAATAATGAGTAATTGTTGTGCTACAGGATATATGATCATCAGTTATAAATAATTTTACTTTAAAAAATATAGCCATGATTATAATATATTAATAAAGCAAGTAAACGCGATATCAAGTTTAACGGTATTAATAAAAGTCGGTTAATACTATCTTTATTCTTTCCTTGGTGAGAATGAACGAACTTCCCTGATTGAGTTACATAACATGACCATTTGTAATACTTAGTGTGAATTGCATCAATCAATCCCAAATCCCATTATATAAAAGAATTGTTATTGGAAAGTATTTGAATGAACATAATATTTACTTAACTTAGTATCTGTACAACTTATCCCTTGAGAATTTGTTTTATGAAATAACACAATATTGCTAATTATAGTAACATAATATGATATGATTATGTGATCAGTTTGAAATGATTTCACCTATACAATAATATTTTTGAATTGGATGATGTTAAAATTTGTCCACTTTGTAATTAAAGCATTTTTTTTTAAATTGTATTTGATTTTTAATTGATAAATTTATATAATAAATAACATAAAATAACAATATTTTTTTTAACTAATATACAATTTATGTACCTATTTTTGTATAAAGATAATAGGATCGTCATTTTAATCTAGATTTTCCGATTTCAAAACGTGTGGGGTTAGAATGAAATATAGAGAACCAGTAATTATTCAGGGAATAGTCCCTGATCAAATATCGGATCTTAATTCCTAGAATGGTTAATTTCTCATCATTTTTGATGACAATCTATTTATCACACAATGCATAATATTTATTATATGACATGATTATTTATGAAAAACATGAAATGGAATTAAGATGTATTTTATTATTTTTGTGTGTAAAATTTTACGAAATATTTAACAAATGACAAATTTGATCTTATTATAAGTGTCTACCATTTAACACTTGGGTAAGTTTATCTAACAAAACTTGACCTCTGCCAGAGTGAAGTAAAAATAAAATCGATTTACATATTGTTATTGTAATAATTATACATACATGTACAGTACATACTATGCTATTCTGATAAAGTATCTAGCGTTAAGATTTTCTTTACATATTAAGATAATATCGGGATTCTGTGCCCATTTTATCATGTCATCCTTTAACAGGCTTAATTGCTACTCCAGATAATCGTTCCGCTAACTAACCTTTTTTCCTCAGTATCCAATCATGAACAAAATAATATTCCTCATACTCTCCTGGGTGATGCATTGTTAATCATTGCAATCATTTAGCTTTTTATAAATCATGCTGTTGGCGAGTGTAACGATTTTTCTTCTTCCGAGAAATAATACCTAAATTCTTCTCCTCATCAAGAGTATACCCATCGTTTCACTCTGCATTCCAAACTTGGGTTGCCAATGATTCTTGTAATTCCTGTAAGCTCGTTGGATAACTGTTGCAGTAGAATGTGGCACAGTGGCTAACCAGATAAAATTCACGTGCAAGAAATGCTATCGTCAAAATTGCGCAGAAGAGTAGATTAATCATGTGGCGCAGTACATTATCGAACTTTCTTCATAAAGATCACTTGATTCTATATACATTTGAAGATGATCCCTCACCTAAAAACTCCTCTAGACGTATTCTAATGATCTTGTACATCCTAATATCTGATGAGCATCGTGTATTTTTTGGCGTTGGAATATGCCGTAAATGGATCATTGTATGGTCATCTTCAAAAAGAGCCTTTTATAGAACATAAAGCAGCAAGTTATATGTTTCAGATAGTAGATGCTCTTGCTTATCTTCAAAAGAAAAATGTCATTCATCGAGATTTGAAGCTAGAAAATATATTATTGTCAATTGATGATAATATAAAGATTTCGGATTTCGGATTGTCGATTCATTCAAGCCGGAGACGTACGAGTGCTAGTAACTTATAACTGAAAGTTTACACTTCTAGATTACAAAATCTGAATTTCGATAGATCAATGTATAAAAAAGGCGTAATCCCCATTCTGAAGTTGGGTTGATACTCCTGATACTCATTATTATCCTTGTTAAAGGACATGACATAAAAGTGTGATCCATCTGACAAAAATATTGCGAAAAGCTTGCGCAATGATGTGCGAGAACATGAAGGTAGTTCATTGGTTGGCCCCTTTCTTCATTAGGAAAGCCAGTACTTCTCTTTCGTACTTTCAACTCCAGGATCGTTTTAACTAGCATGGGAATACAAGCATTATCTGCAACATCTTCCGTCTAAAAACGAGGTCTGGCATTAATCCGTTGAGATATCCTACATCATGTGTATCTTTTACAACGAACCAGAGCCTGGAGTGTGTAGAATACGAGATTAGTAAAAGAGAAATGGAACACCTTGCATTTGGACAATCAGTACTTTCTATCTCATATTCTCCTAAAACAGGTCCGCGATTCCTCGCTTGCTCAATTTGAATCAGCAAACCTATTTGTTTCGTAATTTCGTTTTGCGGTTTCTCTTATTATTTCCGAATTTTCTTTCGTAGTTTTCAGAATATCCAGAACTAAATTGGAAAATGATGTGTTCGCATCGCTAGAGCCTCCTGACAAGTTCTAGAACAATTTCCTGTGAGTATGACATATCAAAATCACAATAATTCACAAAAAAAAAATACCAGTTGCCCAAGATCAAAGGTAAGGTTCTGGATGGAAGTAGATTGATGGGTGGCTATCAGAATAAAGAAAAGAAGAGTTAAGCCAAGTCCCGTTCACTCGCGTTGACTAATTTCATTACGACTCGCTTACCAGCAGCGGGTTGCTCTACGATAACGCGTGTTTTTTTGGCGGTTTGACGATAAGAGCAGGAAATAAAAAGCACGAGACTGTAAGTATTCGGTATTATAGGCAAGTGTAACAGAAACCGAGAGTTTAAGCCACATTATCTTATGTTTGATAAATTCTGCGAACATACCAGAAGGAGAGATTAAAAACCTCGTTTTTCTTCATCACATTAACGCGTCTGTTTGTTTCTTTTCACTTCCAGTGAACTGAAACAGCTACCGCAATGCGCAGTGCTACCGCTAGATATTGGATCTTCCTCAGTAATTACCAATCAAATTTTTTACTCCACGTGACCTAAAAATATTCATCGCCTCACCAGAAAATATCGATGTCGAGAGGTGCGTGATTTCTTCAATCTCTTTTCTCGAGGGTAAAATTATAATAACAGAATATTTTATAATAGCGAGTTCCAATGTCTCCGCCGTCTGTAATGAAAAGTGAGTCGAAATTTACGACTGGTATTTAATTTGTTAACTAATCTCCTTGCAATTAGTGTTTCTTCGGATGCTGACGAAATAGTAGAATTCCGATCACTTTGGTGGGAGAAGGGAATATTTCATCCGAAAGCAAAATGGGAGGAAGAAAAGTAAGTTCTTTTCCTGCTTGTTTTGATATTTGAGCTCATACTTATATAAGCTGTCTATATCAAGACTCCCATACACCCTTGTAAAATCTGTAAGTTTAGAGGAATACGAACTTCGCGTCGACAAATTTAATGTTCACGGTTGCTGGGATTGGAAAGAAAACAAAGTTATAGTTTATGAATGGCCTTCAAAGGTCCATGAAACAATTATTGGCGAGTTAACTTATCAAATATTGAGACAATTCGATGCTATACATGGTACTCCTGCTCATATGTCAAGTATGGGTGCAGTCCGTAAGTATCAATTCAACAATTGACTCATTCTTATGCTTAAGATATAAGATTAATCATTTTCTTAGGAACTCGTGCTGACAATACTGGACATGAGTCTGATGCGACATTTAGACCTCCTAAACCACCAGTACGACCGCCGCATGGAAGCGACGGAGAGGTACTTTCTTTGTTTGTTCAGAATTCATTATCTCTTTTGAGTTCTAACATTTAAGGATTTTAGGATGAGCCTTGGCCTAATGTTGTGCTCGAAGTTGCTTATTCTGAATCAGAAGGTGATGTCCTGAAGAAAGTACAACAGTTTTGGTTAAAAAATCCTAGTCGTGTCCATGACGTGATAGTGGTTAAAATCGATTACGTAGCTCCAGGTGAAACGCCGACACGTATGCAAGTAAGTTATATTCCTAATTGCAAGTAATATATTATTGTTTGTATATATCTAAAGAATTTAACCTACTACAGGCCTGGCACTTTTGCGTTTCGGACAGGACAACAAGAAATGCAGACATTGTAGCGCGAACTTATGTAATGATTACAAATAATAATGCTTATCTTTATTATTGATTACTTAATTATTGATATATTATAAAAACATTTTTAGTTTGAATTCGGTACCCATGATCAAAATGGGCGTCCCCTTAATATTCAACAAGGAACCTGTGTCATCAACATTAATTTGGATTGTTTTTATCATGGTACATTTCCAAGAATTACTATTCCCCGAAATCAAGTCCCAGATCCAATTCAATTAGATTTCTTACTCCTCCGAAATTGCTTCCTTCGAGCATTTGAAAAAATATAACAAAGTAAATAGAGTTTCTTCATTATATTATCTCTATTTCAATTGTGACTCCATTTACTTACACATAGCTATACATCTCATCCAAAACAATGGAGGAATATCAGTTCCAGTTTATAATTTGCTTTATTGTATGTCATGTAACGCTATATAAAAGAATTTAATTGCTGTAATCAACACATAAATACTAATAAAATTCACCCATAATTTTTTGCGGAGTGTGACTAATAAAAAGTTATGTGTCGATTATACTGTACATTACCTAAATCGTCTAATGGTTAGCAAGTGATCGGGATAGGCTAATCAATGAAAACTATTGTGTCGTGGTATTCTAGAGACCCGTTTAACTACAGCAATACAGCATGGCTAGATAAACTTATGAAAGCCCATACTCAATTTATGCAAGTTTTCCTAAATATTATATTTACCCGAAATGTGCAGAACTGAAATGCGCAGAAGATACTCGGTAAAATTCTTTTATCAAAATGGCTAGATTAATAATAAATTAGGGAATAATTGGCAATAGAGAATTTCTTGAAATTCAAAACATTTCTTGCTGAAGTTAAAATTTTTAAATGATCAACATAAAAATTATCAACAAATGATTATCTGGGTGTTAACATAATTATCTGTTATAGAAAAAATAACAATTTTTATATGATCCAACTAAGTAAAATGGGTTAAATTTCCATTTCCATGCACAGTAGGAATAAAGTATTTGTTTTACAACTGTGTAAAGATAATATTTTTCACTGTTATTATTTAAAAAATTTTGACGTTGATCCACCATTCAATAAAACTTTACTGCGTATCACATTGCTTGTCTAATAATGTCCAGTTTAACAACATTCTACTCTTCGGAAAGCATGCCATTTTTAGCCATACCTGTGTTTTTCTTCTCGTTAGTGCAATTATACGAGATATGCAATTTCAGAAAATAATCAACAGTTCAAAACATTAACTTCTTAATAAAGCCCTGCTAAGAATTTATGCTGTTTGCATTCCATAATAGTAAGTCTACAGAAATCTGTACGCAAACTCTGGGGTCACTTTCTTGCAATTGTATAACAGTTCTTTGTACCAAATTCTTTTTATAAATAGCCTGATTTTTTGAATACAATCTCCGATATTTTATTCTGATGTATAACATTTTTTTTAAAATGACCATAGTTAGTCACTAATCACTATAAAGTTTAAAGCACAAATGAGGACTAGGGATTTGTTCCATTTTGAAGTTGTCCATTAGATTAAATAAATACCGGCCTCTCACCTTCATATAAATGCCTATTATACCATACGCAAAATAGTAACCTCCCGATAAAATTTTTTGAAATATCTAGAACATTTCGTTACTCATCATCCATACATCAACCGATATAATATAAATACGATTATACTTCTCCGCTAATTAATTACGTCGTGTTTCGGCAAATGGACCAATTCATTATTTATTATAAAATTATTATGAATTAATTACGTCTGTCAAAATACATTACGTCTGTCAAAATAAATTTAATTAGTATTTTATCATTTTGATGAATCAATCAAGCGGTTCATCTCTAACGCTTCCAAACTGGATCTTTGGCGTGTTGATATCAAAGAAGTTGTTGATGTTTTTACTGAAGATGATAGTACAAAAACTTAGAGGAAATAAAATGAGACCTCATTTTCCGTTTAGCAACTATCTCGCTGGGGTTTCAGGTGGTGGAAAACATCGACAGCATTTGGAGTTGCTATGTAACATTGGTCAATCTATATTGTTCTCCTGGAAATATGGTGATCACATAGGGAAAGAGCTTGATATCATCAGAATTATAAACCTCCGGTTTGAACGTTATGATCAACAAAATCAGGCATTTCGCATGTTAGACAAAGTAATACTCTCACGCGGACTTTTGCTTATTAAGGTGCTTACTGAGAAAAAAATTTCAACGCCGAAGGAATGGTTGTTCATACAGCTTCAAATGGATGAATACAAGATCCGAAAGATCTTAGTTTTAAAGGTTATGATACTCTCACTATTATCAATATTATCAATGATTGTCTCAAAGTAAATTATCTAACCTTAATATTTGATGAGGCGCAAGTCCTATGTAGACGAGATTATGGAGAATACAAAAAGAGTTCAGGTGAAAAACGGAATCTCTTGCAGGCTTACACTGAACATCTTACTCATCTTCCCGTTACCTGTCTTATTGCCAGCACTTACATGCATATGGCAAGCGCACTGGTGTTGGGAAAGTTCCAGGTTTGTCTGCTCATATTGTGCTAAAGCTTCCCTTCCTTTTACAAAATGATGCCCTGTGGAATATCGATGCTGTAATTGATCTGACAGATATTACACCTAAAACTCGCATCAAGAGACGACCTCGAAACTGTGCATCATTTGTTCAGAAGTTGATATTGATGAGGGAATCAAAGAGGAGGTATTTTCTTGGAAAAAAGAAGAGCGCCTTGAATAGGTCTTGGCAAAATTCCAGCCAATGGAGAGGACAACTCAAAAGTAGAGGATGAAGAGTATGGTCAAGATTCTAACTATGATGATTTGAACTATGATTTGAATTACATTGAAAACACTAAGGGCTATCAGAAATCTAGGGTCTCTAAGCGTGCAGATAATCATGAGAAAATCTAAAGTTCCACAGAGAATCAAAAACACATTTATGTTTCAGTGGAGCTCCCATATAGAGCTCACTGGTAAAAGACCAGAGTTGTTTCGAATCAATGAATATAGTGACTACCTTGTGATTATTGTGGACGATCGTAATATGGAATATGTTTTTGGACCAAGTGGATAGAATAATTAGGTACGTATCTTTACACAAACAAGTTAGTAGCAAATGCATTCTAATTTAAGAATTTTATTTCTAGCAAAAATCAAGGAAATTCGATGGATCTAACAGATTTATAGCATGATTCCCGAATTAAAAAATGCTAGTCTGTTATGTAATGTATGTTAAAAAGTTGTGTTAGTATTAAATTTCCGCATATATTATAGATTACATTGTACTTGTAACAAAATTTATATTTACGAATATGCATAATCTCTTATAATAAAACAGAACACAACAGCACATCTTTATTTTGTAAATGAAAAAAGTTCAGCTAAACTAACTAAACTAATAAAATATGGCGAGTTTCAAGGGAGTAATTTCTTGAACCCTAACCCATAAAATGAGAGTTCCTTCCAGTTACTACGCATTACCCGGTCCTAAACGGACCTTTATCTAAATTTTCGCTGTTTTTTACTATCTATCCATAAACTAATATCTATGTATTCTTTTTGATTTTCCCTCCAAGTTCACGAATTTTCATTGCAATGTGAAGGCATATCTCCTCCAATTAAGTCCTTTCTCGTCCTTATTTAATCGAAAAGTTGCTTGAATCGGGTCCAGACAGTTAAGCTAATACCTCTGAATGTATAGCGAATTATAAGTTATGGAATATTAATTCCGGATTGCTTACAGAACTTACAGAAGAACTTGGCTTGTAGTTTCTGATTGGCCAGTCACGCTCAGCTGATCAGTTTCGACTGGCTGAATTCTTCAAACAACAGCAGATTTTCATTTTGGAGACTGGAGAGTTTCAATGGAAGCATTAATTGTGGTGAAATTATTACGGCGGGTTTCTTCGATGGTATTATGTCTCGTGGTTATGTTATTAACCATCGATAAGATTTTCTGCGCCTCTTTTGTGAGGTAATCATCACGTGCCTTAATTTTTCCGCCATTGTGTGATAAGTCAAATTTATGATATTAATGATATTACTAACTTCACCCCATATTTTCCGAAATACCAATTTGTCAAATATTATAATAATAGATATTTGGAATACTAGTTGTAAAAACAAGTAAATAAATACAATTACTGTATATCATATTAATTATATGTGATGTTATACTAAAAAAAAAAAAAAATTATAGGGTGATTATTCAGATTATTCACCCCTTGATCACGTAAATTTTGATTGGCAAATTTTATACGTCCAAAGGACCCTATAGTTTACTCTGGGTTTTAGCGGTTTTAGCGTAAACCACGCAAAAGTTAATTTTGGAGAATATATTATAATGTTTTTGTGAACCAACAAAAGTAAATATTAAATTCAAATAATCTCACAATCAATATAGTAAACATCTTTTATTCTGTTCAGATTTCTTCTTTAATTTTCTGCTTCAGCAGGTTGACGTATTTATATTTATTATAAACCCACTATTGATTGCTGACCTTGTTATATCCAATTAATTTTTTCCAAAAAATCTGGTCATCTCAAAGACGCCCGAATCTTTGGTTGTGAAACTAATAGATCAAAAAAAGTAAGATTAAAACCAAAACCAGTGGCATAATATACATAAAGAATAGGTAAGGAACAACTTACATTTCAAATAATAAAGTCTTGGTTGGTATCACGGTATAATTTGTCAAAAAAAAAAAAAAAAAATGTGGAAGACAAATATAGGTATACTTATTTCTAAATGAAGCTCATGTTGAGATTCAACTTTCAGGAGGTGTGATACCTTATTAATTTACATTATATAATCATATTGGGACATGATTCTCACCTGTAGGAATTTATTTATTTATTAAATAATAGCCAGTTATAATTTTAAAAAAAACTATGTTTATGAGGTGCTCGGGTAAATAATAATTTAATACCTTAAAATGACTTTGAAAATATGTATGGATGAAAAAAAAAAATCAAAATCACGTGAATTATATTTCCGTAATGATCCGATAATCCCAAACTCTTTTCGATCCTAATTGTATTGCTTTATATATCTCCTTGAAACACAGGATTTTCAATAGAACAATTAATATACAAGTATATATAAAAATTCTGAATTTTATACTTTTATTACATACATTATTACATTATTATCCATTTAATTCTTGATTGTTTGATCGGAAAAAGGAAAATAAGCAAGAGATCAAACGAATATACAAATATCCTTAAAAAGAACAAAATTTCACTTATTATTGTTCTCGAATATTTTCATTTAAATTGTTCATGATATCTAATGCATAAGTATTTATTTTAAATAAAAGTGCGGCCGTAAGAATGCGGCCGTAATATGCATGACCGAAAGAAATACCATATTTAGTGACAATTGTTAGTAGGAAAAGAGAATTTTATAACATAAATATGATACCCCTGTCTAACATAACCCTCAAATAACAGTAATAACCATAAACATGGATGATCACAAAAATAATATAATATTATAAATATTAATTATTGAAATTTTGAATAATTCTTTTTTTTATGTGAAACGATGCGCTTTTAAACAAAGAAAAAGACAATCATTTTTTTAATAGAAAATATACTTTTAATTTATGTAAATATGTGGTACCAAAAAGCATTTAGCCAAAACTATGTTTATTTTCTTTATTTTCATAAAAAAAAAAGGACCCTTAAAAAAAAAAAATAATGCATAATTTAATAATGCATAATTCAATGAATCTTATTTCATTTGAAAAAAGATGTCGCAGATCTCAAAAACCCTATTGGCTGTTCTATAACCAGAGTAAACCCTAAATTTAATTATAAAAAAAAATGTTCCATAAAGACACCCTTGATATCAAGTTGCACGTGAATAGCGTGCCCCAACTTGTAGTGAATATCGTAAAGTAACGTAAAATGTCGTCATAAATCTTAAATTGAATCATAATAATTTTTAATATATAGAACCATTCTCTCTACCTTTCAAAATTTTCTTTTCACTTAAAGATCTTTGTAACCAAACATCCCTTTTTAAAACTAATTGACCCTCATTCTCAAATTTAATCTTAATTTTTAAAACGTGTCTAACATTAAAATATTTCATAATTCTAACCCCTTCAAAAGCTTGAAACTTATTATTGGTACAATCAAAAGCTGGTATATCCAATTTTAATTCAATTAAACATTTATTATTAATGAATTTAGTAATCTCAATTTCTTCACCTAATAAAGTATAATCTAAAATTTTTTGAGAATCATTAAAATAAACGATTTCCTTATCCCTTCCAAATTCTTTAAATGTTTGATATTCCTTAATAACAACATAAATTTTTTCAATTTTCATAATTGAATCAGGTAAATCTAAACTAAGAGGTATAACCATTATACTATTCATATCTATATATTCAGAAGTTAATAAAGCTTCAGCTTGAACCAAATCCAATTTTGAATTAGGGGATACCTTATTTGAATCAGTACGATACATTAATAATCCACCGGTATTTCTTGATTTTATTACAGAAGGTAGACTATAACGATCAATCTGACAAATTGTTGAAACGATCTTATTTTTTCCTTGTAATTTGAATATATTACATTTACGAAATATGGTAATTACGATTTTATATTTTATTATATCTTGAGAAAATGGAATATTATTAACTTGTGAAGATGATGAATAAGAAGGAGGAATATCATCATCCAATTTAAAATCAAAATTTAAATCAAGTGAAGTTATTGGGGTATAATTTGATGATGAAGAAGAATTATAAATACATTGTGTTTGAGAATAAAAAATGTTTTTTTTATTTTGTACATCATCATGAAAAATGAAAGTAACCGATTCTTGACCAATTAAAGTAGCTGTTATTTTTGAAATATGAATAGGTGATGATGTAGGATAACGTAAATGAAAGCCTCCAGATATTCGTGAAGGTCCTATACCGAGATATCCAATTTGAAATGTTTTCATATTATAATGATATGAAAAAAAACATTTACTGCTACTTGTTCCCAATAACTGTAAACTTGGTCTCATTGCTGCCATATTTTTTAGATACACAATATAAAATGTGGTGTATAAAGTGTATAAAAGTGTTAAAGGGTGTAAAAAGTGTAAAAAAGTGTAAAAAAGTGTAAAAAAAGTTTAAAAAGTAAAAAAAAAGTTTAAAAAGTAAAAAAAAAAAGTGTAAAAAAAGTGTAAAAAAAAAGTGTAAAAAAAAGAGATCAAAAAGAAAAGGAAGAAAGAAGAAAGAAGAAAAAATGAAGAAAAGAAAAAAAGAAAAAGAAAATTTTATAAATTTTATCTATATTTTATATATATATATATGTATATTTTAAAAAAAAGAAAATTTTATCTATAAATTTTTTAAAAAAAAAAAAAAAAAAAAAAAATTAAAAAATTAATGATCCCTAAATTTGAACATTTTCATGGTTGTTTTATATCAAGATACGGAACATTGATTCCGATAAGATAAGCACAATGGACACGTTGTTAACCAATAATCCACGGAATTTTTCCATAATTAGAGATTTATTGTTTATAATATTTGAAATTTGAAACCTATACAGTATATTCATATATTCAGTATATTTATATATATTCAGTATACTCGTATATATTCAGTATATTCGTATATATTCGTATAATTATATTTATATATTCAGTATATTCATATATTCAATATATTCGGCTTCTATTATAGCAAACAGATTGGAATTATTTTTAAAAGTTATATATATGTGTGTGTAATAGTCATATTTCCGAAAATAATTGTCATACTCTTTACTTTAAAACAGAGTAAAAAAAATTATCGATCATTACTAAACTAAATAAACGAACATCGATCATAAGAACGAACAGAAGAATTTCAAAAAGGAATTAATGCGCTTTTATTGTTCTTTGTATTGTTTCTGTTGAGTTTATTGGTAAAAGACATTATGTAAATGTATATTACAAATAAGATTAGATGATATACAAATAAAGCTAAATTAAATCCAAACGCATGTTCTAAAACTTATTATTCAGCCTAATAACTTTAACAATTAAAACTCACCTTTTAGGAAATTCTAAAATATTCTAATCAATATTCATTATTATTAGAAAATTCTAGATTTTTTTTTTTATATTAACATTTATTAGTCTTTTCAATATGCCATCTAATTAATGATAACATTTTCAAATAAGGAATCAAACGCGTCATTAAAAAAATACTCGCTAAAAAAAGGTGATCTGTGTAATTTGATGATCCGGAATATCCTTATCTAAAATGAATTCGGATCATAATCCGAGTTTAAATAACCAATAAAGTATAAGATAAAAAGATAATATACATAAATTCTTTGTATCATTCTTATCATTCTTCTCCAATCAAATCCAACCAATCCGAATACTTTAAAAATGAAATTCATTCTCTTTATTTCTCTTTTATGAATCTTTTGAAAGAAAAACCTTAATTTTTCATGTTTTGTAATTTTGGAACTTTGGAAGTTTGGAATATTTGATATTAGAATAAAACAATATATGTATATAAAAATCGTATAATTCATTATAATAATTATATTTTTATTTTATAAATGTAGACAATGACGGGAGTCATACAGGTTTGTGGGCTGAGCCCTATATCCTAATTGATATAATTCATTAATTATCCGAATTTGGGTATCACGTGACGTTTTTTAATTATATTATTTTTGAATTATTTTTGTTCGCCAATTTTGTATTATAATTGTTCAAGTCATTTTTTTTTTTTTTTCAAAAAATATTGCATATTCTTGGTGTTTATAAAGGTTATTTGAATATTTGAAAGGTTGTGATCGTCCGGAACAACCAAAAATAAATTAAGATATTTTATAATCTTTATAAGTGAACAAACAAAATATCATCTTTGGATAGATTTACATATGATAGTGAATTGGTGATATAGAACATATCACAAAATCACAACCTCACTTTTTAGGTGACCAAAGATTATGATAATCACTCTTGTCGATCTATTTCAGCTTTTCCTTTGGATTAGAGTAAAGAACCTTAAGACCAAAGTACCAGACCTTAGACAACTTTAGAAAGTACGTAATAAAGTTCACGTTGGTATTACAGTGTTACAGTTTAACTGTCAACAAAAATAGATATAATAGATCTGCAATACATTTTATCATACGAGTTTTGATCATTTTGAGTACTTTTTTAGCCTTAGCCTCAGATTTCTCAGATTTCATAATCTTAAAGTTATTCAAACATCACGTGTATGAAATATTATTGATAACGAAAACTTTTTGTATATGTATCACGACGCATAATTCATGTGATATTATTGAGAATTTCAATATTTATACAATATTTATACAATATTTATACGATATTTATACGATATTTATACAATATTTATACGATATTTATACGATATTTATCCTAATTAAGTGTCATTTATTTTTTAAAAATTAAAATTTAAAATTTATACGAGATGAGAGATAAAATAGTTCGATTTTTTTTTTTAGGTAAATTTTAAAAAAAAAAAAAAATAAATTTTATTTTATTTAAATTTAAAATTTATAATATTTAAATAAAAGGTCAAAATGTACATTTACACATGTACTACTGTAATCGGAAAATATTATTGTTTGATATTTTCCTTATATATATATATTATACGTACATATACATACATATACATATACATATATATATTTTTTTGTTAATTATATTAAATGATCTAAAAAATGGTCGAAAATAAGAAAATAAATTCTAATCTCTCTAATAGTTATAATCTTTTAACGATCAAAAAAAAATTCATATTTTAAACTGTAATAATATTATCTTTTTATATATACAATATATACTTATATATATATATACATAAACATATACATATATATACTTATTTATACATATATACATATATATGCTGTATATATATATATATACATATATATTCTTTTGATTTCAAAAATAAGAAAAATAAATTCTAATCTTTATACAACAATCTTTCTTAACGAATAAATAAAAATCATTTTTTTAAATTAAATTTTTCTCCTTGATTCATTTTACAATTTTTGTTATTGTGATCTTCGATCTTAATTTCTATATGATTAAGATTATTGATGCAGGTTTAATCCATAATTAGCAAACAATATTTTATTTCAACTTTAAAAACAACAATTGAAAAAAAAAATGACTATCTACAAATACGGATTTTATTCACGTTTTTTTTTTTAATGTTAAACGAAAATGTTAAATGAACACACGGGAAGGTGCGATATCAGATAGTCTAGCGGGTAGTTTAGATTGGATTGGCGTTATCGTAGTATATACATTTATGTATTATGAGATATTATGCCATATTGAACCATATTAATAAAATTTTATTAATTTCCCCGTGAGGAAAAAAAAAAAGAAAAAAATTAAAAATGTTAAATGAAAAAGTTAATGAAAAAAAAACTAAAATGTTAATAATGTTAATGAAAAAAATTAATATTATTTAATTAAATCCGAGTACGAATTTTTTGATAATCCATAATTAGAAATTTCATTGTTTCAAAAACAATATAAATTTCCAAGTTTCAAAAGTTATTCCGAAATTAATAATAGTAAACAAACAATTTAGATAATTTGAACCTTTCCATTTTGTAATAATATTTCCGGAAAAAAAAAGTGTACAGATTTTTTTTCAAATTCTTGATATATATAATAATATTATTCATGTTTCAAAATACATAGTTTAATTAGTTTATGTAGTACATTTATTAAATCATTATCAATTATTCTTATTACGTGATATGTAATCAAAAAGTCAAAATAGTTGGATTTACAAATGCGTAACAAAAAACAGGTTTTCAGTAGTTAATTTATTTGAATTCTTATATTTGAATAACATTATTTTAATTGTAATTAAAATTTATTATATTAAATAATAAACTACAAGAAAAACATTTTACATATATGGAACTTGCTTTTCGGGAGAAATTAAATTATCTTTTCGTGTGATTATGATTTATTGTAAATCATAATATATGTGAATATTTACAACTTACATTTTACACAAAAAAGTCATTTAAAATAAATAATTATTCTCTACGAGCTACTTTAAGTAACGACCATCCAACTGCATCCCATGGTGCAATTCTAATAGCTTCTTGTATAATATGTAAAGCTTGTAATCTAAATTTCTCACATAATTTCATTTTCTCTACTTTAATCTTTTCAGCTTTTTCATTATTTTCGTTTTGATTTTCTTCATTTGCAATTATTTCATCCCGTAAATGTTCTCTAGTAATTAATAATGCTGTAACATAGGTTCGATATACTTTAGCTTTTTCAATAGTACTTAAATTTTTTGAAGCATTTGATAAGGGATTTGTTATTAACGCAAATGCTGTAGAAGAAGTCGAAACTGATGTAAATGGTGATGCAATTGATGTGAGATGTTCGGCGAGACGAGTCCATCCAATTAAATCAAATGGTTTAAGATGCACCGCTTTTGTAAGTGTATCTGTAGCATTTTCAGGAGAATTCTAAAAATAATAATAATAATAAATCCTAAGCACATAATGAAATAAATGGCATTAAGTATTAAAATTACCTGTAATAAGAAATATCTACTAGTTAAGAAATCGATGTCATGTTCTTTATCCAACTTATCTAGATAATTCAATAAAAATTTCATTAAAAAAAAAAATAATCTCCCCAAAAAAATACCAATATATTCAATATATTCAATATTATCATATTACCAATAAGTTTAATAGGTAATTTCACCATCTCTCTTAAAGCGGCAGTTGATAAAGTATCATCATCTTGTAATAAACCCATAGCGCATAATCCAAAAATAGCAGGGAGATAATTCGGGTTTTGTGCGATACTAAGAATTGAAAATGGTAAAAATTTTAAAAAAAGATATTGAAATTAAATTTATTAATTTTAAAAGAGTTTTACCATTTAAATAATTCTTCTTTTGCCAAATTTCTCTGCTCTACACCACCCAAAGCCCAAAGTACTTGTGATAATAACACTACCACATCCTTTCGTACTTCATTAATACCAGCCTCAGTATTTGCTTGTTCGGCATTATCAGTTTCATTAAGAGCTGTTTCAAACATTTGTAGAGAATTTTCTAATTGATTATCAAAATAATAAGCCATACCAGCTCCTAATATAGAATAAATTTTAAACACCCCGGTAACATTCGGATTATCTTGTTCAATCAAAGATAATGCTGTATTATATGCTGAAATTGAACCGGAAAAATCATGAATTTCGCATAATACTCGACCAAGATTTCCTTGTACATATGCAAGTTTTCTAAAATTAGGCACTTGATCCTCATCAACTAGACTTTTCTGTTCATCACGTTGAATTAATTTTTCAAGTGCCAATATTGCACCCTTAAATGCATCTGCTGCTTTATCGGGTTGATTAAGCCATTCATAAAGTAATCCCAAAAGATTTAATGATGCTGCGTCATCAGGTTTTTGTTCAGTAAGTTTCAATAATGCAAAAGCTGGAGATAAAAGTGATGATCGACGTAATTTGGATGATTTTTTAAATCTAATAAATGCTTGAGATGCAAATCCGTAATCTGCTTCAAGCTATAAATTACAGTTAATTTTATTAAGAGTATAATCTTTAAGTCTAATAGATTAAAAATGGATTAAACTTACGATATAACCTCCTCCGCTGATTTCATAAGAATGTTCAAATAATCCAACTGCTTCGTTGCTTCCCCATAAATTAGCAACATAAGCTTGTCCAACCCACGCAGGTACATAATCAGGATCAAGAGATTGAGCTTTTGAAAATGCTTGATTTGAAAGTTCCAAATCAGAATGTAATAAATATAATAATCCCAAATTTGTCCAAAGAACAGGATTCTGATAATCATAGGAAATCATCATTAATTGATTTAATATCAAAAAAAAAAATTCTGGTAATCGCCATTAATTCACATACCTTTGGAGAATAATCCATTGCCTTAATAAAAGCGTGTTGACTAATTTTTGCATCTTCAATAAAAGTCATAACTCCAAGTGCGTTCCAATAATTATGATTTGTTGGTTCAAATTTTAACGCAATCTTAATATTACGTATCGCAACAGTCAAAAGACTTGATATGTATTCATGATTATTTTCGACATCATTTCCATCACTCGATAAATATTGATATAAATGATAATAATTCACTCCTAAGTCATACCACAAAGCTGGGGCGGTGTTGGATTGATTTCCACTTAAAACAATAGTATATTTGTAAGCAAGACAACCACAAGTTAATATTATTACGAGTAAATCAGCATTTCGGAAATTGCTGAAATCAGAATCTGTTATTAATTTAATTCCCAGACTATCAATATCTTTAGGTAAATGTAATTTAAGATCTAAATCTACTTGTCTCGCTATTTCAACAAGATTTACAATTGGTTCCATTGATACTAGATTTAGATAATTTGGTAATAATGGTGCTGTAACACAAAGATCACCGACCAATTTCCAAAGACATTGAACTTTGCTGTTTGCTCTTATTGCACGTAACGTTATTGATAGACCATGACCTAATGATTCTACTGCACTACCATAATATCCACTTTGATAATATTCCATTGTTAAAGCTAAGTAACAATCACCAAGACCTTTAAGTGAAGGAATATGATTCTCTTCACCTTTAATTTGAGCTTTTTCAAGAGTTAATTTATATTGTTCAATTGCCTCAACATATATGCCTAATTTTTGTTTTACTGTAGCAATTTGATAATGTGCGTATACTGAGGATGGATCCAATTCGGTTACACGCAAAAAGGCCTTCATAGAAGCCATATATTTCCCTTCATTACGATAAGCCTGTGCAAGACCTTCCCAGCAATCTATATCTTTAGAATTTGTTCTTAAAGCAGTTTGAAAATTAATGATTGCATTCGAATAATTTCCATTCGCCTATCAATTTAACAAATTAAATTAATAAAAAATAAAAAGAAAATATGAATATTTTATCTATGCGAATTATTTACCAATTCTGAAAATCCTAATCTTTTCCAAGCCCATCCGGCCTTAAAGCTTGCTTGAATTGCTGCACGATATACTCCTTCAGCCAATTGAACTTCTCCATCTGATTGATAATATTCGCTTAATTGTGAGCCCGCTTCTTCATCAAGTGAATCATTAGAAAATGCTTTTTGATAACATTTCTTTGCGCGAACATGATCTTTATCAACGAGACGATAATAGTGTCCAAGGTAAGTAAATGGACCTGCAAGACCTTGATCAAGTTTTGCAGAACGAATAAACTCTGCATAAGCAATTTTCTTATCACTATAATCATCACCTTTTAAAAAAAGGAATTATATTAATGATAATTCGGTATATATAATATCCTTATCATGATTGATCGTAATTGGTAACATAACTTACCGCTCATAGCCCAATATATTCGCCCCAAACGATAATAGTAAAGTGCATTATCATTACACATTTTAATTGCTTCCAAAATTAATTTAATTGCTTCTTCATAATTTTCCCGTAAAAATTCTATCCATCCAATTTCATTAACAGCAATATGATTAGAAGGATCCAATTTTAGAATTTTTTCAAAAATTTCAATAGCTTTATTATACTGCTTTTGTGAAGATAATATTATACCAACACCCTAATAATCAAATTAAACAATAAGATATTTTGTTTATAAATTAACAAATTTTAAAAAAAATTATTATTATTATTGTAATTATTGTCATTATATAAAAAAGTAATCAAACCTGTAAAGCTAAAATATTATTCTCGTCATCCGATAAAATTTTTTGATAAAGTGATAATGCGTCAGTATGATATTTGACATCAATATTTAAATAGCAATCCGCTATACACAATTCTAACGATAGCAAAACCCTAAAATAAAAACCTTGATTAGTATAAAGTTCATTAATCTTTGATTTAAAACATTAAAACTTTACCTATTAAGCATTCTCCCAAATCTTTTATCGTATTTTAAAACTATATCACGTCCATTTCTTGCAATGTCTAAAGCTTGGTCATAATCTTTAGCATCATGATAAATCCAGCCTAATGAAAGATGACCAAATAAGCTACTTGTTGAAATTTCAAATCCTTCCTAATAATCAAAAAAAAAAAAAAAGAAACATTAGAACCGATTAAAATTATTTTAATAATAAATAAAAAAATAAACATACACTATATAGACTAAGTGCCTCAGATAACTCCTGTTGTAAATATTTAAAATAGCCTTGAATCATCTTTGATATTCCAGTATCGGGAAATTTTTCAGAATATTTTTTTAATAAAGTTAAATCATATTCGTCTATTAACAGGCAAATCATAAGTGAATAATTTAATATATTTCGTTTTAGTAATCACGTAATATACTTATTTGTATACCTGCAGAAGATGCATCTGTGCTTTCAATAATTATTTCGTAAGGTGTAGGAGTAGTACTTTCGAGATCAATAAGTTGTTGAGACTTCTTATATAGTTTCTCTAGTAACTATATTGATTATAATGAGTTATTTCGAATCCATATAACATTCCAACTTTAAAAAATTTAGCAAACCTTCTGTTTATCAGACACTGCAATAATTTTCTTTTGTAGATATTTGATATAATTCACTGATAAGGTATTAACATCCACGTTAGGATCATTCGACTTATCATTTAATTCAAACAGTTTATCATAATATATTTCCAGCTATAAATGAAAATAAAAAAAGTTAAAAATGATTATAATATACCTTAAATAATAATATAAATTTACCTCAGAATAAGCATAAACTTCCTTAAGCACTCGTGTTTTGATCTCGGAAGCAGAAGAACCAGCATTAATTCGTTTCCTTCTTGTTTCAACTTCTGATTTAATAGTCTCAGATTCATCCTTGTCTATTAATTCAATTATTTTCAATAATGTTCGTGTAGGTTTCGGAAAATCATCCAAGTGCTTAATAGTATCATAATATGAACTTTCTGGTAAAAGGTATTTAAGAACAGAAATAAGCTAGCATATAAAATGAAAGATGTACAATTAATTAATTGTTTTATTATGGCAAAAGCACTTGAATCAAAATATTGATCGAACCTACTAATTTCCGATCTTTCAATTTCTCTGTATACAAATTAACCAATTTATTGATATTATCCAATATTTTCTTTGGTTCTCTGGTAAATAATAATTAATAATATTAATAAGCATACATAAATCAATCAATTAAATTTTAATAATCAAACATTACTTTTCTCTAATCAATATTTCTTGGTAAGTATCTGCTAATTTTGGCCAATTATTTTGAGTTTCATACAACTTTGCGAGACCCTAGTAAATAAAAAAAAGTCAAAAAGCGCGCTCAAATAAAACGAAATGAATCGTGGTTACAATCTAACATAACGAACCTGCCAAGCAAGCGGATTAGAATATTCTATATCGATTGCACGTAAATATGCTTGTTCACTTTCAGAAATTCGAGTCAAATTTGATTTCGCAACACCAAGAAATACAAACCTTTTTAAAATGTTAACATGTATCATAAATGATTCGCGTTATAAAGAGAAGAATTAATTTCACTAAGCCAATTAAACATACGCATTATAGTTATTATTTTCATATTGGAGTACTTTTTCGCATTCTTTTATTGCGTCTTCCCATTTTTTAGCGGTTATTGCCTCTTTTGCGCTTTTGAGTGTTGCTTTTATATATGACATATTTTATAACAGATAAAAAGTAGTAACAAAATTTTTTTTCCAATTTAAAAAAAAAAACCCAAAAATGGTCTATGATTGACAATCAAATCATCAAAATAAGAGCACCCACTTCTATAGCGACTTGCTATAATGCTGTCTCTTATACACATCTAGATGTGTATAAGAGACAGCTTCTATAGCGACTTGCTATAATGAAGGTACAGATTTTTTTATATAATAAATGACCCACAGTATAGTGAATTTCTCACTATACATACCGAATTTTAATCTCCAGCCCATGTGAACTGTATACATATAAAAAAAAACATTTAGTACAATTAAACTTTAAATTTATAAGCATCGTAGTATAATTACAGAATTGATTTTTTTTAAACGATTTTTAATTTTTATTTATAAATGAAATGAAACAAAGATCCCAACAAAAAATACATATCCCTTTGTGAAGTTCAAAGGAAACTAAGAAAATAAATATAATCAAATTAATCGAACACTCCTCATACATGATTTTAAGATGTCTAAGGGAATCTAATCAAGTCTATCATAAGGATCATAAAGGTCATAAAGTAAGATAAGGGAAACTAATCCATAATGAATGGTTTGCGGAAATCATGGTAATTAAAAGAATCGGATGAAGTAGAGTAATTTAATGGATATTCTTCCCATTTCTCTTTCTAGTGTATAAGATATATTCTTATTAATTATCATGTTATATTCATTTCTTCATTGTTGTCCTTTCGTTATATTTCTACAAGATTCTTAGAAATAAATGATTATTTGTTAGGGAATAAAAGGAAGAAAATAATAAGAAAATAAATTTTTTACAGGGATAAAAGGTGTGGGGAAAGGAAAAAGCTAATGGGTGATAGGAAGAAGTATTCTTATCACTGAAAATTCTATATTGCGACCTTTTTTTTTTTTTAAAAAAAAAAAAAGCTTTTATAGCTATATATATATATATTATAAGAATGTGAATCTATGAACTTAGAGATATACAAGTGTGTTTTTTGTGAACACATCTGATGTGAAGCGACTTGTATTCTGATGAAGGCAGTGGCGTAGCTTGATGTGATATGGGATATCGTATATTGAAAAGATATCTAAACTTTCCTCTTCGGGTACAATTATCACACAAAAAACACATTCTTCTGATTTTAAGTAAGTATTTTTGTATTTAAATTAAATAAATATTACTATACAATTTTTTTAGAAAAACCACACACTTTTATAGAATAACTACAATATTAACAAAATTACGTATGTTACTTTTTGAGATTATTACTATATATATATATATAGCATACAAAAAGAAAAAAAAAAAAGAGATTATGATTATTGGTTTTTTAATTAGAAAACGGATGTTTGATGGTATTTATGAAAGTAAGTAAAAGTCGAAAATTATGGTGAAAAATTATAAATAAGGGGTAAGATAAAGTGTAACAATATTATTTATTGTTTAAGTTCCTTTTCTTGTTCCATCAACGCCCTTTTTTCTTCATCAGCAATAAAGATAACTTGTTCAACTACAGTTTCGTCGTCATCGAATGAAACAGCACTATAATGTGATGGACGACGTGCTAGCATTATTAACGCTTGCACGGAGGCTGGAATAGCCATAAAGAACACACCAAATAAGATGGTAAGGAAGAGTGAAGCAAGTATGATACGAGTGAAACGTGAGGAGCAGCGCCACCAGTGGCGTATACGGGAAGTAATGGGATGGAACGAGCTTTTTTCCTGTTGTTCAAGTTGTTTTTCTTCTTTGTTATGATGTGATGATAAATCTTCAGCTGGATAGAATGGAACGGTAACATCTTTGTCTCCATCTGAAATTTCGAATACTTTAAATTCCAATACTTTTTCGACAGCATCTTGTGGTTGAACAACACTAACGCCATCAATTTCTATAATACGAAGGGTAATTGAGACACGACGAAGCGTAACACCTTCTTCAGTAGTTGGTACAGATTCAGCAGCTGTCAAGACTTGAACAGTGACAAGACCAATGTCAAAGTTATCAGCGTATTCTTCTAATTGTTCGATCTTGATATTTGCCGGAACGATTTGTGCTTCTATTACCTAAGTAAATCAAATAAATGGGAAGGTTAATTAAACTGAAAGTGGCGCAGTAAAAAAGTATATATATATATATATTTTTTTTTTTCGACATACCTGAAATGAACTTATACCTAATTCAACTGGAACATTGTTGACTAATAATTGATCATTTTTTAAATCAAAATTGACAATAACGGCATCAATTCTTTCAGCGAGTAATTCACCGTTATCATTTACAAGGTCATCAACGCGTTGTACAGCAACAGCAAAATGTTCCGAATTGGAAGTTTTTGTTTCTGATATAGTCATCGTGGTGGATGACACATCTTTAATTGGGGACGCAAAGGAAATAACTATAATATGAAAAAACAAGTTAAAAAAATGTATTTATTTAATTAATGATTAAATTTTTTTTTTATTTTTCTTTGTTACATACCAGATAAGCAGAGGACAGCCAATAAGGCAAAAACAAAAGAAAATTTAGAGGCCATTATAGAAAGTCAAAAGTTGGGTAGGAAAGATATGTAGCGGTGTTATTGGTCGAGACAAAAAAAAAAAAATAAAATAAGCAAGAAAATAAAGAAGGTTATTTTGTACTTATCAAAAGTTACAAAATAAGTGTCTAAAATGGAGATTTTAAGTTTAGTGTGGCTAAAATTTTTTTTTTTGCCTCCTTTTTTTCACTAACAAGTGAAAGTTTGGGTATGGAGGAAAGATGAAAAGAGAAAAAAAATGAAAAAATTAGAAAAGGAACTTTGATTATGGGGAAAAAAAAAAATTTCTGAGAAGAGTGGCCAATTTATAGTGATACCGTTTGTTAATGGAATTCCGAACGGAAATTAATGTATGACCAGATCGTACAGTCAAATAAAGTGTATAAATTAATTTGGTATATAAGTTAATTTGATGTATAAATAGAGAAAAGATTAACTTTGTCTTGCATGTGTGTAGTATATTTGTAATATCTGTGTAATATGTTTCAAAAAAGCGAAAATAAACCGAACGGACGAGTTCACAAAACCGAGACAAAGAGAATGAAATTTATAAACTTTGATAACGCCCTATGTCACAGTTTCAAAATACTCCGAGAAAAATAAACGAACGGTTCGGCTGAATATTATATGACGAAAGAATACATAACCAATTTAAATTCGAGAATATCCCAATTCAATAAGGGGGATGGAAAAGTTTTAAACTTTTTTATTGTTTGTTGCCACCTTTTTTTTAGTGTTTGTTACTTTAATTGCATTTATTACTAAATTGGCAATAACCAGAATAATATAACAAAGATAATAAATGAGTGATCATTTCTTTAATCGGATTCTAAAACTTTTTTAAATTGTTGTTAAAAAAAGTAAAAAAAAAAAGCATGATACGATCTCTTTTGCATTCTTTATTAGTAAGAATTCCTTTTTGAAGGGGGAAAGGTTTTAAATGAGTTCAGAACAACAACAACATTACTAAAAAAATCATGAAATTAATAAAAGGGGAATTTGAAATAATATATTAATATATGAATAAGAGAATAAATAATTACAATAATTACGCAAAATGGTACAATATTTTATTGGTTTATAATAATTATTCTTTATTTGTGGCATAGTAACATAATGTCGATTTTTTAATAAATATTTCTTCGAAATATCTAACCATGGAACCACATTCGTTATTAACAAAAACAACAAAAAAAACTTGCTCTGTTATCTCTGAGATTTGATGGGTACAAATTATGTATTAAATCTTTCTTTTTCTATCATGCGCATATATTGTATTCCCAACCAAACATAATATTACTTGTGTATTATTAAGAGGGTCCACCCTTCCTTAATGAAGGTACACCTTGCATGACGTATTTATTGGTAATACATGACATCTTATTTATTATTTCTAGAATTGGTTTAGGATTTCCTTATTCCTTCGTAATAATATCATGTTAATAATATTATTTCTTATTATCACATGATTAATTTATGCATTACGATATGGATCGATCTAATTAATGTATTTCAGATAAGAGGTTAAATATTAGCTCATTAATTAAAGAAAGAAGACATCAATTATTACAATGGAGTTAGTATGAAACATGGTGTTAATATCCGCAATTTGTTTCATTAATTTTCACGGCGCAGCTGTGAAGATTATGGATGTTACAGTAAATGACGTCGGAAATTCTTATTTTTATTAAAAGCTTATTTGCTATAAAATACCAATAAATTTATTTTCAGAAAGCTAAATATTTTGAATTTGACTCCTCCTATTACTATTACTAAACAAAAAGAAATTTTTGGTAAATATAAAGCTAAAATTGTAAAACAAGTTATTGAATATTGATTACCATTTGTTTAGCAACTTATTCATCTGTTATACAATTAAGCATTTATTTATATTATAATTTTTATTATTAAAATCTAAATAATTCTTATATTATTAGGCAATATGTAGAAAATACTCATTAATTATATAAAACTTATTAGAGTTTATTAAATTCATCTTAATAATGATAATAATTTAAATTAATATTTAATAAAATAATATTTCTTTAAAAGTATTGCTTAATCTTACTACAAGTGATTCTTATTGCACAAATATTAACAGGCAGAGTTTCATGACATTTTTAATTCTACCCAAAATTTTATCCTAATCCTGGTAAGATGACATGATATTTAGCAATACTTTTTCTTTTATATTTGGACTTTATTATAAATAAATTTTATATAAAATTTTATTATTTTTAATACATTAAATATAAATTCAAATATAAAAAAAAAATAAATGCAATTATAAATTTTAAAAAAAAAATTATTATTGGAATGGTTTGTAAATATCTAAATAGGTTTATATTATTTTATTATATATAATTTAGTTACTTTATATTTATCTATAATAAATATAAATTTATACCTTAAACTTTTATTATAAGCAAACAAAATCATAATGCTAAAAAAAAAAATAAATAAAAAATTATTATTAATTAATAAATATTTTAATAGAAATTTAATAGTTTATTTTTAATATTAAATAATATATATATATATTTACATATATAATATATTTTTATTAATATTAAATATAATTATCTAATATTATATAATTTTTTATTATTACTTAAAATTAAATTTTAAAATAAATAAAATATAATATTAAATAAATTGTTTATTTAACTAATACTAATTAGTAATATTAGAATTAAAACTTTTGCAAAGCTTAAATTAATTAAACAAATTTAATTTATTTAATATTACAGTTAACTAATAATTAAATAATAGTTATTACATTATATAATATTCTATATTAATATAAAATTTGTATTAAAGTATAAATAATTTCAATATATAAATTAATAATTTTTAATATATGAATCAATACTCTTAATTATAAAATAAAATTTTGGAAAAAATTAATTATTATAAAAATTTATTAAACAAATTTAATTTTAAATAAAATAAATAAAATAATATTTGTAAATTCTTTATTATAAATATTGTACTTATTAAATTCTTTAAATAACATTATTAGTATTTTTCTTTTTAAAAAAAATTTATATATATAGTTTTTTTTTAATTTATTTAATAAATATTAATTATTAACAATTTCTTCAATTATAGTAAATTATAAAACTTAATTATATTTTTAAATATATATAAATATTAATACACTATTATTTATTATAAATTCATATATATTAAAAAAATATTAGTAAAAAAAAGATAAAATTAAGCAAGATTTTGCAAAGTATAAGAAAAAAACTTTATTACAAACAATTTATAAAGATATTTAAATAAAAATAAAATTAAAATGCATTTATTAAAAAATTTTTTATTTTGCTCCTATGTTTTTAAAAATTTATAATTATTTTATAAAACTTTTTAATTTAAAGTTTAGATTTAAGATTTAATAAAAAGAAGGTGAAAATTGAATGATTAAAATCTATATTTTACAAATTTTGGAACTTGCATTAGCTAAAGACAAGATATCAAGAATTAAGGTATACTATTAGATGTTAAAACATTAATCAAATATTGGAACTAAAAAAGTTTTTTTTATATTATATAATGAATAGGATATTAGAAATCAAAATAGTTTTCTTAATAAACTTCCCAAAATATTCAAAGAAACAATTGTTTATAGTTTTTTAGTATGACAGATTAATAAAAAAAAAAAGGATACACCATAAATTCTTGCAATAAAAAAGAACTCTTGTTGATTTACATGTGGGTAGTATTAAGGTTTTCTATTCTGACCGACATTATAAATTTGGCCAGAATTATAATTATTATAAGATGGGATAAATTAAATGGACTTTATAATTTTACCGGCCAGAATTATAGAAGTCACGTGCTTTAATATGACTAAATGACAATATGACAGATCATATTTCGACCTTGTCATATTCCCAACACTGCAGTGAATTTTCTTCAAAGGTAATATATCAAATTCGATTCTTAGACCTACTGTATAATGATGTGCGGTTAATAATTCTTATTATTTTGCTCATACAAGTGTACTAAATTCATCATCAAATAATTTTGTTCATTTTATATATCAGCGCGCTGAGAAAATCATAATCATCTCGACAATTTTGTGACACCTGTTTTTAAATACAAAGGAAACAAAATTTCAGAATTGTAGGAAAAAGTATTATATTAATATTATTATGCAGCAAAAGACAAGCAATATTTAGGAGCAAAATGTATAATGGAGTATGTAAATTAAAGGATGAATAGAAAATGTTTATTTTTTCTCTTCTTAGAATTTATTCTGTAGATTATTCATCTCTTGCGAAGCTTTATACTTTATACGGTCGTCAATCTATTTCGGAAATCTTACATCTCATAATTAGTAATAGTAATAAAAACATACTAGTTGTAGAAATCATTTATGTTAAAGAAAAAAAAGTAATACTCTCATGGCTGATATGCTTTCAGAAAAAAAAAGATTAAGGTAGTATTAAACAATTAAACCATTGTTTATTTATTATCGAAATATATACAACTTGGTAGTTTTCACTTTTTTGCTTCACTGGTACAGAATTATCAACGAACAATGATCCTATAATTGCATCAACCACAGTTAAAAATATACCATCATTCGTTGAGAAGCTGACCAATATTTTCCGCAGGTTTTTGAAATCTTTCAATTCATAAGGAAATAACGTAAGTTGTTCTCTCAGTTCTCTCACTTCTTTCTTCTATTTTTGTGAAACTAAACATACTTCTCATTTTCGTTCTCATAAATAGTTTTGTCATTTGAACATTTTTAACTGTGTAATATACATTTCTTCATTTTATCTAAAAGCAATTGATACATATTAGACCAATTCCCTATAAATCTTAAAGTATTTAGTTAAGTCTTCTTTAGTTTTCAATAAATTTAATGTAAGAGTGAAAATATTACTTGTGATTCCATTTTGGCTGTCCAGTAATTTGAAGTATTTTATTTACTAATTTTTCAACGTTCCCTCTACATTGATCCCATGCTTCTTCGTCAAAACCTTTGGAAACGATTTTAAGTAGCACTTTTTACCTTTGATTCTTGACAAATGGAATTTCTAAACTTTAAAGTTATTGGCGCTATTCATGATTGATGAGAACAATGATTTATTAGGAGAGTAGGGAAAATGTTCTTGTTTAACGCGAAAGAGTTTAATTGTTATTCTGGTCAAATCATGATGTGAGATCAGTCACTCGAATAAATCTTCATGCCCACTAAAATCGCATAGCGATATCTTGATTTATTTAACTAATAGTACAATAATTATAAATTATCTAATATATATAAAAGTTCGGAAAAAAAATTACATAGGAAGTATTTGTTTAATAAAACTTTCAAGTGATGAATTATTTTCTTTTGCTCTCATATCTTCAATGACTTCCAAATAATTCCTCAACTCAATTTGTTTTTCATTTACCCAATTTTCTCTCTCAACCTCACTCAAAGAATTATATTCATTTACTGCACGAGATACATCTGCTTTCCAATAATATGGATTGGTTCCATAGTATCCTGGTGACGTCGCATTAACCAAAAAATTGAATGAATTTCTGAAGATGGTCTCACTAATACAGGGTAAACATGAACGAACTTCTTCTGAGTAATTTTCCGATTCCCTTAGCTTTTCAAAACTTTTTGATAGAAGAATTAATTTGTGATTAAATTTAAATATAATTTAAAAATAAAAAAATTAATTACCTGATAGTTTGTTTTTGGGCACAGTTTGAACAAACCAATACTTTAAATTCCCAAAATAGTCTACGTTCTTCTGATCCTATTATAATCTTTTTACCACAATATTGGCAAGTTTCACCTATATCTAATAACCAAACAAATTTTTGTTCAGACAAATCACCAGGCGGTTTTAAATCTGAAAATTTTGATACAAATTTCAATCTTGATTTATACCATAATTGTTGTGTGGTAGATGAATTTGACCATAATATCGTTCTAAATTGCTTACAAACCAACGTCAATGTGTATAAATCCTTTGGGGGTAGGTTTTCACATATTTCTATAAATACTTCTTGTGTTAAATTTAAAATATGTGATGATATCAAGTAAGATGATGATGATGATGATGATGATGATGGCGTTAAATTGTTTAACGATATTCCTTCTGTTAAATTAGCTTTGGCTCCCTGTTCGGTCGAATTAGAAATATTTATGGTTTCCTGTCCGATTGAATTAAATTTCGTTTCCTGTCCGATTGAATTAAATTTCGTTTCCTGTTCGGCTAAATTAGATTTGGTCTCCTGTTCGGTTGAATTAGATTTAATTTCATGTTCGGTTGAATTAGATTTAGTCTCCTGTTCGGTTGAATTAGATTTAGTCCCCTGTTCGGCTAATTTAGAATTGGCTTCCTGTTTATTCGAATTAGATTTGGCTTCCTGATCAGTCAAATTAGTATTGGCTTCTTGTTCGATCGATTTAGTTTTAACTTCCTGTTCGGTCGAATTAGGATTGGCTTCCTGTTCGGTTGAAATAGGTTTGGCTTCCTGCTCTACGCTTTGATTCTGCATTATTAAAATTTAAAATCTTGGAGTGTGAGAATTTGATTTTTTTTTTTATTACCCCATTTGTACTATTAAGTGTTACTAAGTGTAACTTCATTTATATTAGTAACATCTCCCATTCAATTCAAATGTTCTCGAAATTTTAATGCTAATAATCTAATATTTGCTTTTTCAGATGAAATCAAAGATGGACAAGAAAGAGCTTTACGTGGAAGACTTACATTATATTATTAGATGTTGGGGAAAGAACCAGCATATGTAATTAGATAAATTATAATTCAATAAATTGTGAAAAAGAATCCTAAACAGATGTTTTTAATCGATATAATTTTCGAATACGATGTTGATAAAGTAATAAATCAAAGAAATTATTCAATTATAGGGTTATGAAATCAATGAAATGAGTGGTCAGGAATTTATTCTTTGATTAATCCAATGAATAGAAACAGAAAAATTGTTTATATTTATTTACTTTTAACACTAAATGTTGTAATAGCAGAAAATGATATCGTGTTAGACTGTATAAAATTTTAAGTACTTGAATTCGATTATGAAATGACACTTAAAATAAAAGGTTGATGAAAGAGCTCAATTATTTATAACATAATAACATTAATTTTATTTAAATTTCGAGTTAATAAAAAATGGTCACTCTTTATATCTGAATCACTAATTAGATGATAATTATATTTGAAATTGGTGGAATGGTAACTATGACGGAACGGAAAATGAGGATGTGAACGATTGGATCAGGCAATTTGATATAGCATATATAGCACGTTGTAAATTAATTTGCGGCATTATCTCTCGTTTTTAAGGGACTTGAATTAATTTAGAGAATTTGATGACTAAGCAATGCATATCGCTGATCATTTGATCAACTTAAATTTATCTGAAGTTTTGACCACTCTTAAATTTTTCGTTTAGTGTAATCACCATGTCTTTGGTAGGCATATTTTGTACCTTTTTTTACTTATATATATTTATATTAATATATATGCCCTTTTTTTCAAAAATAGCCAAAAAAAGATGAATTATCCAAATATTTTCCATCATCATTTGGAAAAAAGCCCAATTCATCATTATCTAATGAAAAACTTGATGATAGTGCCTCAGAGGAAGAAATAGAAGATCCCTTAAGATCAATGTTACCAACAGCATTTGGTGTAAAAAAGAAAACAAATATTACTTCTGACGCCTTCTCTAAAACAAGAAGAAAAGAACAAGAGGTTTTTTGGCCATGGCCAATAATTTTTTTCAATTCTTCCTTTACAAGCTTATTGAAATTGTTCATTAATATAGGAAATTAATAAATCTATATCACCTCAAAAACAAATATCAAAATCTAAACGTCCAAAAACCGAAGGCATTGAAGTATCAGGTGTTGAACGTGAAGATACTGAAAGCGAGGAAGGAGATGATGATGAGGGTGAAGAAGAAAGTGTATCTGATACTTTACCTATTTCACACGAAATCAAATTAAATGATCACTATAGAGTATGTTATTCTTTTAAATTTATATTTAAAATTTCTGAAAAAGGCTAACTAAGATTGAATTATAGACTGTTTCGGCTATAGCACTTGATCCTTCAGGGGCTAGGCTTATAACAGGTGGATATGATTATGATGTAAAATTTTGGGATTTCGCTGGAATGGATTCTTCTTTACGTCCCTTTAGAACTATAAGACCATGTGGCGACCATCAAGTAAGAACTTAATGTTATTTATGTTATAATTATTATTGCCTGAATAGATTTGACAAATTTTATTGTAATTTTAGATTCACCATTTGGAATATAGTTTAAGTGGAGATCAATTTTTAATTATATCAGGATCAGCACAAGCAAAAATTTATGATCGTGATGGATTTGAAATGTATGTTATATTGGATTCTTTACGTATTTTGAACTTATACGTTTAATTTAGTCTTAATTAATTCTATCAATTTAGGGAGGAATATATTAAGGGAGATCCGTATATAAGAGACATGCGGAGAACAAAGTATTTCAAATTTTTCTTTCTTTTCTTTTGCTCTTTTTTTCAAATTTTTACTTAAAAAATATCTTTATATTAAAGTGGTCATATAGCTGCTTTGACTTCAGGTGGATGGCATCCAAATGATAAACAGACATTCATAACGGCATCACATGACAGTACGATAAGGTAAAAAATGATCTCAAAGATTTCAAAATATATTAAGAGTCTAATTTATATCATTATTATTATAGGATTTGGGATGCAGAATATAAAAGAAAACAAAAAGATGTACTTGTACACAAATCAAAGGAGCGTGGTGGAAGGAGTGTTGTAACAGCAACATGTTATAGTCCAGATGCAAAGTATATAGCCGGAGGTATTTGTTATTTTTAAATTTATTTTAATTTATAGATTTAAACAGCTTAATTTTTATTTATTTTTTATTATTATTAATTTGAAATAATATTAGCCGCTCAAGATGGGGGTTTGTTTTTGTGGGCTGCTAAGGGTCCATATGTTCGTCCTTCCCATGTAAGTCAATTATATATATATTTTTTTTTCCGAAAAATAATAAATAAATAATTAGATAAATAAATACAATTTATTAAAGACTATTATTTGATTTTTTTAATATTTAACGTTTGCAATTAGCTTATCGAAAAAGCACATCAACCAAACAGCGAGACATCGTCTATATTGTGGTCTCGTGATAATTCAACTTTAATAACTAGGGGTGGTGATGATTGTATAAAAGGTGAATTGAGAAATTTTAAATACTTAATTATTCTTTATCATTATATAAAAACTCATATTCTTCGTTATATATAGTTTGGGATGTACGAAACTTTAAAAATCCAGTTTTGCAAGCTAATCAACTTGCAACTTATAATGCAGAAACAAACGTAATATTCAGTCCTGATGAAAGAATGATTATCACAGGTAAATTTTTTTGTCATATTCTTTTATTAATATATAATTAATATTATATAATATTATGAAGGTACCGCGGTCAAGAAAGGAGAAGGGTATGGAAAATTAGTAATTATGGATCGTGAATCACTCGAGATTTTGCGAACAACGAGTAAGAACTTATCAAATTTCGTTGATTGTAGTAAATCTTTCATGCTAAAAGTCAATTTCTTTAGATATTACACAATCTAGTGTTGTCAGAGTTTTATGGCATTCACGCATTAATCAGGTATAAAATTTTTCGGTTATTATTGTTGTTATTTCACACTACACTACAACATATTTTTATCTTACAGATCATTACCGGGAATGCAGATGGATCAGCTCATGTATTTTATGATCCTAATATTAGTGTTCGTGGAGCAAAACTTTGCGTTGTCAAAGAATCAAAGAAGAGAGCTGTAGACGATTACGAAATCAATCGTCCTATTATTGCACCACACTCATTGGCAATATTTAGAGATGATAGGCCAAAATCGACAAAGAGAAAGAGAGAGAAATTAAGAAAAGATCCTGTTGCGTCACATAGACCTGGTAGTTATTTTTTCATTTTATTTCATAAATTTAATATCTCAAAATTAATATTTTTTTTTTTTTTATTAGATTTACCCGTTAGTGGTCCAGGAAAAGGTGGCAAAATTGGTAGCAGTTTGACACAACATATTATGAAAGAATTAATCAAGGATACTACTAGAGGTTTGTCTTTTTTTTCGAGATTCATATATATATATATATGCTAATCTATTTAAAAATTAGATGAGGATCCAAGAGAAGCCTTATTGAAATATGCGGCAATATCAGAAGGTAAGTCAAAACTTAGTTGTTTTATATTTGCAGTTGTTATAACTTATAACAATTAAAAAAATTATTACATTGTAGATGATCCTCAGTGGATTGGTAACGGTAAGTATACTTTCCTACTCTACTTCTAATTTTTAAATGAGATTTCATTTCATTTTATTTATTACATATTTTATAAAAAATAAGCTTATAAGAAAACCCAGCCAAAACCTGTGTTAGCCGAAACTACTGGAGAGGAAGAAGAGGAAGAAGTTGTAAGAAGGCCTTAAAATGTTTAATATTAATGTTTATTAAGTAAGTCATAAATTTTGTTTTATTAATGGATGTAGAATTTTATTTGGGCATTTTTTTATTATTGAAATTAATTTAAAAAAAATTTTTTTTTTTTTTTTTTAAAAACTTCATTACTTTTACAGTTTATACAATATATTAAATATAATCATTTGTAATTTATAAACCCCTTTTTTTTTATTTAGACAAGATTTTTTTTTTTAAAGGAATAAAAGGAATAAAGAAAATTTTAAAATAAAACAAAAAAAAAATAAATCTATTAAAAATTAATGTACAACCAAAAAGAAAAATGAAATAATAAATAAATAAAAATTATACAAGAAAACAAAAGCGTTTTTTTGTCATTATATTAAATTACCAGAACTTCTTTTGCTTTGTAAATCATCTTCAGTTTCTTCAATTAAAGTTTCCATATTACTACCATTATTACCATGATTTAAATGACTAAAACTTTCAAAACTACTTTTTGGAGTAATAGTTTTTGTATTGTCAGCGTTAGCGTTACCGCTTCCATGATAATGATAAGATGGGGGAGGAATTTCATTATTCTTTTGTTCTTGTTTTGGAAAAGAGAAATTATCTAAAGAATTTTTAGATCTTAATCTTGTAGGAGAATGTGGAGATAACGTAGTTGTGTTGCTAACAGCCATACTTATTGCTGTACTTGTCGGAGAACTACTACCATTTTCCATTGTCATTAACGCATCATTACTACTTTGATTATAATTATTATTAGTTTCTAAAGATCTATTCACATCAACACTACCCCTAATTATATTATCCATATTAATTTCATTAATATTATGTTCGGATTTAATATTATCTTTTTTATCACTATTATTCTCATTTACTTTATTACTTTTAAATCCACCTTCTATATCATCATCACCATTATTACTTCCTTCTTCAATTAGTTTATCTAAAAGTTTTTTATCCTTTTCAATTTCTTGATAAATATCAACATCAGTAGGTAATATAATACTTTTAACTACTTTAACAAATAAATTAGGTAATAGAGCACAACTAACAGTTAAAATAACAGTAGTCCAATACTCTGATTTACCACCAATTCTTTGAAAAGTACCATTAACATCATATTCTCCAGTACTCCTTGGATATAAGAAAGAATAAATGGTTTGATATAAATACCACCCAATTAATGTTAAAATTGATGTAATATGAGTTATTATTGACCAATTATGACATTCTAAATAAGCAATTTTAATTGTTACAACAAATACTACACAACTATATACAGTCATTCCCAATTCATATAATTGTGGAGTTCCGAATATTCCTAATTCATCTCCGTCCCAAAGTCCATGTATAAGAAATGGTATTCCTATTATAATAAAAGCATGAAATATTCCAGCCCCCATCCATGTAAAGAATAATTTTAGATTAAATCCGCCATTACGTTGGCCTAACCTATATAACTCAGGTACTCCAAGTACCGTTTTCATATTTAAATCTTTTTCGAACATTCCGATAACTATTACAGGCAATGAAGAAAATAATGTATTATAAAATGATAATGTCCATTGTTCATATAAACTGGTACCAGAAAATCCAGTAAATAGTTGGAATAATCCTTGTGTTAAATAAAAACACATGCATTTGTAAAATGTTCCTAATACAAATTTCGATACTCTAACATAAGACCATCTACCATGCACAAATAATAAATTACTCAAAAATCTAAATTGTGCTATTGAATAATCACTTGATCGTGCTGCTTGTAATCCTTCACGTCCTGTTATTCCAATACCGACATGAGCTTCTTGTATCATAGCAATATCGTTTGCTCCGTCTCCGATTGCCAATGTCACTGAATTTGTTAGTTTACTTCTTATATTTCTAACTACGAGAGCTTTTTGTGATGGACTCACTCTACAACATATAACAGCTTCACACAATATTCCTAGATCAACAAATATTTCCATCATATCTGGATTCTTTTCAATTTTCATAAGTGTTGCCCCATCTACAATTGCAACTGGGTGTTGTGCTTTACCATTCTTAACATCTTTTAATGCTCTTTTCATCATTGATTTCAAATCAGTATTTGAATCAATAATAATTGTTGTAGAATAATCTTTAATTAATGAACATGAATATCCAATATTAATAGCCGTCTCCTTTTTATCCCCTGTCAACATCCAAACTCTTATACCAGCTCTACGTAAATTATCAATTGTTTCTGGTACTCCATTTTGTAATTTATCTTCAATTGCCGTTGCTCCTGTAATTTCTAAATCACGTTCTATTAATTCTGCCACATCTTCCAATTTTTGTTGTCTATCAACAAGTGCAGTTGATGCTTCTTGATATAAATTATTCCATGTTGTATATTCTTCTTCATCCATGAACCTATGAGCATAAAGTAATGTACGAAGTCCTTCCGTTGCAAAGTCTTGAATATGATACATTGTTTGACTATATAGCCATTTTTCATCGTGCATTGGAAGTAAATCGACTACTGAACGATCTGAATCAACTGTTCTTATACTAAGACTACGTTCATGTGCTTGTCTAATGGAAATTGATGAAGCGTAAAATTCATGCGTCGATGAAGGTGTTATTGGTGTATTTGAAATTGAAGAAATAACTGATGATTCAGATTGATTGTTTGCATTTCGACCAACAATATTAGTATCAACTCGAAGGCCATGTAATGGGCGTTTTTCATTACTTCTTTCCTCATCGTATTTTTCTTTTTTATCTTTACCCTTTCTTGGTTTATTGACAGGATCTCTTAATCTTTCGAGTACAATTGAATCAGCTCCTTTACAAAGTAAGCATATTCTTCCATCAGGTAAACGATATATTACTGACATCCTTTTCCGTTTACTTGAAAATTCAATAACATTTAAGATCTTATAATTCTCATACGTTGTTGTAGATGAATCTGGAACTTTCAATCCATTAGGTCCATCATTATTAATTTTTAAAGAAACTGAACCCATTGAACGATCCGTAACGATATATCCTAATTCTTTTGCTGCGGTAACAAGAGCAAATTCATCAGGTGACGCCGCTTGATAAAATACATCTTGAGTTTCTTCAACAATTTCGGGAACACAAGTATGACATAATGCAATAGCTAATAAGAAAAATCTTGCTTTTTCATAAAATGGTGTATTAGTTTGATGTTGCAAAATTGTTAATAGATCTAAAGTTGATTTCATTTGTTGAACTGTTTTGCCTTTAACCGATCTTAAAGAATTTCCCGAAGTTGAATCACGTCTATATAATGGTGAAGGACCAGTTGAATTTGGTGCTATCATTGAAAATCTTCCACTTCGTGTTGAATCACTACGATTAAGTTGAATTGTTTCATCTCCATCATTCGTGTCATCACGAGTTTGAGAACGATTATGCCATCTTGTAGATAATGATAGCCTTTTAATAAATCTTTGAAACGTTTTAGATCTTTGAGGTTGTTTCATCATTCTCAATAAATCATCTTCTTCAATTCTCCTTAAATCCAAGTCATGCATAAATGCTCTTCCACCAACACTTATTTTTCTAAATAACATAATATTATCGGTTAAGGTACCAGTTTTATCTGAGAACAAATAACTAACTTGACCTAATTCTTCATTAATTGTAGAAGTTCTTGCTTCAGCGGGTGTATCAGTTTCTTGATGATACATTTCTGCATCATTATTAATAAAATAAGCTTGGGTTAATTTAATAACTTCCATGGTAACGTAAAGCGATATTGGAATCATTGTATTAAATAAAATGATAAAACTCGCCAAAGCATTAATAATTTTGCCTTTCTTAGGTAAGTAAAATGATTCCTTTCCAATATCTTCGTCCCATAATAATGACATTACTGTACATAATATTGCTAAAGTTATCACAAAACAAAAAATGATGATAACTACTTTATTCATCAATCTTTGTATACTTGGAGCTTTTGTACGAATATTTTTTGATGCATTCATACGTAATTTTGTTTCTTCTCCTGTAAATATAACTAATCCATAAATTTCAGGTGTGTTACGAAGAATTGTTCCACGTAAAAGTATTTGATTATTTGAAAGTGAACATGTTTTTTTATTTGCTAAAGAAATTGACCCATCAAAATTATACAAGTCTTGATTTGGATTCTCTGTTTTAACAGTTGCTATATAAATAATAATAAAAAAAAAATTGTAGTTAAAAGTGTATATATTATAAAAAACTCCTTTTTTTTAAAAAAAAAAAAAAGAAAGAAATATTTTGATTGATTACCTCGAAAATTAGCAAGAGCTTCAGGAGTAGTGACACTTGAATTTATTTCTTTTAAAGCTTGACGTTGTTTTAAATTAGTTTCACCATCCAAAGCGGCGGTTTCAATATAACAAGCACCTTCTTCACCTTTAGAATGAAGTAAAAGTAAATCTGCAGGTATCCATTCTTGAGCTTTGACAGAAACAAAATCTCCAACTTTTACGTTTCTCCATTTAGTTTTTCGCCAAACACCAAGATGTTGAGTAGTAGAATCATTTGACTTATAAACATTTAATACAGAACATTCTTTATTATTTTCTATTTGATCTTGTTTATGTCTACGATAATCATCAAAACCTTCATGAGCTATAGCAATTGACATAAATATACTAAGTGGTATGATGGTGGTAAACCGTCCAGTTGGAGAAAGTTCAGGTATAGATTGTAATATTGCTACAAATAAAAAATAAAAATTTGCTATCTTTGAAAATTGATAAATGATTTGTTTTGGTAAAAAATCATAAATTTTATATCTTGAACTTGTTATTGAATTATTAATGAATGGTTTTTTTGTACGTGGATCTATTAAAGGTTGATTACTTGGATTAATTGGTATCTCACGACCAGTATCATCTTGGTTTCCACCTGATATCATAGTACTTAATCTATTTACCGCGTGACGAATACTATCTCTTCTTGACATTGATCTATTATGCGATGAACCATTAGACGACTCTGCGATCGTGTTATGAAGTGAATCATCTATTAAATTAGTAGTTGTATGTGATTCTAAATCATCATTATAAGGCAATCTCTGGGATATCGAAGCAGAAATATCCTGTATTTCATTTGACGAAATCATTTCTATAGAATCATCAATCTTTTTATTTGATGACATTTTTTATATTTTAAAATTTATATTTCACAAATATTATGCAAGAGCAAAAAAGATTATAAAAGAAATTAGAAAAAATTTTTTTTTATATATAAAACAATTAAAAATTTTTAAGGGTTATTAAAAAATATGAGGTCATTAAAAAAAATCTCTTTTTTTAGATATGTTATAATTATAAAAAAGATAGGATTTAATAGACGTCAGCGGATAAAAAGGGTAGAAGGGGTGAAGATATTTTTTTTTTTTTAAAGAAATTCTATTTATATTTAGTTGGATAAATTATTATCCAACTTATGGAAGTAATTAAGATATAATGACCAAGGAAGGTTTTAGTCTAGGGAATAAAAAAATTTTATGAGAAGTTTCGCGAATAAAAACAAGAGAATGAAATTTTAAATTTTTGTATTCTTTTTTTTTTCTGCGAAACATTTAAGTATATATATTACATACATACATATACTAATAGAGGAAAAAAATATAATTGATTTGTAAAATGATAAAATAATGAGTATATATATACAAATCTAAAAATAATTAAAAAAATCATTTCCTAAAAAAGTTAATTCCATAAACTCAGACGTTTATCCCATTGAATGTGTAGTCTCTCCTGATCTACACTTTTACACTTAGTATATAGGTATATTTAGCCCTAACCTTGCAATTGTTCGTCTTTCGGAGATAACATTATTACATATTTATGCTTATACCTTGTTTTAAAATTTTTTCTAATATAAAATTTATATATTGGTCTATAAAAAATTCATATAAAAAAGAAGGACAATCCCACATCCTTATATAATATCATAATAACTAATAAATTAATTTGACACTTGCACCAATTTCTCCGCAATACATTACATATTTCATCACCTTATATAGCAAAACTATGGAACCGCAATGGCAGCCATAATCATAGGGGGGTATCACACATAAATTTTATGCAGATTTTTAATTAGACTGGTTTTTTTTGATTTATAACCAAATTCCCTTATATAGAGAGATCGGTAATGTTTTGTTGTTTATTTTTAACCGATTATTTAATTAATTAAACGTGATTAGTGAAACATTCAATCGAAATCCGATTCGAACAAATATATTTCGTGACTTCTTCGAACTTAAAAAATTATTAACAATTGGTTAAAAGATTGACAATAATTTTTGCATTTTCGGTCATATCGTACGCTATTTCATAATTGGCTGGTAGTGTTGGTGAAATCCTGTTGCACCACAATCACAATCACGTGAACAATTAATCATACTTTCGCTAGTATCCGTAAATAAATAAACTATTGGTTTATGCTTTTTCACTCCATGGGACTCAGCGGGAGTAAGCAAAAAAAAACTGTGCTGCTAAATTTTAAATTATAATATCTTTAAAATCCCTATCTCTTTGCTTACATATTTCAAGGATTTTAGCTAAAGTACAATTTTATACCATATGGAGTGAGTTATGGAAAAGGAACCAAATTTATAAAAATCTTTTTAATGAAGTTAAAAGACAAAAAAAAGTGGTTCTTTATCTTGTTTACAAGACATTCACAGCCTCATTTAGCGAATTAACTCATTAAAAGTTCACTCTACTATTAAACTATAGAACTATCACTGCATAAGAATTATATCAATGATCAAATAATGTAACCGCAAGACCGGCTATAGCTCTTGAAAGGAAAATTTCAAGCAATATTGGAGTTAAATTATCGAAACTTTCACGGAATCGTGTTGTGTATCTAAAATTTGAATTCGATTATTTATAATCACGTGAATGCTATGTCGGCCGCAAAATGTGTTATGTAATGATGCATGGCGCAAAAAAAAATATAATTATCTTAAAAGTCGTCACAGCCACGCTTACTCGAGAAAAAGGAAGTGCCGAATCATTGAGATTACGTAAGATATTATATTTCCGTTGTGGCTGTGCATGCAACTTGCTAGTAAGTACTACTTTGATAGTATACTTTTAAATTGGTATAATTAAAAATAAACCTTTATATTATACCAATTACGCATAAGTCAATTTAATATGATATCATATAAAGTATCATATAAAGTATGTTACAAGAACAAAAACGGGAATTAAAAAACTAACATGATTAACTCATATGAAAGCGTAGATTCAGTGACGCCTCGATCCACGATTCACACTTGATTTAGATTTTGCTTAAATTTCTAATCAGGATATACCCTTACGGGTGTATGTATTCACAAATTGAATTGGATTGGGTTTGTTGATCCTTTTGGATCTAATCCAATAATTGGATCAGATTTGGATTTTGTATTAGAAAGAATAAAAAAGAATTTATTCAATTCATAATTAAATAGATAACATGTGAAATGGTGGTGATTGTCGCAGTGCTGTCAATCGTGGGGTATGCCCTGGGTTGGAAATTTAATAAATGGATCAACTTTAATGCATTGGATTTGAAGGATCGACCCAACAATTGTACTAAATTTTTTGAACTCCAATCCAATTGAATTCGTGAACGCAATGTATTCTTTTGCATGAATTGTTACATTTTAAACATTATGTTCCTAAAAAGATGTCAAAATGTCGATGTTCAGGTTTATTTTTATAAAAATTGGGTTTGTATCATGTTCACGGAGCTTTCTACACAAATTACGGATAAAATTTTCCACAAGAAAAAATTCGATCATGTGAATTTTTCTGTCTGATGTCATCCAACGATATAATCTTAAGAATATTCCGCTAGCTTTGTATCTCTAATGTGTACTGCATGATCAACTTTTCTGGTTGGGGATGCCATTGCGATGTAACCCAGGATTTGGAATTATATCCAATCGAGCGTGTTTTTGATCTCTATTCTCTTGATGTGGGTTAACGGTTCTTGGCCTCAGCTGTATCCTACTTTTATTGTTGTTCTTCATTGCATACTTTTCTTACGTTGATATTCCAACTATTTCGCACGTTGTTCTTTGGCTTCCACTTTTTCTCTAAAATGAGATTCTTGTTTCCATTACTCCTCTTTTGCGTCTTCGTAGTGCTTCATTACTGACAGATCGATTATTCATTTAGTTTATTTCGTTTTTCATGTCTTTTGATCATATCATGAAACCTGATCATTTCATCTACATCGCGCTTTTGCTCTATACGATTTCGAATTACTTTATATTTATATTGATCAACTATTATTACCTTAGCAAAAGACACACATGTTCATTTATTATCAAAGAAAAAATTTTATCCTTTTGCAGTTTGGCCACACGTTCAATTATTATAATAAACACAAGTTTACGAAAATAAAGTTAGTAAAACACTACTCTATAATTAATCAAAATTTCAAATAATTAAAATTTTTCTTGCTTTAATTACATTCTTTTTATATAATTTATCTCGATTATTATAAAATTTACAAGTCCATTCGAAAATCACGTGACTTTTCGCCCGTTTCTTACATGCCTTTATAACTTTGACCAAGGTGGTAACTCCCTGATTCCGTAAGGGTTAGTTGTTTTAATTACTTTAGACTTTAGTGTATAGAGCCCTTGTAATTTTTTACTATAACTCGGTTCGCTTTGTGATTTAAAAATAAAAATAACTTGAACCATTTTTTAGCTTTTATTATATACACCAAAATTATGACATTATTTGAGCATTTTTAATTAAGTTAAATACACAAATTCTCTATGAATGTAAATTAATTTTCCATCATATTTTCTGCTTTGAAATAAATAATTATTGCTAAGTTTTTCAAAACAATAATGAAATATTTACAATTATAAAATGTGTCCTCGGGCCATGAGTTTATTACATAATTTAAATTGAGTAATATTCTATAATACAAATAAACGCATAAATTCAATTTACCACAAGGATCAATCTTTTATAATTTTAAATACTTCAAATTCTTCCACAGAAAATGTATCTTCAGTATTTCTGATCGTTTTTTCATATGATCCTTTTTTACAAAAACTATAACGATAATCATATCCCGATAATAAAAGGTCACTTTCACCAAATGATGGAGCGTAATACTTACTATTCTTTATAGCGGAAGTTTCATCTTTTACACGACTCAAAATGTAATTTTCAATATTATCTTTATTCTCAAAAGAGAATATAAAACTATCCTTAGTAACACCATTGCTATAATCCTGATTCCATGCAATTGGATTATATCCTCCAAGAATTTCGTTACTACCTTTCACTTTAATAATCATTACAGTAGATATTTGATTATCACAAATCTGATGGAAGTTAGAAGGTGTAAATCCATCACGAGATCCACGAAATAATAATTTGAATCCATAATAATTTGATTTATAAACCCAGCTAAATAATGAAGGTCTGTCAATCCATCCCGAAATTAATTCAGCATGTTTATTTGTAATAATTTTTGAATCAATAATTGACTTTATTTCTTTATTTTCGCGAGATGAAGTTTCTCCATTTGTTTGTAATTCCGATTGAGGTTCTTTATTCGCCTGATATTCTAATTGAGATCCTTTGTTAATCTGAGGCTCTGATTGATTTGCCTGAGATTCCGGTGTAGATTCTTTATTCTTCTGAGGTTCTGATTGATTTATCTGGGATTCTGATTGAGATTCTTTATTCGTCTGAGATTCTGATTGATTTGCCTGGGATTCTGATTGAGATTCTTTATTCGTCTGAGATTCTGATTGATTCGCCTGAGATTCTAATTGAGATTCTTTGTTTGTCTGAGATACTGATTGAATCTCCTGAGATTCTGATTGAGATTCTTTATTCGTTTGAGATTCTGACTGATTCGCTGGTTTAACCTCCTTATTTACACGAGATTTTGATTCAATATTACGATCCCAAAAATAATTTACAAGCTCTTTTTTCAATTCTTTTGGTAAAACTTTTTTGTAAGGTAATACTTTATCAGAAAATTCTCTAGAAGATAAATTAAAGAATTTAATGAAAGGAATACATTGCCGTAAGGTATTTTTTAAAACATTTAATTCATCCTTTGAAAGGGTGGTATGATCAGGTGGAAGTTCAGGATGTCGAGCAAATCCCCATTTAAGCACATGTTCCCAAATTTGTACCTCGTCCATTTGAAGATTATCATTTTTAATAAGTGAAATCAAAAGTTTTTCTGGTACTGAAGGAAAATTTGGTGACTTAAATATCTTATCTGGTTCTTTTGAAATTAAATCAGTACAATAATTTTGCAGTTCCAAGAAAGAAATATTCTCAAAACTTGTTTTATAGACCAAATCAAGGTTTTCTTCCATCCAATTTGTATTGTTTTCTATCAAAGAAGATTGTAAATGGATAACTAGCTCTTGAAGACAAAGTTTATCTGCAGCGACCAAGATTTCAATAATATCTGATATGTCATATTTTTCTAAAGAAAGTCTACCACCATAAATATACCTAAAATAAAACGTTTGTTTGAATTTAAATTAAATAAGATAAATAGAATAGATGTAAATGTACATCTTTCTTACCTTAAAATTACATGAAAAGCTTCAGGTAAAATATTTGGTAATTTGAGATGTACCAAAGTTCCATCAAGATGTTTTTTATTTGTTGATAACATTCTCCTCAAATAAGCGGAACGATAATTTAAAATAACCATATGAGCTCGAAATATTTTAACGTAAGGGTCACTACCAACTTCAATAGTAATATCATAATATTCGTCATCTTCTAAAATATCTAGTAGATTTTGTGATAATTGTGGTAAAAATTTATCAGTCATTGTGTCAATTTTTTTAAAAAAAAATTTTTTTATCTTATCTGTTATGTTGTTATTTTTTTGTTTCTCAAATTGGAAATTTATTATCACGTGATTAAATTACGTATTTCACTAACCTGTAGATCTTTATAATGCATAATTTGTGATTTTGTGTACCATTAAATTCTCTTAAAACTTCTAACGTATTTTATCAATTAGCATATAGCAAATATTTAAAAGTATTTTCCTTTATTAAGTGCCGATCCTCTTCGGCCCAGGCAATACAAAAAAGAAATGGTTGATACCAGTCGTGCAAATTTTTTCGGATTTGTCCTTATACGGCATTTAATGTAAATTCAACATTAAAACCTTTTATTTGTATAATGTAGTTCTATATTTTTCATTGATATTTATATTAAAAGATTAATTAGATACCGTTTTTATAAAACTATATTCTTAAATAAGACAAGTTTACATAAACGTAAAGAAACTATCTATCATATAAAAAATTTTTCAGAAAATGATCACGTGTCTAAGTTTCTTCGGAATAAAAACTAGAAAAAAAAAAATTTATCGGAGTTTTATTAAGAATTTTTTTTATACTGTAGGAGTACTGGAAATAATAATTTTATTTCTTGTGATAGTCGGAGTTTGAATATTTTTTCTTGTGATAATCGGAGTTTGAATATTTTCCTTGTGATAATCGGAGTTTGAATATTTTTTCGGAGTTATATTGCAATTAATAATATAATATATGTGTATAATGTTACTTTACAGTTCCTTCATTTTATATTTATTAATAAAAATAATAATATAGGTAGTGCATTGTAATGTAAATAAATGTTTTGTTTAAAGGTTTTATAACAACATGTAAAAAGAAAATCTAAAACGTCTAAAAATAATTTAAGAATCTAAAATTAAATATTCTTCTTAACAACCACATTGTCCACATCTTAAATGAAGAGTGGATTCATGTTGAATTTCATAATCCGATAACGATTTCATCTCTTGAATTAGCTGTCTATTATTGAATATTAAACTTTTATTTTCACAATCGATATCTAAAAAATAATAATAAAAAGTTTTATGTGAATAAAATTTACTTAATTTGTTATAGATAGTAAATAATAATAATTAAAAAATTTCACACTTTTAATTACCTGTATTGTCAGATATTTTTCGTTTAATGGCTGAAATTTGATCGAAATTTTCAACCTCTACTTTATACATATTTCCTCCGTATATTTGACAAGTTCGAACGATAACTTTCATTTTGATAGTAATTGAAGGTTTTTGAATAAATTATTTGAATTTTCTTTTATTAATTAATTTATTTTTTTTTTTTGATTGGAAGTGTTTTGGTTTTTGCTTAATAGCAAGAAAAAATTATTCTCCTATATACAGTCGCCACTGGTTATAACGAACCTGTTTGTACCGAAAACTTGTTGTATTGAACCAAGTTTCACAGAACCGATTTTTTTATAATTAATTGCACTGGATATAACGAAATCACATAATAAATTACTATATACCGCATCCGAACTTATTTTAGCCAGCCCAAGTATATCAGTTACATATTTAGTATACCGAACTATCACGTGACTTTAATTAGTAATATAAAAGAATGGACTACCGGAAAAATTATTTCTGCTAGTATCAGATAAAATTTTCATTTGAATAGCTGGTAAATACTTAAAAAATCGATGAACACATAAATTTTAAATAAAACATAGTGTTATCTGTTATAGTAAGTCATGTAATCATCTGAACTTTAAATATTACAGTATATGCTGCTATAATTTAATTGGATAAAATACATATACCGAACAGTTCGGTATATAATATGAATATCATATATAGAATTCACCATATACTGAACCAAAACGCTTGGAACGGCAGGTTCGTTATATCCAGTGGCGACTGTATAAGAAAAGTCCTCATGAACGTACAATGAAAATGTTTGAGTGATCATCGTCTTTTGTGATGTTATTTTTCACATATAATACACTATCTACTTTGGTAAAAAAGAACGCCATAGCTTTTGTTCAAAATCGAAACAAACAAATATAGTAATTTTCTAATCAGTTCTGTAATTTTGTAATTGTGTTGATCAACTCCTAATGCAGTTCTACAATAACCGGTGGCTATTGTTTAATTGAATCTATGTATTAATTCCATTTTGATTCGGATGGCTTGATTCACGACTCCTATAATCACACCTCTATGGGTTATAACTATTGATGTTTATGAAATTAGTAATCACTTAGTGTTGACAATGCAGAGTGTACAAATCGTACGGTGCATTCTTTATACTTTAAAGGAGCGTTTTATATTTGAAATATTGGGGTGGTAACCAGAAAGGTGAGAGATTATAATTGTAATTACCGATTCTTTTTCGAATAATAGTAATAAAATCCAGTTAAAGACAGCAAAAGCATGTATTATGAATACAGTTAATCAACTCTCTATAAATGCACCCGCTATAAATGCATACTCTCTATAATTGCACCTTTTCGCTTGGTCCAAAGTTGGGACTTAATGTTAAATGTACACCCTCCATATTCTATCGGGGCAACGATTTTTTAAGTACATTTATATGAAAGGTTTCCCCTAAATGCACCCACGTGACTTTCAACCTGCATAATTTCTGAAATTGTAATGAAATTTCTGAAATGTAACCAAATTTACATGAACTTTAGAATTCACTGAAGTTGCGATACGCGCGTATTTTTGCAAGCATGAGAAAATTACCTTAACCGAGATTAAAATATACCAACTTTGCCTTTAATAATAAGAAAACTCGCAAGATTGAATAAAAATGGGGAATAACTGTATAATTTTTATAATAATAGCATACAATATTAACTGAAATTTTTCATATTTATTGATCGAATTGGTATCTAGTAATTGTTCTTTATAAGAATAACAAACGTGTAGTTTTTTGATCGTGACAACGTAATATAAATTAAGGCTATGAACACACAATCCAACAATTACTTGAATATATTGTATTTATTGCAAATTAATATATGATGTTTCTTTATTGACAAATAAAAAAAAAATACATTGTATATAAATAAATGCTTGTCTAAAGGTTAAATGACTTGTAATGTAAAAAAAAATCAATTTAAAAATAATTTAAGATTTTAAATCTAAATCATCGATCTTAACAACCGCATTGTCCACATCTCAAATGAAGAGTGGATTCATTTTGAATTTCATAATCTGATAGCGACTTCATCTCTTGAATTAGCTGTCTGTTATTAAATATTAAACTTTTATTATTACAATCAATATCTAAAAAAGAAAAAAAAAATAATAATGATAAAAAATTTTGAGTTAAATTTATTTAATTTGTTATAAATAATAATAATAAATTCATAGTTTTAATTACCTGTATTGTCAGATATTTTTCGTTTAACAGCTGATATTTGATCGAAATCTTCAACTTCTACGCTATACATATTTCCTCCGAATGATTGACAAGTTCGAATGATAACTTTCATTTTGATAGTAATTGAAGGTTTTTTAAAATAAATTATTTAAATTTTCTTTTATTATTATTAATTTATTTATTTATTTATTTTTGATTTGAATGCTTTTGGTTTTTTTTTGCTTGATAGAAAGAAAAAAATTGTTCCCTATATATAAGAAAAAACAAGGCATTGAATTCTATGATTCATTGTCTATTTGTGATGTCATTTTTCTCATTGTAATCTCATATTTACTTTGTTAAAAAAAAAAAAAAAGAGACGCCATAAAGATAGCTTTTGTTGAAATATCGAACAAATAAATATAGTAAAACTTTAATCGGAAATTCACGCAAATCTGCGGCATTGTTATATTGTTATTATATCAACTCCGAAACACAAAAACCGCATATTGCTGCGGATAATTATAAACTAATATGTTAATTAATATTATGTTGATCAACAAAAGCGTCGTTGTAAATGATATTGCTTTTAAGAAATAAAAGTGAACGTAAATCCATATCTGATATGGATTAGTTCAGAAATATGTGGTATTATATCTAAAAATCATTGTTTCTTCATGAGATTTTTAGGTAGACCGGTCCATATGGATTAGTTTAGAAACATGTGAAATTCCATACATACATATCGATCTATGCCGAAAATACTGTGTTTTGTCACGGGGTATTTGGAAATATTGGAACTATTCAGATTTCCACATATTTCCGCAATATTTGATGTGGATTTATTTCAATGTGGATTTTAAGTGGAAATAATTTCCTGATGTTTGCCAAAGCGAAAAAACAAAAAATGGTCACTTCATGGTAGAACATGGAATCCTGAAAACTTATATTTGTGAAGAAGTTTACAAATCCTTTAAAATAACTATACCAAACTCATCAACTTATCAAATTATATTAAACAACAAAATTTCTGTGGTTCACTTGCCTCCAATTAATTCGAACTTCGCACGGAATATCTGAAAGTTACTGGACCAAATCTAACAATGAATGAGAAAGTTTCAATATACTTTGACTAAGATAAAAACGGAAATATTTCTCAAGTAGAACCTAATGTTTTATTACCTGCTGCTTTTGCTTCGTTTGTTATCTATATCTTTTTTTTTCCGATCGCAATTATATTCTTATCTTACGAAGCTTTAAACATATCTGAATGCTACTTATTATGAAGAGATTAATTTTTAGTTTAACTTTACCGACTTTGTTTGTTAGTGGTTCAAGATAGTTACTTTTAAAACTTTTCCATTTGCAAATTTTACATATCATTTTATCCTAAAGCAATAGTGATATGATGTTATAAGGGATAATTTTATTAAATTGGATGGAAATTTAGCAAAACCAAAAACAAGCAAATAGTAAAGGAAAATATAACATTTCCTTTATATATCTTCTAAAACAACTTCTCACTCTTGTAATATGAATAATATGAAATGCTCATTGTAACAATAAACAAAATTTATTCATGCGTTAAGATTCTAAATCATCCGAGCTCGTACTATATGCCTCTTTTTCAGTACTAGTCAATTGATAAAGAAAAAAATGAAAAGAAAAAATATAACGTATTGAATTATTTATACATCAAGTATTCAGGAATGAGCTGGGGTGATATTATTACAACTTCATCGATTCATCTTTTCTCAAGTTCTGACATTCGATGAATGATGGAAGATAGTACATTTCTATTTATGTATTTGGCATGATCTATTTCAAAGGTATAGTCTTAATCGAATCGCGAGTTTATCATCAACTAGCTATCTAATCAAATACGATAAATTCTCCTTTACGAGGATAGCTATTAATAACCACTAGTGCACGATGATTTTCAGCTGCATATCATGGGCACCATGTTTTTCCATTCTTCACATCCTTAGCGCATTTCTAGAGCATTGATGCCTTACTACAGTATTGGCAATTTTCAAAAAGACATTCACCTTCTCTATTACGTGCAATTTCTTTAGCAATATCTAGTCATAAATATTTTTATATCATTTTTCAAAAAGTCAGCAGGCATATTTTTCATGCTTTATTCTCTTTTAAAACGCCGCTACCCGTTTTCATTTTTGCTTAGCCAACGCGCCTATTCCCATGTACTATTTATGAAAAAAAATTGCCCACATCGAGCTTTGTCTTTTTTATGTATGAAGCATGCATTTATTGATCATAATAATTATAGATAATTTTTATGTCTGTTAAAAAAATCGTATGTTAAATAATTCTTTTAGCGCAAAGACCGCAAACTTCATAAGTTTTCCTAATTCACAGAATTATTCGAACTCAGAGGCAGTTACGACTTCAACAGATATGGGAGAGGTCAAAAAAAGTAAATACTACGAATATAGTACGAAGAACTCCGTTATCATTGTAATTACTAACCTTGATTTTCCATTTTTCATTCAGGCTCGCATCATCTGTATCGGAGCTAGTAGTATAAAGTTTCTATTATATCGTTAACAAAAACTATGACTCTTTTTAACAAAGAAATATGAGCTTACAATATGAAATATGACATCATAAATAGACAATGAACGCTTATAAAACATCTTATGTTCATAGAATTCAATGCCTTGTTTTTTCTTATATATACCAGAAAGCATTCAAATCAAAAATAAATAAATAAATAAAACAACAATAATAAAAGAAAATTCAAATAATTTATTCCAAAAGCCTTCAAATACCATCAAAATGAAGTTATCGTTCGAACTTGTCAATCGTACGGAGGAGTGGTATACCGTTTAGATTAGGTTATATAATTACCATTCTATAACCTGATTACCACTCTATAATCCAATTACCACCCTTTGATTTAGATAGAAGTAGTGCTCCCATTCTATGGAAACACATCAAGTTGACTTATATCCTATTATATGTGTTCAAGATGATTATTCTACAAAGGAACGCTATCAATTGGAAAGATTTTTAAAAGTAGTACGTTGGGTGAAAACCAATTTATTGCTCGAATCTAGCAGTGCGCATGTAGATTCCGCAAAAGTATAGATCTTACTGGTAAAGCTCTAAAGCTAATAGCAGAATCATACAATTATCGACCGGAAATGATAATGGCCTACGTGAAATCGCAAGTTCATGCCATAAATTAGAATGTCTAAATATTTTTATCGCACAGAATTTTCTGAAAATCGATTCGGAATGTTATTCGTTCTTGTCCAGGGCTCCAGCATCTCGTTTAACCTTTTAAAAGCAATATAATAACAAACTGAGCGATTTACGATTGGTAATTATAATCTCATTTAGAGACAAAATAAATCATCAACAATAAATACATAATGTATTTAATTACAAATCTTTAATGCCTGATTAATTGTGATAGTCACATGCTCCATGGCAGATTAATAGTTGAACAAACTCCTCCGAGTTTAGCATGTAGATCTACTATAAATTCGATTACTCAATTACTGTTGTTTAAAAAGAACCATCATTACAAAGCGCATCTGTGTGCATCTGATTACCGGGATTTTACTATATTTGTTTGTTATTTTTTGAACAAAAGTTATGGTCCTTTACAAATGTTTTAATTATACCATAAAGAGACAAAAACATGAAAACGCTTTTATTGTACAGTACGTTATAATGGAATTCATAACCTTAGAATTTTTCTTATAAATAGAGAATAATTTTTTCTTGCTTTAAGCAAAAAATCAAACCTTTCGAATCATAAAATAATAAATAAAATAAAAGAACAAGCAAATTAATAAAAACAAGCAGTGATAACCTTAAAATATTCTATAAACATGAAAATCATCATTCGAGCCTGTCAAACTTTCGGAAGAAATATGTATAGTATTGAGGTCGAAAATTTCATCTGTTAAACAGAAAATATCTGACAAAACAAGTAAATGAAAATTATTAAATTATTTATTATTATTATAATGTCCTACGCGCTTCACTCCGGACAAATTATTATTTTTGGAACAAATTAAATAAATTTTACTCACCTAAAAATTTTTTTTTTCTTTAGATATTGATTGTAAAAATAAATGTTTGATGTTTAATAATAGACAGCTAATTCAAGAGATGAAATCGCTGTCTGATTATGAAATTAAACATGAATACACCCTTCATTTAAGATGTGGACAATGCGGTTGTTAGGGTTGTTAATAGATTTAGATTCATTTATTTATAAGAGTTATTATCAAGTTATTTACCTTCAAACAAGCATTTATTTTCATTATAATGTATTTTATTTTTATTTTATTCATCTAATAATAAAAAATTATTTTTTTTAATCAATAAACATGAATAATTTTGTAATCTATGGAAAGAATGTTGATGTCTGGACATTATGTCGAATATATATATGAAAATTGATAAACTCAGTCAGATTCAAAATCAGTTTTAAGCATATTTTGAGCAAATAAAAAAATACACCTGAGCCTCGAACTATTTAATTATACAATCGACTCATCAAGCTTTACACAACCTCTAGAGATATTAATACCAATATCGTATGGACTGATCAAGAGTCTATTTTATTAGTCATATCTCATATGTGTCACATGAAGCATCTGGGTCAGTTAGTTAGCATTCATTCTTCTTAAATAAAATTGTTTTACAAATTCGGATTTGTACTACTTTTGTTTTTTTTAGTTACACCTTTTAAAATTAGTTATTATATATAAGACTGTTTCATCCCTTTACAAAAGTTCATCTTAAAGAAATTTTTCCGTTGCTCCAGAGAAAAATATGCCTCCACAAAAGAGAAAAAATACTACAGAATCGGAATTCGGAAACAACAAAGAAGCTTTGAGCAACCATAAACACAAAGAAGACGGAATATTCATAATTGATATTTGAAGAATTAATATATCCTCTTCAATGAAATTAATTCAAACACGCTTTTAAACCTTGGCCCAAATTTAATGCCATTCATTCCAACTCCAAGCTCTGCTCAACCACATGATACAAATGTTACTCCCTCAATCCCAAACACCAGTCACAATTCAGACAATTCACAAACGATGGACCTGTGTTAAAAATTATACATACAAGCAGTTTTCAACACAATTAAACGACAATAATAACCCTGATCTTGACTCCCTAACGAACACCATACAAAAGAGTAATCTTGACGGAAAATGCAAGAAACCAGAAAATGCTGCTAGTACATCAATATCATCAATAAGCATCAACAAACCTTATGCAACAAGGATCAAACAAGTAGACATCGTTCGTATAAGAGAAACGATGAAAATAATAATATAAGCGTATGGCTTCTGCTTACTTAGTGTGTATGAAACTGAAGTTACGCGGTCACTATGAACGGTGGATGATACAAATGATCTGAGATCATCTTGTGTGATGACTCAACCTGAACGATAGGTTGATGAACGTGAGAAGGTGAGGTTGTTTGAGTACTCATTCCAAAACTGCGAAGAAATATAGCATGTGATGAATAGGTTTCTTTATTTGTAGGCAAATAAAGAATTAGAAATGTATTTGAATTAAAAGTTATAGAAATTCTAGACTCCAAAGAAATCAATTCGTATGGTTAAACCCTACATTTGATGATGATGATAATTTCGATAAATACAGTTACAAATTCTGGTTATACATTTAAAAGCGCCGAAGCAAGCAAAAAGAATAATATTAACGAAGACGATAATAATTATATACATTAATCAATTATAGAAAAATTAATATTAATTCAGGGAATATAGTAATCAATGGTTCATATATTATAAAAATTGAAAATTTTAAAATTTAAATAAAGATTTTAAATAACAGATGTTTTTATTAATAATATATTGAAATCGCCAGGATGCATTCATCACCTGAGTACGCTTCACACCCTTTATGTTACACACTGCCAAATATCACCGTACTCCACTCAACATCCTCACCAGACTTCACAACTATTCGTCTCACCGTGCTGAAAACGGGAAATAGTACATAAAAATTGCGAATAGATCGCGTTACATGATGCTTTTACAATATTCAAATATATACAACAATATGAATTGAATTATTAGGAGGTTGCTGTTGAAAATGACTAGAAATTAACTCATATGGAAATATTTCTTCATCACCTGGACCTTGCCCAGTAGTTTTACATTGTTGAATTTCTCTAGGAATTGAGCCACTGCTTCGGTGAGCTTGCAGAGAATAAAGTCAGTAGGAAGAATGTTTTCAAATAACGATAGCCACCATTCCCTAATCATAGTTCAGTTCTGATATACTTTTTCAGGCGAGGCGCGAGGGATGACAAGACAATTGAGGGTAATAATATTGGCCATTATCTGCTTCTTCCTAAATACAAAGGCCATAGTAAGAAAGTTTCGCTCCCATGCATACATAACTTCTAGCATATACATACCTTATTTTTTGCGTTATTCTACCCTGCAAGACATATAGTTGGTTTTACGCCTGGCGATCTCAAAATTGCGAGTCCCTCAGCCTTTCATAACATATGCTTTTGTAGTCACTATTTACTTATATGGTATGTCCTGTGTTGCAACTAGACCTCCTTTCACATTTTTCTCATTTTGTTCGGGAAAAAACAGAGGTATTAGTTAGCATGTTTATTTCTTTCGAAATTCTTCTGTTGCACAAATATATCCAACTCGATGGTGGGTGTTATCCTTTTAAAGATAGCTGATAATGATTGTGCTTATGTAATTGACAAGATTGGTTTAACATTCAGGGTCTTCATTTATCGTGACTTTGTGCGGTATCAACTCCTTTCCAATGATCCTACTTGTATATCTCCCAATATGAAAGTACAAACTCGGTGTCAAATAAAGTGACAATGACCTTTGTTATAACTTATGAACATAAAAAAAAACTTACAGATGTTAACACTGAAAGCATATTTAAATGCAATCGAACCTATTTTTTTCACGTAGCAAAAATTGGATCAGAAAATCCTGGTATATCAATTAAAATATAATCTTTTCTGCAAGATTCATAATGTAATTTTTTATTCTTTATATTCTTTATTAATGTGCAAGTTAAAGAAAGTTTCATTAAACATTCTTTCATTAAATCCTTCTATGAAAAAACTTTATCTTTTCTTCGCAAATAAAAATAGAACCTCTACTTATAAATACCCTGATTTAAAAACTTCAACAATAACCTCATTGTAAAAATTACTCTTATAATATGAAGATACTTCAGTTATATGTCCGATTATTCAATGCGAATAGAGACCAAATAAATCAAGTAAACAGACATTCTATAAATTAATGTAAATGATTAAATTTTCCATGTAGTTTCATGTGATCATATTCATTTGCGCAAGATTTAAAATTTAAAGCCTAATTCTATTTAACACATTAAGAAATTATATCTCTAACAGACAGTATTTACCTTTCTTTATTTCTTGTGCTTGTGGATATTTTTCTTTCATGCAAGTCTTTATATCTTCCCATTGGTTAGAGGTATTTACATACAATTTCAAAGAATTATCGGTATATTTAAACCAGAAACAAAAACAGGTCCAAAGCTTCATAGCATGGCATCACATCATCATACTTAACCTTAACATGTTCATCATTAATTTTGAGAAATCTTTTTTCTAAAGTATTTGTAAGACCATAAGCAGATGTAAATTTTTTGTATAAAAGGTCCAAGCTAACAATAATTGTTTTTAATGATGGAAATTCTGGAAGATCTATATTCTTGAGACGTTTTGACACTAAAAAAGATGGATTACTTTCTTTATGTATGGAATTTGAATAACTCTCAGTTGTAAATAATAATATTTTATTATCTTTTTTCCAGAACCAAACTTTCACAACCTAATCTTTTGCTAAAGCTCTTCATAGAATTGGTCGATAGTCACCATCCCCAGCAAGTAAAATAATCGTTCCAGGTCTTCTTTCGGTGTATAATATTTCAGCGATGTGAGCCACAATGTTAGCGTCAACTTCTTTTTCTTTATATTCACTTGATTCCAATTTACTTGTGTTAAATCCCTTTGTTTTTAGCTCATCCCAAGGTGGATTGTCACATGATCCAATAATAACAGAATCATGGCCTAATCGACCATCTAGAACTAATCTCAAATCAACATTAACTTGATTTTTGTAAACGTTTTCCTTTTTTGCAACATCTTTACTTCCTTGAATGTAGATATTTGACACGTCAATGAATACAAAAGCCAATTGTATGTTAGATTTGACTTCTATAAGAAAAGATATTTAATAAATGTAACAATAGCATTAAGTTTCACAAGTTTCACAAGGACATGTGCTCGCTCCATATTCAGAATTCATCGCTAATTCTCGACCTTCCAGATAACTCGGTACCACCAAGAGTGTCTTGGATGTTAACATTAATATTTGCACAATTATTAATGATTTCTTCATTGACGCTGACAAGAGAAAAATTTATTCTCCATAATTCAATCACTGGCATCTGAAAGTTTCGATTGTAAAGGGTTCTCTCCTAAAATAAAACAATTTAAATGGATAATCATGATTCGTTAAAATTTGTAATATGAAGATAAAGAAGGTAAAGAGAAATTTGAAATTTTAAAAATTTGAAAGTTTATATAAGAAATCAGTCACACAAGTTACATCATTTTCTATGACTATTTATTATTTCATCCAAATAAAAGCCATGTCATGCGATGTTATTACAGTATTAATTTACTTAAAAATACACCTACTTAAAATACACTCCGTAATACTGATCTTATAAGCTTTACAGTAATTATTCGTTGTTTGATGTCATGATCTGAAATTTTCCACGTTAATATATTATTTTACTATAGCAATCTAAATCTGATCAAAGCTAAACACTTGCTAAATTATATGAATTGGAATTGCTTTATATAAGAAGGATATAATAGTAATTCAGGAAAAACTTGGTATTAATACCAATGCAAATCAAGCGACATTACATCAAAGCAAGAAAGCGTTTACAGAAAAAACACTTGCTGATCTCAACATTGATGGTGTATGATAACGTACTTTCTTTATTTCATGATCCAATCTATTCTATGGTTAACATGTTCAATGATTTCATCAAAATATCTCTTAAGATCATCTTTTTCTGTGAACAAAACAGAGATATCAAGATATTATTTAATCCAATTAAAACACTATATGTCTATATCAGAAAAGTTACTTCGCCTATGTGAGAAAAAAATTCAAAAAGTTATTAGTAATATTTAGATGGAAAATCAAACCAGGAGTCCAGGACGCGTTGAATACGTTGATATTACGACTCAACTTACCAGCAGCGAGTTGTTCTACGATAATGCGAATGTTTTTTTGGGTGGGTTTGATAGGAAGCACAAGATTAAGTATTCGGTATTATTGGCAAATATGACAGTGAAGACGAAAAAATTTGTTGACTCGTATAACAATAATAAAATATTTCATCATCATTCAAAACATAGCAATAAGAAAATAATATAATGAATTGTGGCATATCAGTTGATGATGAAATACTATAAACACATTTTTCTTTACATTTTTCACATTGAATTTATTTAAAAAAAGTAACTTTTGATAAAAAGGAATATACTCCGGAACATAAGAGGGGTTGTCTTATAGTTGTTAATTTCCCATTACTTATATACATGAGAACTTAGTGAATCGGGTATAGCCAGATTCTTTCTATTTGTAGATATCTTAATCTTTATTGGTACAGACAAAGTATTAAAATTATTAAAAATAAAACGTGTGACTCCATGATATAAACTCGTTAACGTAAAAGAGAACATCATCACTTTTTGATAAATTTTTTGATTCTAAACCTCTTGATAGCTGCAGAACTATCATCAACACTAACACGATCCTTCAACAACCCAACAACACGTACTTCGTGAGATTAATTTGGTACTCGTTACCGCTTGCATCTGGAGTATACATAGTAAATGCTATTCCGTTCCTGTCGACACAATACCATATAGGTAGTAGAAATATTCGTTCCTAAACGCTTGATCCGCAGTTCGGTTTTCTTATTTGTTTGGATGCACTCTCAAGTTGCGCCAGATTATAAAAAATAAAATGCGTTAATATTATTGAATCTTCAAAAACACGAATCTGGGTAGTAGTCTTATCTGCGTATATCCAATCTTAATATTACGAGGCTTTCCTTAAAAAGGTCTTCTAGAGCTTTGATTGCATAGACTCGACCGGTTGAATCTTCTCCTGAAATATCCTTCTGCAACACTATAAAAATATCTTGGGAAGTGATTTTTTTTAGTGATGGCGATTGATGCGCGTAAATTGCTGAAATAAATTCACAACGTGTCGCCTCGTTAGCATCGGTCATGGTTTCCACATTAGATAATTTTAGAATTATATCGTCCATGTAATGATTAAAAGCCTTATCATCATCATTAATTTCCTCGAAGACTGCGAAAGAAAAAATAAATTATTATCTACGATGAACCATTCCAGAGAGGAGTAAAAATAAGAAGTAATTACTTGAGAAAGGCATGACCAGAAATTTTCTCCTTACGAAAAATTTTGATATTTCAAGTCCTTTCTTTGCAAATATTCGACAAGTCCTTAACAACGGCCGCTATTATTCGAGAAGGAATTTCTTCCGTTATTGAACTTGGAGAAGAAGGTGTAGAGGCTTGTGAAGACATGGTTTTTATATATGTATGCGCCCGACAGGTGTATTGTATTTTTGCTTCCGAGGTAAGGCACGCCCAGAGATAGTGAAGAAATTTTTTTGTATCAGCTAATGTATTTACCTCATATATATGCAATTAAGAATTTTCAATCGATTATATTACATCACTACGCGTGACCTACTTTCTCGATAAAATAATACTTTATTTATGAAATAGAAAAAAGTTGCCGGAGCAACTGATACACAAAAATAATATTCGCTGTTACATGATATGAATAGAACTTTTCTAACTATTCATTAGGGAAGAATTCAGATGTGGATACGGTCTTCATCATCAGACGTCACATTAAAATAGGAAAAATCCTATCTTCTGTTCGCATAGGCTTCTCCTCAGGATAAATTTGACGGAGGAAGTCATTACAATTGATTGGCCTCAACTTCATTTTCAAGTTCAAGACTTGTTTGTCTTAGAAATCTCAATCGCGAAAATTATGTTCTTATTTTCTGCATTACGGAAGCGAAGTTGACTGACAATATCATTATCTGCGTCAGGAGACATCTTATTTTCCTAAATACAAGATCCATAGTGAGAAAAACTCGCCCCCATGCACATATAATTATTTTTGCGGGAAAGTTGGCTGAACTTCCACATACTCCTACACGCTTTATATCTTGCTGGGAAAAAAGATAAGGAGATAAGAAGAGTGATTAGCATTATCGTATGATGCCAAGAAAGCTTTGAAAGCACATGTATGTGGAATTTTGATTCCTTTTGGCATAGTAATCTCCACGTAAGACGCAAAGTTGGTTAACTCGTGTAGATCTCAAAATTACAAGGTCCTCAGCCCTTCATAATACATAAATATTATTACTAGTATCGATAAGAAATACCATGTACTTCCCTTTTACAGCATGCTTTTTGCGATCGTCCTCAATGTAAAAGCATCTTGAATGAGGCGAATAAATATATGTGCGAAAATTAATATGTCACACAATCTGTGGCTCAGCAAAATTCCGAGCTGATGATCACTGCTCCGGGTTGTTGATCAGTATTCCGGACTCGGAATTTTCCCACATTAAATATATTAAATATATTACTTTATTATAGCAATCATGGCAAGTAATACTAATAATAAATCTGATCAAAGCGAAACACTTTGCTCAATTATATGAAGCGCTTTTATATAAGAAGGATAACATCCCTCCAGATCAAGATATTTTAAAATAAAGACACGAACTAGCAATTTCTTCGATAGTTACATCGGTAATTTTACAAAAGCTACAAATACGTATTAAACCACTTGACTCCAGGATCACGTAATATATCAGAATCTATTGATTTTTGAATCCATGTCAGTAGTTCTAACACTCTTGGAGCGACTTTTAGCAAAACTAGTCACGTGTCCATTGAAAATGCATAAAGTTTTACTTTAGCGGGCCTCATACTGAGCATTATACTAAAGCGAGATTATCAGGTTTGTTAGTGGTGCAGTCTCTCGAGTATAGCCTTGAGGGCGATAAATTTAGGAAGGTTAATACCGTTAGTTTCTCAAATGTCACCTTTTTTGGCTTGAATCTTATTTGCTAGTAATATCAGAATATTTCGTTGCATTAATAATTTCAGGCGCAATGTTAGAACTTCTCAACTCAGTACTTAATTAAGAAAGAGTGAAGCAGTTGCTATTGGCTTCTCTGAATCAATCAAGAGTTGAGTCTCGAACAATGCATCATCAGAATTTTTGATTTTTTTTGATATTTCTAATACTTTTCTCATTTGAGCGTCTTCCACGTTTTTGTTGGGGTACAAGAACTGATACTTGCTCAGTAGTGAATCCAATATCGTGTTCTTGCCAAACCACGATCATGTCAGTCTGAAGGGAGGTCGTTAGTTCTTGCTTAAGATTGTGATATCGATTTCAGGAGTGTTTCAGGTGTCAAGTATTACTTATCAATTATTTGAGATATTGCGTAACAAGCACAGGGGATAATGTCCGTTATTCTAATGAAAGAAAAACTTCAAAATGAAAAATAACTAACGTGCAGGGCGGAGTAGGAAGCAGCTTAAAGGTAACAAAAAGTAGAGTATATGAATGTCATCTGTCCTTAGTTAAAACATGGACGCACTATAAACTACCATGCAACTATTACATTAGTAATAAACCAATCAAAGCGTAAGAAGCACTTTGAAGGCAATATGAGAACCATATGCGTATAAAGTAGGACATGTGAAAATCTTAATGACAAATACGAGCAGAGATATGAGCATATAAGCACGACAAAGAACGAGCAGCAGAAATGCACTTTAGGTATGATGGCAAATAGGCTTTAGAATAAAAAGTGGTGTCCCACCAAAATAAAAGTATCAGGATAACAACATAGATAACATAGTTTACGTGGGACATCAATGTGAAGTGAGGCACATGAGGCAGTTTGAAGCGCAGAGGATAACGTGGGCAACATGTAATGTGGGCAGCATTGGATTGGGGAGAGTGGTTTTTTATCCCAATTCGTGCCATCTGAATTGGGGAAAATTTACTTTTTTCATCCCCAATTTAGATGTTCACAAATTGGGAAAAGTTACTTTTTTCGTCCCCTTAGATGTTCACAAATTGGGAAAAGTTACTTTCTTCGTCCCCAATTTAGATAACACGAATTGGGGTGAAAAAAATAAAAATATTTTTTCCCATACAAGTAGATTTATTATGAAATCAACTATATTTAACCGATGTTATACGAGCACTCGAAAATTTGTTACCGAAATCTATTCGAGTGCCGGAAGCAAAGCATCTTATTATTTAATTTTGGTAAATATACTGCATGTAGGTTCTTTTTAGTTGCATTAGTTAAAATAAAGGAAACATGTGACTATGATCTATTAATTTTTTAATAGTTTAGAGTGGTAGGAATTGGGAATAGTCATAATGCAAGTTTATTAAGTTTATTAAATGAGGTAATTATACAGTATATAAATGGAGTATGTTTAAAACGATTCAAGATATGAAGTTTTAAAGTCTTAGATTCATCATACTCATCTGCATATTAGTTTATTGAATATGAATTATTTTATTTTAACAGAGAAGAAAATTTTGTCTACACCGCCACAGTAATATAAATTTAGATTCGAATTTAAAAAATATTTAGGGACGTCTATTAATAAATTAAAAAAAAAAAGTATTCAAAAAGTTCGTAATTTATTCATAGATTGGCTTGGTGTGAGTTTCTCGGAAATGTCTCGGCATGTCTCGGCATGTGACTTCCTGAGTTATTTACGTTTTTTTTTTGAATGGTTGATCAATCATTTCTCAATGGTTTTCCCCAATTTATGATTAATATTTCCTAATTAATTTAGAATATCGGTTAAATTATCGGGAAACCGGGTGAATGTATTTTAAACTATCCAAATCGAGGTAAAAAAAGAAAGAATACTGCGTAGAATAATTAATGTTGTGAATCATAAAAAAAAAAAATGATTTCAAATCAAAATAAAATTCCCCCTTAGACCGAATTCTTATAATAATTAAAGGACCAAATTTCTTTATAAATACGTTTCAAAAAATACCTTTTAATTAAAATATTTTTTTTTTGAAAAAAAATATATATAATAATAAACAATTTTCTTTTTCCCTTTTTTTGTTGTAAAAAAAAAATTCGTGAAAAATGACTATTACAGTTATCGGATCCCCTGCATCTCCTTTCAGTCTTATCTTAATATACGTCCTTAAAGAATTAGGATTATCTTTTGAAAACGTTCCAACAACCCACGAAGATATTAAAACTCCAGAATATTTGGCTACCAAACATCCTTTGTATGTGAAAAAAAAATAAATTTTCTTTCACTGAAATTACATACGTCACAGATACTTCACAAGTTACTAATTTGATTCTTTCCCTTCTTTTCTATTAATAGCGGTAGATCTCCTGTTCTTAACGATGACGGATTCCAAGTTTACGAATCTCGTGCAATAGCTCGTTATTTGGCAAGTAAATATCAGGGAACCAAAACTTCCACCATTCTTATTCCTTCTGATGTACAAAAAGCCGCTTTGGTAGAACAATTCATTTCAGTAGAGATCTCTTATTATTTTCCACCTCTATTTAAATTGCTTACGCAATTAATAGCGGTGAGAAGACAAGGCAATGAACCTGATCTTAAAATTGTTGAAGAAGCTCGTGAAGAGCTTGGGAAGACTTTAGATGTTTATGAAAAATTATTGGAGGGTAAAGATTATTTAACTGGGGAATTTTCTTTAGCTGATATTATTCATCTTCCTCTTACCTATTATGCTATTAACTCTGCTGGTGAAGGTGATTTATGGAATAAACGTCCTAATGTTTCTAAATGGTTGAAGAACCTTAACGAACGTGAAAGTTGGAAAAATATTGTTGATGAATATAAATTATCAGAACAAATTAGTAAATATACTAAAGATTCTGATAAGTAGCTTATTCTTTGTAAATTATACTGTGTAAACAATAGCGTATTTTAATATATTTCTTTTACTTCAAATAAATTCAATTTTTAAATAACCTTATATCGCGATTCCGCGTATTATGTCCATGAAATCCAAAAGTATTATTAATAATCAGCGTCAATATTTAACGGTCCGACATTTTAAAATTTACCTTATTAATATAAATAACCATCGCCGACGCATAATCGAGCTGTCGGCAAATTTTGTTACCGAAGCGAATTTTGTGATTATTATCGGAATAGCTTATAATATACATTATTATCTATAGTGTTTTTATTTGTATGAGTCTAACCGATGCCCGATAAAAAATTTACCGATTTTATGGCAAAATTTGTTACCGAAATCTGGTTTTCGGAATAATTTTGGTCATAAGGCATAAGTTTCCTTAGTTTAATAAATAAAATAAAGAAACATGTGACCATTATCTATTAATGAGATAATTATATTATTATTTAATATATTTTGTGAAATTACAAAGTCTTAGATTCATTGCATAATAGTTTATTAAATATGAATTATTTTATTTTGGCAGATAATTTTTGTCTACGCTGCTACAGTAATTTAGATTCGAAATACTTATTTAAAAAATTCGTAGATTTTACCGAATGTCTACTGGTTATTTTACAATGGTTAGTTGGTATGACAAATAATCAATCATTGGTATTCCCACGATTTATGATTAATATTTCCTAATTAATCTGCTTACAAAAAAATATCGGTTAAATTATCTCAAAATCTCCGAATATTATTACATGTATTACCTAAAAATTAATAGCAGCAGATAGTATGTAATTAAATTCTACTAATTAAAGGATCAAATTACTTTATAAATACGATTTCCAAAAATATCGTTAAATTTTTTTTAAAAAAAATTAATAAAATAAAAATTTTCTTTTCCCTTTTTTTTTGTCGTAAAAAATAAATTAGTGAAAAATGACTATTACAGTTTTCGGACGTTCTGCATCTGCTTTTAATCTTATATTATTCTACGTCCTTAAAGAATTAGGATTATCTTATGAACTCGTTCAAACAACTCCCGAAGAAATTAAATCTCCAGATTATTTAGCTACCAAACATCCTTTGTAAGTGAAAAAAAAAAAATTTTCTTTCACTGAAGTCGCATACGTCACAGAAACTTCACAAGTTACTAATTAGATTCTTTTTCTTCTTTTCTTTTAACAGCGGTAAAACTCCTTCTCTCAACGATGACGGATTCCAAATTTATGAAACTCGTGCAATAGCTCGTTATTTGATAAACAAATATCAAGGAACCAAATCTTCCACCGTTCTTATTCCTTCTGATGTACAAAAAGCCGCTTTGGTAGATCAATTCATTTCAGTAGAGACCTCTTATTATACTCAACCTCTGGTTAAAATGCTTACGCAATTAATATTGGTGAAAAAGCAAGGCAATGAACCTGATCTTAAAATTGTTAACGAAGCTCGCGAAGAACTTGATAAAAATTTAGATGTTTATGAAAAATTATTGGAGGGTAAAGACTATTTAACTGGAGAATTTTCCTTAGCTGATCTTCTTCATGTTCCTCTTACTTTTTATGCTATTAACTCTACTGACGAAGGTGGTTTATGGAATAAACGTCCTAATGTTTCTAGATGGTTGAAGAACCTTAACGAACGTGAATGTTGGAAGAATATTGTTACTGAATATAAATTATCAGAACATATATAATATTTTTTTTTTTAAAAAAAAAAAAGTTAGTGTTAATATATTTTTTTTACTTCAAATAAATTCAATTTTTAAATAACCCTATATCGCATGATCAACGATTATTATGTCAATTTGTGATATCAGATATTCTTCCATCCCAAACATCCCAAAGTATTAAGCAAAATTTGCAAATTTTTCATAAAAATTACATGAGATCATGTGATTTATAATGACGTCATCAGGAGTATTTTTTGTAATATCTAAAATACTATATATGTTAATAAACAAGAGTTCATGTTTAAAGGGGAGTTAGGACTATAAAAAGTAAAATATACTGTGAAATGTGATTTATTTTGAACTTGTTCATTTCTAATAAAATCATGACATTCGAATTTATAATAAATTTTTTTAACCATAATTGAGTTAATAAATTTATAAATTAAATTGATAATTGAAAAATTTACAATAATTTATTATCTTTAATACATGCCAAAGAATGAGAAAAAAAAACAATTAAAAAAAAATTATCATTAAATAGATTATGAAGGGAAAAAACATTTTAAAAAAAAATCAGTTTGAAAAAAAAATCAAAATTAAAATTACTTTGAAAAAATGTTTCACAACATTTTTTTTGTAAAAAATGTTGCAAAAACATTTTTTCTATAATAATATATCAGCCAATGGAAATGTCACAAAATTTTGGTCATAAAATAAATTATTAGATTAATGTTGTCTTTAAGCATATAGTATATACATACTTTAAAATTGAATCTTTAAACCATAAGTTTGGCTAAAATTTTCTTAATTCTGGCCAAAATTTTAATGCCAGCCTAAATTTGGCTAACTTCAAAAATTTCAAGTCAAAGGTAACATTATATTTATATGATAAAACATTATTCTTAATAATATATCTTAATGTTTATTGAATTCTTAAAAATATTTTTACAACCTTTAAAGATTAAAATTTTTAAATTAATAAGTTCAATCTGTTTAAAAAATATTGACAATTATTTTACATTTTTATATAGTAAAATAATAAAGTAATAAAGTAAATTAATAAAATTTTTTTTTTAAAATCATTTTATTGTTTTATTTTATGTATTTTATATATAAGAACTTAAATATAAAATAAGTAAGTTATTGCTTGGATTATCATTCATATACCTTCAACTGTATTATAATTTTCAGACTCTTTCTTATTTATGCCGATTGACATATCACTAAATAACAGTTTATTATAATACAAACTTTTTGCTCTAATATAATCTCTACTTAAAGAAATATTAGCATAATTATACTAACTAATATTAATCTTTACATTACTGATTAATCTTTCATATAAATCTAAAAACTCATTTAATGATTTCAGAAAACATTCTAGAGTTATTTAGAGTTATAATTTGCAAATAATCCATCAACCGTTATCCGAATCTGTTAGATCAGTTTGGTAGAAGATATCTGAAAGTTGGATAACCATATCATCCAAATATTCTTAACAGATTATCCAAATCATCTGATTATTAAATATAATTCTAGCCAATTCTGTAGCACCAATTGGAATTACAATAGTGATAATTACGTGATTTCAGATAAAAGGTTTAGCCACCAAGTGAGTTATTTTACATAAAATTTTGCTGATTTTTGTATTATATAATATTACACAAAAATTTATAACTCTAGCCAAAACTATGAATTTAGCTTAATTTAAGTTCAAAATATCCTACAGATATTTGAAAGGATTATTTAGATAATTTGTTACAAATATCCTTTATCTGCCTTCATTTGATTTGTCTACAAAATTTTTATCTGTTATTTATATCCAGTTATAGGTATGAATAAAGGATAGACAGATTGTAATACTAGGGCTTTATGAGACAAGTTGATTAGTAATTGTTGAAAAATACATTAAAATCTTGCAAATTAAATGTGTCTAATAAACTATTTATTAGAGTTTTTTGTTTGTGCCTATTAACATTTGTATGCTAAAATAAATATTTAATTATTCCTTTTTGGTAAACTTATATGGTAGGGGTCATCTATAAACAACAATTATGAATAATGGTCCAAAATTTGAAATTTTATTTATTTATATTACTATATAACTTATTTTTTAAAGTATTTTATTAAAATATTAATTACCATGTAAGCGATAAATTTTTTTTTGACATATTACATGGAATTTTTATGGATTTTCATGAAATTTTTGTAAAATCCATAAAAATTACATGAAAACTAGTCTGAAATTTTATATTTTTATTGCTACTTACTAAAATTATCCAACTTTAACCCATAATATTAATTAAAATTCTTATTAAATTCTATAAAATAATCTGATAGAAATGTTTAATACATGTTATTCTATCATTTTATCAGTTTAGTTTTTTCTTTTTACTATTCAATTTACAATTTATAAAAATTTGAAGTTACATAATATTAGTGTAGTTTATAGATGACAGCCACTATATATAATATAATAATGTTAATTTGTGATAATACATTGATGAATATTGTATTAGCTGTAATACCAATTAATTTAATCATTTAATCTGTTAAGTTACGCTTATTACTAAATTTATAAGGTATTTTTATGACATCTTTATATAAAAATTCATACATTTTCATCATAAATCTGTTGATTACTTCAATGTTTAAATTGTAATATACAAGTAAATGAAACTTCAATTTCATCATCTAAAGTGAAAGTGCAAAAGGTTCATTTATTAATTAAAGAAATTCCTACATTAGAACAAATGAAAAAAGTTATTTCTTGAAATATATTTATTTTATTTTTAAAACCACGTGAACAAGATTATAGAAAGATAGACAAGAACAAAAGATAAAACAAAAGTCGAACGCTATCTAATACTAAGCTATAATCAAACCGCCCGAGGACAGCGCCACTCTGGTACTTTCAACGAACTTGGAGGAGTCCCTAACACGACATCACATCCCAATAAACCAAAGTAAAGGCTTTACAATCAAATCTAAAAAAGAAACGATCCGTATTTTTCTTTCGGTCAATTAAGACCGCCACCTGTAAATACTGTCATAGGTGGAATGGTTCAGCACTATTCTAATTGTTGTACATTGATAAAAAGTTGTACATGGGGGTTACCCGTAAAAAAAAAGATGTATTAAAATACAAGTCAAGAATATAAGTGTGGCTGGAATAAAACAAATCTATAACTATCAGCGTGCCACTAGGTAAAAAAATAAGCTGAAAGTTGTAACCGAACGGAGTTAAGGAAGAGTGAAGACTTTCAAGTCTTCAGGAGACGTCATATCAAGTCTCAATTTTTTGATGTCAATACTGTGCCTATCTGTATTTGTACTTAAGATAGGGGGACGCTTGTGAGGTCTAAGTTCTAATTGTTTTGTGTCGTCCGAGGTGTGTCCTTTATAACGGTAGTGAGGTCCGTTGTCGTCTATGACTGAAAAATATTCAATATTAAAACAACCTAATTCATGCTCTAGTTGGAGCAATTGTTTGTTAGTTTTGTAAACATTTTTGCTTTGACTGAGTCTGTTCTGTAGAACGGAACGGCGGTCAATTAAAGGTGTGATTTTCTTGTGGAAATGATCTTGAAATTTAGTAAGATCTTTGGTCATATCTTCACGATATTCTATACGGTTGGTAGAAGTACCCCAGAGTTTAGCTCTAGTGGAAAGTTCTGCTTCGTGGGCAAGACATGAAACTTCTCTTGCTTCGTGTTCTTTTTGTCGTTGTATAGCTAGTTCATGAGCATTTTTACGTTTTCTAATAGCGTCAAACCAGTATATACAACCTGGTTCATATTGTTGGCCTTTGAGTCTTTCTTGTCTTTTGGAGATATAGATAGGTTCCTCGGTTACGTAGGGAAAAAGGTCATTAGGAATCCAGATGCCCAACTTCTCATGCCACGTTTTCTCTTCATTGAGGAGAATGGGTTGTAAGTGGGTGGCAGGTGAGTGAGTATGTGAAGTACTAGGTAACTTATTCCCAGGATGTTGTCGAGAGAGTCGATCTTGTATCGTAGTTATAACAGCTCCTGCGCCTACAGGACCTCTAGATCGCTTAGGAGGTATAGGAAATTTATAATCATCCTCAGTTCGGAGCATAAACCCTTTATAATATTTTAAATGTTCTATAGGTTTAGCAATAACTAGTGAAGGTAAAAAAAGGAAGTGGTGTTGCCGAGCACGGTAAAGCTTTTCTTCCTTAGTGATCGAACGTTTGTGAGGTTTTTTCTTTGGTTTGTGGCCACGGTTGTAGAAAATAGATCTACATGCCCGTTGAAAGCGTAATTTTTGTTTTTTACTCCTTTTACTACTATCGGAGTGGTATGACTGGAAATTGGTCAGTCGTTTTCGGTACATACAGCGTTCATTGTATGTCTGAAGAGGTTTTTGTTTATTAGCTAAATATGAGACATTGTACGAAATCCCAAGACGGTTTGAGTAAACACGTTTTTTGGTCCAATTAATTGGAGAAACTAAATTTCTTGAAATATATGATGAATGGAAATGTCCAATTGTGATGAAATTTTAATCACGTGTGGTCATGTGATAACCATTAAGACATTATTAAAGAAATTAGAGTTGATTATTTATTGTCATAGATTTTGGATTGTAATGATAATATACAAGATTTTCATTCTATAATTGGTCTTAATATATAGGAAATAACCTATACCTTTATAAATCTAATTAAAGGGATTATACTGTTATCACTTTTTCAACTTTTAACCTCTTGGACTACTAAACAAAATGCCACTAATATTTTAGTACAAATGAGACAATTTATTTTTGATGAAATATTTGAAATTATGTGGCTTCCTAGATGCTTGCATTTAAAGGACTTTGAATGCACATCGGGTATTACAAATAAGAAAAAATTGCAATTTAAAAATTTTCATTCCCTACCTAATAATAGTGTTAGTACAGTTATTAATACTTATCATTATGATGCATTAGATAGTATTCGTAATTATATTTATTTGGTAAAAATATAATAGAATTTTATACTAATCTTACTTTGTAGCGCCAACGTAGATGTATGGTGTTATGACTCATATAATTTTATAGGTGCTTTATTCTGCAGGGCGGGCTCCAACTTACCAAGCTTTTGCTAGATAGGAGGTAGTAGGTTAGTTATAGAAATTTAGATGGTTAGATTTTAAATAGTTTCGTTCATAACTACCTAACCGTTGAAGTAGATTTTTCTCTTCTTTTAGTTTAGTTCATTTTTTTTTATTTACTTTTACAATTTTATTTTGTTTATAAATTCTTGTATTTATAAAAATAAATTGACAAAAAAGAGATGATTTTCATCATTCATTTATATTATTACCCGAATTACCCGAATTACCCAAATTGTACAAACAACAAATATCAACAACATTTTATGCAATATTTAGGTTTATTAATATAAATCAAAGTTGATACACACTTATTTATTTATCTTATTGTAAAAATAACATTAATAAACATAACTTAAAAAATAATAGTCGTACAAATAATAATATCTTATTTTTGATTAAGTTCAGCTACAATACCTTTCCAAATTTCACGTTCGCTAATATTCTTCCACCATCTAGCAACATTAGGTCGTTTTTCCCATAAATCACCATGACCAGAGGAAAAGGAATAATAAGTATAAGGATAATGCGAAATATCAGCTAAACTAAATTCTCCGGTTAAATAATCTTTACCCTCCAATAATTTTTCATAAACATCTAAAACTTTTCCAATTTCTACTCTAGCTTCCTTAACAATTTCAGGATCAGGAGTTTTGCCATGAAATTTCGTGAATACTTCTTGGGCAACCAATTTATGTACAGCCTCATCATAGTAAGAGATTTCAACTGAAATGAATTGTTCTACCAATCCAGCTTTTTGTACATCAGAAGGGATAAGAACCGTGGAATTGTTTTTTCCTTGATATTTGTTTACCAAGTAACGAATAATTGCACGAGATTCGTAAATTTTAAATCCGTCATCAATGAGAACAGGAATTTTTCCGCTATTTAAAAAAAAAAATAAAAAAAAATATATGTATGTATAAATTAGTTACTGTGATGTTTTCTTTAAACGTAGATAATTCAGAAAATTTTATTTACAAAGGATGTTTGGTAGCCAAATATTCTGGAGTTTTGAGTTCGCTGAAATCAGAAGGTGGAGTGATTTCATAAGATACTCCCAATTCTTTAAGAGTAGCCACCACTCTGAGAGTGCAAGTAGATATAGGGTATCCGATGAGTTGAATAGCCATTTTTACGAGAAAAAAAAAATAAAAAGAATTAAAAGCTTTTAATAAAAATGTGTTTTTAAAGATATATGTATTTATTAATTGAGCTTTAAACTGAGGGAAAAAAAAAATCGGGAATTTGTAGGTGTATTTATAAAAACTTTGAGATCAGCGATTCTATTATTATCAAAGGAAATTTTAGGAATTTCTAATCAAAAAAAAGATTTGTAATCTTTGAATCTTTGAATTATTAAGCAATATACAAAATATTTTTCTTTTTCTCTTTGTTAAGCTCATTTGCGGAAAGAAAATCATGCTGATATTGTTACACCAATGAATACTTGAATACTTATGGTGTTCATGGGACCTCAGGGATTATCCATTAATCCGTTGAAAGGTCGGATGATCATAATAATAACCATTTCATTCAGTCGATCACTTTCAGCACTTTCATCGATTAAATCATTTCACGTTTAGGAAAAAATTCAATCACTTTAATCACTTTAAACATCTATCTAAGAGGAACCTCATTGAGCTTTGTATGTTTGTATGTTTCATTCTTTTTTTTTTAGAATCATTTATTTAATTTTATTATAAGTTTTTTCTCTGAATGAGGTGTGAACAAAATGTTGTACGTTGTATCACATCATGCGTTACAAAAAAAAAGTCGGAAAGTCGGGATTATTTTTTCCATGGAAAATCGGAGTTTTCTAAGATCGGTCTAAGAACGGAACAGAATTAGTCATCATTCATATGGTCGGATGACGAACTATTTAAAAATAAAAATTTTTTCACTTTGTATAAAATTTCTAAACTTTAAATAATAATAATATAGCTTACGTGAGTTACATTAAAATCTCATTCGAAAATTAATATTATTTTGTGTAGAAAATATTATTTAGAGGAAATGTAAAAAAATATTATTTAGAAGAAATAGCTCGAAAACTGTGACGTCAAAATCGGAAATCGGTCGGCGACAACATTAGTAAGCTAACATTTTGACAACAAAATTTATTAATATTTATCTGTTATTAATACTATTTATTAATATACCCATTTATAATACTCATATTATTAATTACGATTTACGATTTATATTTAGAGTAAATAACAACGACAATACTATAATTAACCTAATAATACTATCTATAATTAACCTAGATGTAAGACAAATCAAATCGATTCACATATAATGTGACTTTAATTAAAAATAATGCTTATAATGAATAAAACTACAACAGAAATTCCTATACTACAATATGACGCTAAAGAATATTTATCATTATATATATTATCATTAAAACTCGATGTTTTAGTTGTATAAGATGGAGAAGCTGAACTTACATTACTAGCATTAATCGTACTAGGTTTATTACTACCTAAGGACCGTACCACCTAAAGCCGTACCATTACCTAAGGCCGTACCATTATCTAAGGCCGTACCTTTACCTAAAGCCGTACCATTATTACTATTAACAACCGCAGGATTTTGTGGTAAATTATTTATCTACAATTGGACGTCCGCTTAATCCATTCGACTTGTAATTAGGAATATTTCATCCCATTTGAGGAAATTTTTGACTACTTTCTATCCCTAACTTTCCACCAGGTAATTGAATTCCGGATAGGGGTAAGTTTCCATTTCCTAAATGATTGGATTTTCATTACTATCGGTACCAACTTCTTGTGCATTTGTCATGTAATTTGTAATTTGCTGTGATAAGGAGAATCACTAAACCAAGAAAGTTGAGAATATTATAATTATATCGCATCATTATTTTTTTTTAAATCGAAAGAAATTATTATTTATGAGAGGATTCGTTTGATAGGCTTGATAAATTAATAATAATACTTTTACCTTTTTCATGAGGTTGTAATTTCATATTCTTTTTATAAATAATTTTTTTATATTAATATTGATTTAAAAATTTAATCCTTCCTTAAAAATATCATCTCAAAATAATCTTGATTTAATAATTTAAGGAAAAAAAAAATTTTTTTTGTTTCAAGTGCACTTATAATGATATCAATATCAACGATTGATAAAAAAAACGGATATAAACGCCTTAATATTTAAAAATATATATATATATATATATATATATATATAAACAAAAATCTTTATTTTTTATCAATATGAATTTACTCTTAAGGTTATTAAAATAGCCAGTTATCATATTCAATCATAATAATATACTATAATTCTTTCTTATATTCTTATGCTTAATGTTAAACTCTTAAAAAACTTATCTTAATACTTTTTTGCAGCATAAAACCTATGAACCTTACAATATGTTTTGTAAATATCAACATCAGCTTTAAACTGTTTTATGTAGCTATCAAGCGTTTCGTCTGATATTTGTAATATTCTGCATAATGGAACTCGAATTCCAGTAAATAACGCCACGCAAGATTTTAAAACGCGCTCTCCTGAAAATAAAAAATTTAATTAGAATCACGTGATACAAGATTTTTTTTAAAAAAAATACATTTTTAACATTTACCTTTACTCTTTTCCCATTTTCCAATCTGGGAATCTGCGGTCTTATGATAAATTCCCTGGAACATTCCAGTGTTGTCCATAATTTCTCGTATTCGATTAATAATAAATGGATTAATTCCTCTTTGTCTCATTACGTTATGTGCTAACATCAATAAATAGAAATATAATAATTAAAAAAATCAATTAAAAAAATAAATAAATAAAACTTTTTTTTTTTTTTTGTATATGTACCGGCACTAATTAAAGTCTTCGTAAGTGGTGAAGCATTATACCATTCAATGTCAGCTTCAGCTATTTCGAGGTATCCTCCAGGTTTCAAAACACGGATTAATTCTGGAATTACCATATTTTTCCAGTCATTTTCCGTGAAATAGAAGAGAAGATGACGCATGTGTACATAATCAAAGGACATATCAGGGAATGGTAAACGGATTTTAATGTCCGCTTGGATAAACTCGACATTTGGAGGATGTCGTTTTATTATTAAAGGCAGAATATCTACCCCAATAAAATCAGACAATGGATACTCTGATCCAACATCAGTTAACCACATGCCTGTGCCACACCTATTTTTTTTTTTTTTTTAAGAAAGATTTTTTTCTAATATAAATTTATATTTTTCTATAAAATTTTTTTTTTACAAAAAAAAATGGAATTTATTATTTTTTTTTTTTACTTTACCCCATATCCAGTACCTTAACACCAAATTTTAACCATTCATTAACTGGTGCTATAAAATGCTCACCCCAAGTTTCTTTAGATAAAAGGTGTTGTTCTTTCCATGCCTGGACCTGTTCATACTGTGATCTACTCAAGGGAAAGAGGGGTTCTATCTCTAAATCTTCTTGACTAGTAAAAGAATCGTTCCTAGTTAAGATAGATGAATCAGAAGAACTAATAGTAGTAGTTGTAGATGTTGAACCGCTCGAACGTAATGGACGTAAACGTTTTTTTGAAAGATTAATTCCCATAATAATTAATACTATAAAAAGATTAATTTCATTAAAATAATATATATAAAGAAGGAATTAATTAATTTTACGATTTAAAGAGTGACAAATTTTATTTATTTAGTTTTGCTTTTTTATTTATATTTTTATTACGAGAGAACTTTAACTTTTAATTGGTCGATTTAGATTTGTAATAAACCTTTCATTTTAAAACAAAAACTTTAGTAAAAAAAAAATAAATATAAATAAAAATAATATGTAATATGTAATAAAAAAAAGGGAAAGGAAAGAAAAGAAAAGGAAAAAAGAAAAAAAAAAAGTTTGATCACTTTTATATGGTATATGAGAGTTATGTAAGTATAAATTAAAACTCTGATCTTTATCTGCAAATTTTATGTCACAAACACAACGGAACTTTATTTAAAATATGGTTTATTCTAATTTGCGGGAAATCCCGTTGAACAAAAAAAGGCTCATTGAAAAATTTATTTCGTCCTTAATGATTATGCGTTTTTTTTTATTTTAATTAAATTAAAAACTAAATTGTTACTTATTAGCAAAGGTATAACAGAAATTTCTTTTGTTTTGTCGCTCATTTGAAACAATAATTCTTGGCAACGGTTTTTTAATTGGTGTAACTCAAATTAAATGCGAACTGTTAATCAGTCGAAATCTCGATTTGAGCCCTATCTATTATAATAAATTTAATACAATACATTATATAATACCTAAATCTTATTGGTATTTTTGGTATTATCACAATAAAAAACTGGATTATTTCCTGGATGGACTACCAAAAAAAAAACAATATAAAATTTTGATTTACCTGCATTTAAATTTATGAGGCACTCTAATGACGTTTTTATTACTATTATAAAAAAATTAAAAAATTTCGAATAATCGAAATTTTTAAATACAGTATATATATATACAGTACATATTCTTGGATTGGTGATAAAAAAGAAAAATTTTCTTTTTTTTCTTTCTTTTTTTTTTTGAAATTTTATTTTTAATTACTTTATGTATTATATATACGTATTCTTTCTTGTATTGGTGAAAAATTATTATTATTTTATTTTTTTTATGAATCCTGGTATTCTGGTTAATATATAGTGCCGATACAATTAAAAATGATAATAAAAAAGAAAAAATGGGTTTCCTTGCAGATTTGTTTAATCATTGATTATCTATCATCTAAAAAGTTAAAATATATTAACGAAGAAACCATTTAAACTTTTTTCCATAAATGGTTCATCCGTTATAAAATAAACGGTATAACTACATAATATTATATTTGGACCCCTCAATACTATTATTTAGTAAATAATAATAATAATAAGGGGGGTTATACCTCTTTTGTTCACAATTTAGATGATTGTAATACCAAATTATTTTCTGTTTATTATAAAACAATTATTATTTTCCCTCATATTTATAACGCAAACTTTATTTGAATTTATTACACTTAAACTACGTAAAATGACGTGATATCTTTTAAAAGTCAAATATGATTTATACCTTTTTTAAAGTGTAAGTATATTACGTAATAACGTAAGGTAAATTTGCGTGGTTTTAAATGCGTAATTAAATGCGTAGTTTAAATAAATTACGTAATTTTAGTTTATTTAACTGTTAATACGTTTATGTTCAAAAAAAACCTCAATTTTAAAAAAAAATTTACAATACAAATTAGATAAATTACGCGTTAAATGCAAATGATTATAAAAAAAAGAATAAAATTCATTTTTTCATTAATAAATAAAAATTAAGATTAAAGTTATTAAAAAAAAAAAAAAAATTTAAAAAGATTTGCAAATGTTTCGTTGATCATATATATGACTAATATTCATTTGAAACTAGTTTTTTTTAAAACAAAATTAAATTGAGTACACAATAAGGATTCTCGATAATTAAAAAAGAGATTTCAAAAGCAAGCCAGATGAGAGAAATGTTTATTTGTAACCATATTTAGCATTTTTGATAATAATCTATTTTGAATGTGGCACAGTATGGTGTTACCTCATATTTATTATAATTTATTATTAATCGTAAAAAAAAAAAACCCTGGATTTAGTGATATTATATTTAGAAATTTTTTTTTTATTTTTTTTTTGTGACCAATTTTTAATTAATTAGTTGCATATCTGAGTAACATCATACCTCGCATACACTCGTGTTTAGCGTTACACGTTCTTGCAACGAATCGTTATTGGTTCATTTGCAAGCATAAACTTTAAACATAAATTAAACACGTTTTACTTTTTTTCTTTATTTTTTTTTTTTCTAACGAAACAATCATTCTTACTTTATTGTTTATGTACTAGGTGATTAATTTTTAATTTTTATTTTAAGAGAAAGGAAAAAATTTATTATCAAAACATTGTTAATATAACTTATCTACCCCCTTTTTATAATATAGTACTTCTAAATAATAATGCAAGAAACAATTAAAGTACGATTACCGGCAGATTGCCTTCGAGAAATATTCGAAAATCTTTCACAAGAAAAAAAATCATTAAGAACCTTTTTATTGGTTAATAGATTATGGTGTGAAACGGTAATACCTATATTATGGAGAGATCCATTTAAATTAAAGAGAACGTATAATAGTGATCCAGGATTTTGGACGACAATTACTAGAACTTTATTATCATGTTTATCAGAAGAATCTATTATATTATTTAAACAAAATGGAATTTATCCTCCAATGATTCCATTAGAAGAATGTAAACCTACATTATTTGATTATGTTGGATATTGTCAAAATATATCATGTCAAGATATATATGAAATTATACCTCAAATAATTGGAAAAGAAGAAATTTTAACAAATGTATCATATTATCATAAAGGAAATTTAGTAGAAAATGAATTATGGAAATTATTTATTACTAGATGTTCAACAATAAAATATTTAGAATTACCAAATATATCATTACTTGATTATTATAATCATGATCTTAATAATAGAGGTTCATGTTTATCTCATTTGGTAGAATTAGAATGTTCAACATCAAAATCTTCTCAATTATTTTTAGATTTAGCTCAAACTTGTTCCGATATTAAAAAAATTGTTATTAATTTATGTGATGGTGATAATGAAGGTTTGGTTACATTGATTTCTATGCAAAAATATTTAAAAGAAATTGTATTGGTTTCTCCAGAAGGTGTACAATGTCCATTAATTGGTGAAGCTATTGGTACACAATATCCTTCATTATCTAGTATTAGATTAGAAGAACATATTTGTATTCCTTCAACAATCTTATCTAAATTAATTAATTTAAAACATCTTCAAATTGATTTGGAAGAAGAAATTAATTCAAAATTAGAATTATTGGATAATTGTTCCTTTCCTTTATTAGAAACTTTAGTAATAAGGAATGTTAATGGAAAATATTTAGATATTTATACAAAATTAATTAATAATACAAATGGTTTTCTTAAAATTATAGAAATTGATACGTTACCAATACCTTCATTATATCATATTAAACCTTATTGGCAAGCTTTAATTAAACATTGTCCTCAATTAGAATTTGTTACAGTTTGGTATAAAGATGATTCATTAAATGATTTAAAGAAATTATTAACAACTTGTGGTAATAAATTGAAAGGAATCTTTTTTGAAGCTGTATTAGGTCAATTTAGTTGGCGTCTTTTGGATTTAAAATGTGTTTTTGATTTATTAATAGAATTAATTGATAGTAATAATATTGAAGAATTACATTTTAGAGGTTCTTGGACTCTTCATTCCAAAGATTTAAAAAATTTTTTAGATAATTGGGGTAAAAAGAATGGTAAAGGACAAAAATTAATTAAAAAACCATTATATATTAGTATTAATGTTGATTTACAATTAAGTAAAGAAACGATAAATATTTTTGAAGAATTTGTCAATAATGGTGTGCTTAAAGGGTGGTCTAGAAGTGGGGAAGTAGGAGAAGTATGAGTGAATAGGGGAAGTATGGGTGTGAATAGGAGAAATATAGGTTTATAGGGGAGGTATGAGTGAATGGGAGTAATATAGGTATATAGGGGAGGTATGTAGGAGAAATACGAGTCGAGATAGGGGAATCAAATATGGCGAATATAGTTCGAACGTGAATATTATCGCGAAAATTCTTCCCTCTTAGATTATTTTATTAATTATTTATTATTATATTATTATAATTATTATTATCGAATTTGGTTATAATTGCGAAATATATGAATACTGTCATAGAAACATTTATACATTTATTTTTTATATATGTATTTGAACTAATAATGGCATATTAATTAAATTTTCTTCTGTAATATCTGATATCTTTACGCGTTTTGTTAAAAAAAATCTCATTTTCCAATGCATTATGAAAAGGTTTTACTTTAAAAAAATGTTTTATTCATTGAAAAAATAAAAGCTAACTAATTATATTATAATGTTGATGCGTAACCGGCGCATAATTAGCATTATAATTATTAGGATAACTATATGAATAATATTTGGAAGTATTAGGATTTCTATTATATTCATCATAATCAATTCCATCATTATTCTTTATATTTCGATCCAAATTATCTTTATCATTTTTTAATTTTTGTTTATTATATGGGCATCTCTTGGAAGCATGAGATGACGAATCACAAAATTTACATTCTTTTGGCCTCGGAAATCCATTCGTTTTTAAATGTTCCTCCCACTCAGCTTGTCGAAACCTATAAAGTATCATAGAAGCTCTTGCATCTTCAATTGAATCATGTTCACCTTCTTGAATATTGATACCTAAAACATCTTTGGCCAATTTTTTTAAAGATGGCGTAACACCTTTCTCAGTTTTTACACCAAGTATTGTGTTATAATGTGATGTATCTCGAATCAGATGTTCTGGATGTCTAGTTTTAAGTACCTAAAAATTATAATTGTAAGACAAAAAGTATAAAAACTGTAGAAAATATAGGATGAAAAATATAGGATGAAATAACTTACTTTGAAATCAAAATAGATTGATTGGCCGACTACAATATGATCCTTCATAATATTTTCAACTTCTTTTTGTACTTGTTTAAATTCACTTGCTATTTATAATGAAAAGTTTAATAAGGTTCAAAAATTATAGGATAAACGAATATAATAAATAATTACCATTGGTTAATAATTCCGGCGTAATTCCACTGAACTGAGTTCTATAATCGGTAATTTCCCTCCTAGATTTAACAAATCTATCAAGTAATACTTCACCATAATAGTTTACTATGCTAACTCTCGCTAATACAGAATGTTTTCCTTTTTCTCCAACACCAACCATTTCACAATCAATTGCAATACAATGATTATTCTCATGTGTACGTGAAAGACTAGGTAGAAATTATAAATTAGATTTAAATATTTATTTTTTTAAAAAAAATACATTTATAAAAAAATACCTTGTCATATCTGAATTTAAATGATTAAACCATAATTCCGTTGATGGAAAAGATATTGATCCATAATCCTTTGATTCTATTTTCATATCCGGGATCATATATGTTACTTTCTGAGAGTCAGATTTCCTAGGAAAAAGAAGTGGTGGTTTCTCTTTAGGTGCAGAAATAGGATTTTGAATATTTTTGTTCGTATTTGTTCCTTAAGATTAATAATAAAACATGATTGCTTACCTATTTCTATATGTTTTCGATTTTTAGGATTTATAAAAAGATGGGGTTGAACATTCTCTGTTGGTCTTTTGGGTAAATAGTATGAAGGAGGTTGTATTATTTTCATATTCATTTGCGGATATCTCTGAGGATAAAATTGAAATCTTTGTGTATTCATTTGATGTGAATGTGGATATGAATATGGATAAAATGGTTGAGTAGTTGGCTGTGCTCTTTCTTTAGGAGGTCGAAACGGAAGAGGAAGTTTTGCAGATTCATGATTCTCTGCATTGATATGCTGATTATTTGATAATGGTGACGTGCATACTGTAGATACCGTGGGTACCGTGATTTCTGTGATTGCCGTGGGTGCAGTGGGTATATTGGGCGTTGTGGGTGTTTTAGACGTCGTGGTTGTTTTGGACGTTGTGGATACTTTGGACGTTGTGGGTGCTTTGAATGTTGCGAGTGTTTTGGATGTTGTGGATTCTGTCTCCGTAATTGCAAATGATACTTTAATAATAGAATCACTATTATCCGATCTAGATAAAAAAAATTTATATTTATTAAATAATAAAATAAAAATTTAAACTTGTAAAAAATTTCATACTTACGACTTCTTTCCTTGATGCCTTTTTTTCTTTTTCTTTAAATTTTTCGTTTCATTTTCATTTTGTTTTTTCTAAATATAAATAAGATAAATAAAAATAATGTTTACCAATTATCAATTCTTATTTTTAAAGAAAAATAAGAAAAATATTGTTATTATTGCTACCTGAGGTAATTGTTCAAATTTATCTAAAGATATCAAATTTAAATTCAATTCTTGACTATTTAATTCAACTTTTTCCATGATAATTTTTATACAGCACAAAAAAATAACTATTTATTTGAACCGGTTTTTTTCTTGAAAGATAATTTTTTTTTCTTAATTTATTTTCTCTCTCTCTCTCTCTTGATTTTTATGACTTTTTTTTTTTTTAAAAGAAAAATTTTTAATATTTTTTTTCATATTTATACGAAAAGCAACTGAATAAATAATAAGTTATAAAAAAAAATGTATTTTACTTGTAAAAAAAATTATTATTATTATTATTATTATTTTTATTTTATTTATAAGGATTATAAATAAAAAATTCTTTTTTACAAAAGGATAAATAAGAAAGTCCGATTTTATTAAGACCGACTTTATTTAATCATTGTACCTAAATATAGATTAACAAAGTAATCGGGATATTAATTCCGTTTGAATTAAATAAATATAAAAAAAAAAGAGAGAAAATTTATTAAAATATAAAATAATCACCATATACTGAAACAATAATAGAAAGTTGAAACGATATTATTTCAAAAGGGGAGTGAGTTTTAAGAGTTAAAATTTTTTGAATCAAACTTTATTTGTAAAATAAAAAAAAAAAAAAAGTAAACATTGATGATAAGGAGTCCTTTTAAGTACGTTTTAAACAAAGCTTCACTGTTGTTACAAAAAAAACTTTATTTGGTATGATACGCGTGTACGTATAGCGCATATATACGCAACATAAAAAATAGAATTGAAGAGAATTAATTTTTTTTTTTAAGTTAAAATTGTGAATTAAAAAGGAAATTATTCCTTAGTTAAAATGCAACTTTTTTTTTTCTTTTTCAAAGATTCTAAGATTCTAGAACTTTATTAGTTTCTAATTTGTTCTTCTTAAGACCCTAACCCTTCCTTATTTAAAATTGTGAAATTTTGAGAAATCATAATTTTTGGGAATGATCCACTGTCGATCTTCAATGATGCCATAAGCATTTCCAAATTTGAATTCATTGTTAAATGCTATGTTTTTTCTATTTCCTCTTTATAATGATACATGTCTTTTTTTTTTCTTCCAATTTAAAAATTATATTGAATCGTATAATTCATATAACAATAAATAAATAAAAAAAATTAGTATTGAAGATTTCTTTCGGATATTTATGCAAAAGAAAATATTGGAAATTTAAAAGATAACAAATGAATTATTTTTTAGTCATATTGAAACCTTAACCATCGGTAATCGCAATATCAACCTTTTATACCACCTTTACAATAATTGGAGGATAATTTCCGGCATCCAATATTAATAATCATAACATCGGAATAATGATTGCCGATATCTAACCTTTAATGTAAAAATTCTTATTCGTTCCTATCTGAATCGAAATGTTTTAATTTATAACATGTTTCAAAATATGAAATTAAAAAATGCCTTGTCATACCTTTAAGTAGATGAAGGTATTATGATTTTCAAGAAAAAAAAATATTGATCTGCATATACTGTAAATTTCCGAAACACACGCAAATTAATGTAACGTCAAAAAAATGTTTTTAATATTTTTAATATAATAAACATTATTTTATTTACATTACTTAAAAGATTTCATAAGGTAGAGTTTTTTTATACATACTTTCATATTTTTTATTCCCACTTTATTTTTTTGCAATCACATGATTTTTTATTCTACTTACTTTATTTTTTGCAATCACATGATTCACATTACACATTTTACTATACAATAAGCAGCAATATAAAAAGTAGACTACACTTTTTTTTTTCTTCTAATTCAGAACTTAGAAATCTAATAATAAAACAAAGTTTTATTTATATATTACCTTAAATAAAAATTATTACCACTTTAATAGCTTATATATTTTGCATAACCATTATTAACATTATTAATTTTATTTTATTTTTATTACATTTTTGGTATAGACCCTATAAAAAAAATTTTAAAAAACTCCGTAAAAATGTGAATCCATTCACGGAAAATGAAAAATAATTCGATAAATTCCGTGATATAATATTATTAATTATTCCGTGATTATTAATTATTCTGTGATATAAGATTATTAATTATTCCATGATATAAGGTTATTAATTCCGGAAATTTGTGCCTTTTATGGAAAAAAGATGGAATATAAAGAACGGATCGACTTTTTTTTTATAGGGTGATAATATATCCTAGGTCAATAATTTTTTTATATGGATAACGGTTATGATTATCCGGCAGATAAATTCGGTACTACATTAAGAAATAAAACTCGAGAGAAAAAATTCGTTGACCAATCCCTTCGTCGTATGTAGAGACTAGTATCTTTTTATACGTTTTGTATATTATATTTTAAACTCCTCTTGAGCGTCTTGCCGCTTTTTGTTCATTGAGCGTATTTCCTATTAATAAGACCAAATACCTGCGAAACAATGTGCATAAAATCGTTCCTTCGGAATGTATACAAAAAAATAAAGAGGTTCCTACTAACGGGAATTCGTGGATTCCATTTTTCAATACAACATGCATCGACTTAATTTTTTTATTGTAAAACATTAATATATTTGACAACGAGAAACTATGAATTGTCACGTGTTATTCTCCGCAGCAAGAACTGCGAATGTTCACGTAGGACAAGTCTAATGTAATACTCTGTAAAAAAAGTCATTTTATTCCATCTTTTTTCCGTAAAAGGCTCATATTTCCGGAATTAATAACTTTATATCACGGATTTTATCGAATTATTTGCATTTTCCGTGAATGGATCCGTGAAAGGCTCATTTTCACGGAGTTTTTACAAAAATAACGGATAAAGTTTTATATAGGGCAACGATCACATCGTTACCAAAATACGTACAAATAATATCTCTATCATTATCAAAATAAAACTTTTGTATAGAAATTCCATCAATATACAACGAGGTGAGTAAATTGGCAAAAATCTTTGCGATCGGATAAACTAGAAATCGATTTCACCTGTATTGTATACCTTAATAGTTCCCGGATCATACAAAGTAATGCCCTTTAGCCTTTGGGCATTTTCTCTTTTCCTTTTTAAACCGAAGATTTGTAACACTGTTTTAATTACCACTGGAAAACAAGTTCCATGGGCAATAAGTTTACCCTTCAGGATATTTTTTTCGATAATAGCGGTGATATGAAACTTAGCGATATCAGTTTGGGGAAAAAATTTCCCGGATAATCGTTTAGAAAATTATAATCAATCGGCTGATCCTAAGACGATGATTTTTTGTATTTCAACAAAATTTCACAAAAATCACGAAACTTGTGATTTTTTAATCACAACAAAATTTCACAAAATTCTATTTGATCCCAAAAACTTTTTTTTGGTTTTACAAAAATTTCACGTATTTTATTAAAATATACAAGATTGTACAAAATTAAGTAAAATTTGTTTTTCACAAATTCATACTTTATCACAAGACGTAATTGTTATTTATCCAATCATAGAATTTTACATCCCGAAAATGCGGCATGCCAGTAAAATAATCTGGCCATTTTATTAACTATTAAAAAAATTATCCGAAAACACAGAAATCAAGATATACATTATATAACTGTAGCTTTACTAATTACTATATAGAGGAATCGAAGATTCTAAAATGAAATATTTCGGTTTTCTTGATTTCTGTATTCTTTTGGAAGCGTGTGTCTATGAACATGTCCTAAAATATAAAACCAAATCCTGGTGAACTCCAAAATCCAAATGAGGTACACAGAACTTTCATTCCTTTATATTTTTAGCAGGATTCGTATCCGTGTAAATTTACCTGGAAATGAAAATCGGTATATGCAGATATAAATAAAATATCAAGAAAGTTTGCCCAGTAACATAATATAGCAGATAGGTCATTATTCGATGCACCAATAGTAATTCAAAGATAGAGAGCTGCGGTATAACACTTTGTCACAGGTCTGGTTCACATTTACCAACAATCATATTACCGACAATCATTTTACCGACACTCACTTTACCGACAGGTACGTTTTACCAACAATCATATTACCGACAATCATTTTACCGACAACATAATAATATATTTTTAAGTTACAAAAAAAGCAAATTATATAAACTAAATTAAGAAAATTATTAAGAACAATTCTAAGTACAATATATTATGAAGCTGACGGAAATAAATTTTTTAAAAAATAAAATTGATAAAATTAAAGTTATTTTATTATATATAAATATCATAGTATTTTACATTTTGTTATATATTAATCAATTTTTTATTTTATATATTATGGTAAATTCTTTTATATTAAATATTTCATAACTGAAGTGGGTAGTGAAATAGTTGGTAAAATGAGTGTCGGTAAAATGTAAAATGATTGTCGGTAAAATGATTGTCGGTAATGTGAACGGGTCCCCTTTGTCACATGGCATGGCTATAGTATAATTCCATTATTCGAGCAAAACCAAAAATATAATCATTATCTGGAGTATCATTTTGCGTGCAATAAATATTCATGATATTACTCTTTACATTACCCGAAATTTTTTAATAAAAATTTTATTGGTATGTTCTCGGGAACAACGTTGATTGTCCTGTTGCTAATTAAAAGTTCGTAGTGATCCTCCCGATTTATGAGCAGAAATAGATGATAGATTTTGGTCATAAATTGAATCGTGCGTGATTATGGCTACAGTGTTCAATGTACCTATTTAGACGATCTGTTATAATCAAAGAATTTTTAATGCATGGACGCTATTCTGCAAGTCTCTTACGTATGAAACGGATTTTAGGAAAAAAAATCCATTGACTCTGAATTCTCCCGAATTGAGGTTTCAGTGGAACTAACTAATGTTATACTGAAAGTATCATTTCATAGATAGGAGGTTAACAAAGATTCTTAGTCTACTTCGGAATTTTTCTTTTCTGGGTGCTCTGCACTCCCTGAAGAGGTGAATTTTTCCTGTTTAATGGCGATTTCTCACTTATTATAAAATTAGTGAGACTGGCTAAAGTCACACGTTTGTCATTACGAAATTATAAAATATAACATCACCACTTTTAATTTATTAAATCTAATGGTTTA